TGCCCATGGCCCAGGGGTGGGTCATGACCTTGACCCAAGGTCATTTGGGGAAGTTCAGGGTCACCGGAAGAAAAATTTCATAATTCGTGTCTTGTCCATATCTTTCTTATGGATAAACTTGGTAGGTTCTCATTTCACACAGAGATTGCCCATGGCCCAAGGGTGTGTCATGAGCTTGACCCAAGGTCATTTGGGGAAGTTCAAGGTCACTGGAAGAAAAATTTCATAATTTGTGTCCTGTCCATATCTTTCTTATGGATAAACTTGGTAGGCTCTCATTTCACACAAAGATTGCCCATGGCCCAAGGGTGTGTCATGACCTTGACCCAAGGTCATTTGGGGAACTTCAAGGTCACTGGAAGAAAAATTTCATAATTCGCGTCCTGTCCATATCTTTCTTATGGATAAACTTGGTAGGTTCTCATTTCACACAAAGATTGCCCATGACCCAAGGGTGTGTCATGACCTTGACCCAAGGTCATTTGGGGAAGTTCCAGGTCACTGGAAGAAAAATTTCATAATTCATGTTTGATACATATCTTTATTAAGGAAAAACTTACTTCTGAAAAACCCAGCGGGGGGTATTTTGTTCCGTTTGGACAGTTCTAGTTAAACTTTAAACTAGTTGAGCATCTTATGTTGATCTATTCCTGTTGTCTCTGGTTGAGACAATCAGAGACATAAGAGTATTAACACTCAGTTTGAGTACACTCCTCAAAGGGAAGAAGAAGAAGGTCTTAGTTAACATTATACTCACTGAGCACCTTATATGTTGACATATCATCCCTGTTGTGTCTCAAACTGTTGTGTCAATCTCTTTGAGACACAGGTCCCAGTTAACATTATATGCTCGATGAGCACCTAGCTAGCTTATTATCACCGTTGTCTCTCTTTGAGATGTAGGTCCCTGTTAACATTACACTTGCTGAGCACCTTATTTTGACATATCCCTGTTGTTCCCTGTTTAAGAGTATAGGTTCTAGGTCCCAGTTAACTTCCTGAGCACCTTATGTTGACATATCCACCGTGTAAAGGGGCACATGCGGGGTTTCGGTTAAGTAACATGGGGTTTCAACTCCGAAGCGGTGATTTTTTGCATTTGGAAAATATATTTGTAAAATTTCTCTGCTAATGAATTCTTTGGAGCCAAATGACATGCGCACGGGTTGTAAGAATGCATTACCTACCAATTTAGTGCAATAGGCTTTTTGAAAGCCTTACGGATTGTGCTAACACTTCTGGACAGTTCAGTCGACTGGAAAAATTTGTGGTGTCGCTGATATTCTTTGCTCTTTTATTTTCAAAAACAAACGTTTAAAGCTCATTTTAAGGATGATAGATAAAGATTGATACAAAAACAATCCTTGCAAACTTTTTTCTCCTTAAACAACCTCGATTTCTGTAAGAAATATGAACTTTTGCGACCAATTTCTACTGTGCCTAACGGGGTTTCAAGGTTTATTAACATAGGGGGATTCAACTCAAAGGCTTTTTCTATTTTTAAATCTTTGTTTTCTTTCAAGAATATAAATTTCATCCATTCATCACGAAGAAAAAGTGAATGGTCATGTGTTAGGCAAAAGGTTTATTTGTCAACTAGATGAACAGATATGAATGCTCAATCAAGAGGCAGATTGCGTCTCCTACACAAGAAAATAGATTTCCCTTTCGTAAATGTGGGAAGGAATTTGCACGTAGCATGGGGGCACTTCTTCAAAGCATAACTTTTTTCTATTGAAAATCTTCGTTGAACCTCCCCCCCCCCCTTTTGATGCAGTGTCGTCAAATAAGGGTAATGCAGTAGTACATGAATAAAATTTGGCACTGAAAAAATTGAACCTAACACCCCCCCCCCCCCCGCACCCACGCCTCCTTCAAATAAAAAACTTTTCGAGTTTGGACACTTGTTTTTCTTTTTGTTTGTTGCAGAGATTTTCGGTGAGTATTTTTTCTCTACCTCCTTTTTCTTTTTTAAACAAGAATGCGTTTTCCCTGTTAATATTCCCCTCGAGCGTCTTTAACAGATTCAACATTACAATCTCCTACCCAGATTTTCTAAAAGGAAACCCAGTTCCATGTTCATGAGACGCAATGTGCATCTCATGAAACTGATTTATTTGATTGAACGCCATTTTTTACACACACGTATTCAATGGCATTGTACAGTAACTGTAAAAAAAAAAATAAAAATATTGACATAAAAAATATACATGGAGAGCAACGGTTATAATAAGTTCATTAAGAAGGAATTTTTTTAATTTGTTTTTGAAACCTCAAAATGTTTGTGCGATGGTACTAAAATTCAAGTCGCTGAACTTTTTTTCGTACCTTCAATGGGACTGTATAACAGCTTTTATGAAAAACGCACTTTTTATTTGAATTTTATTTTGACAAAACTTCAATTAGATATTCTAGTGATTGGACCACTAAGCAGTTACACATAAATGTCAGAATTTTGAATGGTATCCTAAATTTGATATTGGAATTCTATCAGCATTCAAAATGCTATAAAACACACCAAGCCTGGTCACTGCGGGATTGAATACATAGTAGGAATTCTATGCATTTTCAATACTCTTCAAACACTTTTATGTGCATTGTTATGACTCAATTTAATTAAATCAATGGACCTGTTAATTTATCGTAAAAATATAATATTTGTACGTCAACCCCCCCCCCCCCCCCCCGCATTTAACATTCAACGTCACATGCGGCTCTTACATGTACATCTTTGAAGCACAACAGGTCTGAAAGGCGCTAAATTCAGTAGAAATAATAATGAAATTTACGGTTATAAAGATAGAAAAATAGAGAATTCTAAAATAAGCATTGGATTCTTATTTTTGGATGTCGAACGTCTTATAACATGTGTCACTTGTTATCATCATAATAACACATTTTAACAGCAAAATAAAATTTTCTAAAATGCAGCTCATATTGCTTTAAATTTTTGGCATGGCCTGGCACTATTATACGACCGACGATATCAAAAAATAAGAATTTGAAATGCGTACGTCTTTGCACGCAGGTGAAAAACAAATCTGATTTCTTCCATTCACTTTTTCTTCGTGATGAATGAGCCAGGAATCCATATTCAAAGATTAAAATAGAAAAAGGCAAACCCCAAAAGGGTAAGCCTTTCAATGAAAGATTTCAATAGAAATAAAAGTTATGCTTGGAAGAAGTGACACCCCCCCCCAATCCCACATTTAGTGCAGGGAAATCTATTTTCTTGTGTAGTAGACGCAATCTGCCTCTTGATTGAGCATTCATATCTGTTCATCTAGTTGACAAATAAACCTTTTGCCTAACATATGACCATTCACTTTTTCTTCGTGATGAATGGACGAAATTTATATTCTTGAAAGAAAACAAAGATTTAAACATAGAAAAAGCCTTTGAGTTGAAACCCCCTATGTTAACAAACCTTGAGAAATTGGTCGCAAAAGTTCATATTTCTTACAGAAATCGAGGTTGTTTAAGGAGAAAAAAGTTTGCAAGGATTGTTTTTGTATCAATCTTTATCTATCATCCTTAAAATGAGCTTTAAACGTTTGTTTTTGAAAATAAAAGAGCAAAGAATATCAGCGACACCACAAATTTTTCCAGTCGACTGAACTGTCCAGAAGTGTTAGCACAATCCGTAAGGCTTTCAAAAAGCCTATTGCACTAAATTGGTAGGTAATGCATTCTTACAACCCGTGCGCATGCCATTTGGCTCCAAAGAATTCATTAGCAGAGAAATTTTACAAATATATTTTCCAAATGCAAAAAATCACCGCTTCGGAGTTGAAACCCCATATGTTACTTAACCGAAACCCCGCATGTGCCCCTTTACACGGTATATCCCTGTTTCTCAGTGGCGTAGCATCGTTTTTGAAAGTGGGGGGGGGGGCAGCCAGAGAAAAAATTTTGTTACTTCCCTGAAAAAGTTGACAAGCAAAAATAAAAAACAACAAAAAACAAAAAACAAAAAGGAAAAGTTGCCCAAAGTCGAAAATCCTATTTCGTGGGATTTAAACTTTTTCTCACTCTCAACTACTTTTAGTACCAATTCTTATACTACATTTTCGGTACATTTCCATAACTGGGGGGACCAACCAGGCTTTCAATTAACATTTCCTATAGTGTAAGTAAGGTTGGGAAAAAAAGTGGTGGGGCCAGGCCCCCCCTGGCCCCCCCGGATACTACGCCCCTGTTTCTAACACAGGTATACTTGTGGACAGGACCCCCACCCCCGACATTCAACCCCGGGCTTATTGGACATTTATTAGGTCACCTGAGCCAAAGGCTCAAGTGAGCTTTTCTGATCACATGTTCGCAGTCTGTTAATTCGTCAGTCTGTCCATCCGCCTGTAAACTTAATTTCACATTTTCAACTCCTTCTCAAGAACCACTGGGCCAATTTTAACTAAAATTGTTAAAATAAAGGGCCAAGTCCCCTTCAAGGGGGAGATAATTAAGAAAAGACAAAAATAGGGTGGGGTCATTAAAAATCTTCTACTCAAGAACCAGTGGGCCAGGAAAGCTGAAACTTACGTGGAAGCATCCTGGGGTGATGTAGATTCTCAATTTGTTAAAATCATGACCCCCTGGGTAGGGCGGGGCCACAATAGGGAATCCAAGTTTTACATAAAAATATAAAGGAAAACTCTTTAAAAATCTTCTTCTCAAGAACAAGTGGGCCAGAAAAGCTGAAACTGATGTGGAAGCATCCTGGGATAGTGTAGATTCTAAATTGTTCAATTAAATCATGACCCCCGGGGGTGGGGCGCGGGCCACAATAAGGAATCCCTTCTATACATTATAAGTCTTTCTAATGCAACATGTGAATTTATATGGACAGAAGAGGAAAACGTCATGCTTTCAAAATATGAACTTCATTTGAATAAGAATCTTTGTATATCAATTAACCAGTGGTCGAAGTTAGACAACAGGCATTTTAAATTTTAGCGCGCAATTTCTGTGTGGATACAAAATTGTCCAATCAGAAGACAAGTTTCATTTACTGCTGACTAACACATGATTCAGATCACATGATAACAGTTTTGTCAACAAGATAGTGACAATGAGGATGCTTTTGCTTTTAATTTTTCTTGTCGGTCTAGGTATGTATTTAAGTGGATTATTGACACATTTTTACTTTATAAAAAATAGAAATTTCACATAATAAGGGGATAGTTCGCGTGAAGAAAGTGCAACATAACGATATTGTGTAATCTTTGAAAATGAAAATTGAACAATCATGCGCAACGTTATAATAGTTCTGGTTTTTGTAAGTTACATTTGATCAAGGTATTGGTTACCAGAATTACAATGTATAAACAAATGATTTAGGAAGACGGAGCAGTTTGAAAATGATTACCTAAAATTTTATTTTAAAATTCTTGATTGATCTCAGCTGACTGGAAAATTATAAGTTTTAACACACATTGAAATCGCCCAAATGGGATATATATTGGGAAATATCCCAAATGGGCTATAAATTTACAGTGCAAAAATTGAAATTTTTTATTTTGGCATTAAATATCATAAATCCGCATCAAAACACTTAGAAATTAAGGAATAACCTTTGGTAAGCAAGTTTTTCTGCAATCCTACCGTTAGTTAGATTGATCCCCAAGAAGTTAAGGAACTTCTGAGGGATCGATCTCCTAATCAAATGACATACAGGAAAACTTGTCAACCAAAAGTTATTCCTTTTTAAGTGTCCTGATGCAGATTTATGATATTTTTAGCCAAAATAAAATTTTTCAATTTTTGCACTGTAAATTTATAGCCCATTTGGGATATTATATCCTAAACGGACTATTATATTCCATTTGGGCGATTAGTCCCAACCTGACATAAGCATTTTTAATATGCTGGATAGATGTTTGATACTAACATTTTAACTAAATATAGACTAATGTACAATTAACTGAATGTTCAAAAGTTTGAAATGTATCAATCATTGTGCTTTGCTTATTAATTAAGTTAATAACTTGAATATTTTTCTTAACCACCTTTTTGGCACTGTGGTTATCAGCTCTACATGCTCTAAGAGTCATGTGTAGAGTAACTAAGGAGGCAATTCTTTCGTTCTGGATTTGAGGTCACTGTGTGAAAGTTGAGATCAGTCCTTTATAATGAAGTGTTACATAAGTAGACCCTTTCACAAGAAGCGTTGTTCTACTCTTTTGCAAGGCAAAATGATATATTTGGTGACATTAAAAGCAAATGTTAAGAAATCATCATTTAAATGTCTATCAACAGACACTTTGCCATACATTAATATTAATTTAATTGACCTGCAGAAGAGTAGTACCATAGTTACTGTATAAGGGCTTATTGACAGTATCAAATTTATGATGTATATCATAACAACAACCAGGGTTAATGTACGTGAAATTGGCCAATAGGAACTAATATGTGCATGACATACTGTCTACTTCAGCAACTTCCCGAAAAGCTAAAACTATGATTCAGAAATGTATCTCAGTCCCATGTACTGATCACTGTAGAATGCAATAACCTGTACTTTGGATATGTTTATAGGTTTCACAAGTTTTAATGTTGAATTGTTTGCGTCACATCATATTTGCAGTTTAGATTATAATTAGGTTGTATAAGAGCCTCATGTGAACACTGATCCTCTTAATGGCTTGATGTTTAAGATCAGTGGATACATTCCTCATGAATATATAATTTTCCCCAAATATAACTTTATTGAAGTATTGCTGCTCTAACAAGTTTCATAGCAAAATATCAAGTTACCTTATAAAGAATTTGTTCAAAATTACAGAGGATGGTAAAGATTAATGGTTACAGTTAAGGACATGACAAATCACATATTGTAATCAGTTTCTCTTCATAATATTACAGTTTTCAGTAGAACCGTATTTCAGGAAATATTTATCTTGAGTTTACTAATACTATATCATTATATGTTCATAATATATCTTAAGAAACAGATTTTGCACTATTTTTTACAAACCTGTATTTTTGGGAAAAATTTTTTTCTTAGGTCAAATAGAAATGAAAATGAATTCCAGACACACAAAATAAAATACTTGTATACATATTTTAGGGCAAAACTTAGTCTGAAGGCTATTTTATAAACTCTGTTTATTTTTCAGCTGCCAGCACTCCTCTGGTAGGAAAGAATGAATGTTCATGGGGCCCATCCTATTGGTGCAGTCATGCAAAAAATGCCAAAGCCTGTGGTGCAGTGCAGCACTGCCTGGATACAGTGTGGAGCAAACAGACCATAGCTGAGGATCCCCAGGTTGTCTAGCTACTTACAGTTGTAATAAATAATACATGACAATTCTGTATCTCATGTTTTACAGTGGAGACAATATTGGAAATCAATGCTTACACAAGTGTTTATGTTTTTAAAAAAAACAGAGTTGAAAGGTTTTCGTTGTAGTTCAATTAAATTTAAATCAATAAATTTTAATATTTGAAATTTTATTTTTTAAACATGTTAAAAAAGTGATTAATTATCAATTTGCCCTGCTTTTTAGGACTGTTTGTTGAAATAATAGAAATGTACAATTTAGATAATAGGTCCTTTTCTGAAAGTTAAAAAAATTTCAATGATATTCAAACTTAAATTTTTCAATGAACTTTTACTTATAGTCAACAAGCTGTAGCCTTTGCAAAATGGTTGTCAAGGAGACAAGGAAAATGCTGAAAAATAAAAGTACAGAAGTAAGTATGGTTTTCAAATTTTACATACCAGTAATGGCTAAAAATAAAAAAAAAAAACAAATGCAAAAATTATGCAAATTTATTTTAATTTAGTTTGAATTTTGTGAGTATTGATATATCATATTATTTTCATTTCTAGAAGATAGTTGATTTCTTCACCATGGCCTGTCAGTTCATGCCAGATGAAAACCTGAAGAAAGAAGTAAGGTTTAGAATTTTTTTCCATGTCTTTTTGTTTGATTTATAAGGGAAAAACTGCAGCTTTTAGTTCTGTTTAAAACAATTTTATATTTCTTATTTTCCAGTGCAGTTTCCTTGCCTCTGACTCAAAGATGTTGATCAAACTTTTGGAGAGTAAGATTGTAAGTGAAAAACTAGAATTGTTTTGACAAGAGACTAGTATATAAACTGTTCAGTAACTATTAGTTTTCAGCGGAGGTTACATGTTTTCCGAGGGGTGTCAATTAAACATGTTACCCTCATAACAATTTTATTATACTGAAAGGATTATTTAGGACGTGCAAAAAAAAAAAAACCGTCGATCGTCTTTACGTTCATGTATATATTTTTTACTAATTCCTTATTGTTTGTTTGTGCGAGTCATTTATCATATAAATTTTCCTTGCCTCATGTTTCTTCACTCGCAAGCATGTATCGTCTGTCGTTTGTTGTTTTCAAGTAAGCTTATCAAACTTTTGGAGAGTAAGATTGTAAGTGAAAAACATAATTTCCACGCATGTGGCATTTGTGTTACCCGTTGTCACGTGTGTTGCTAAGGCTAGTATTTATTGTTACCTGATCTAAAAAAAAATTTAACATGAAAGTATAATAATATTCATTGTTGCTGATAAAAAAAAAAATCAGGTAGTTCACACAAACATATACAATCACTTCCTGAATTTTATGTGTAAAAGATCCCATTGCTTGTCACATGATATGGTTCTATAATTACTTGTGAATTACAGTAATATGCATTTATCACTCAATGACATGGGGTGGTGACCTATAATTGCTGTAAATTACAATAACATGGATTGACAATGCAAAAAAAACCCAAAATCATCAGATATCAGGGTGTGTTACTTATTGAATTCAGATCAAAGCTTTTCCCCCATAAAATTAAACAAAAGAGACTGCTTTTGTCAGTTTAGGTGACCTTGTAATTGAATCATCCTAAAGCTTCATCAGTTTACAAATAACATACTAGGTACATGTACTAGTAGACGAATACTACCGTAGATTGTAAGATACTTGTCAAACTTCAGGCTCATAGTGCAGGTTCCTGGATTGAAAAAAAATAGTTTTTTTTATCTGTGGTCAGAAAACATTAGTATGGGTAAAAGGAAATAAATCACATGATTTTTGCATTTATTTAGAAATTCCCAAATGACTGAAAACTTGTTTACTTCTTTCATTTGATTATCAATAATTCAAAGGTCAATAATGTTATGCAAGAAATATTTCCTTGTATATATTTACTGGTAATGCTTAGTTTGAATTAAAACAAAAGTCCACAATTTTTGATCAGCTGTGTTTATATTTAGACATGGATAGGGAAGTAATGTCTAGTTCATTTGTTTAATGAGGAAACAATTTAATTATTGCTTTGTTATTTACTTCCAGTCTGATGGTCAGCTGTGTGCCGCTGTCAAGCAGTGCAAAGGTTTTGAAGACAGAACCCATGAGGTAGAAACAGAATACCATTACAAAAACTTAAATATTTTATAAATATGTTCTCTTGAGTCAAAGACTAACACTGTGTCCATATACAGAAGTGAAAAAACATTACAATATATACTCTGGCCACTCTTTTACAGTAACACTACCCCTTTATTTCCTACACTACACATTTCACAGTTTACTCCCTGGTTGATGGACATTAAGCCTGTCATTATTTTTTTTTAAAGGAAAATTATGAACGTTTCTTGCTTGCTTTGAAAGTCGGGGAAATAGGGTAAAAATAAAGCCCATACTATATTCAAAGAGAATTTTAAATACAATGTGGTTTTATGTTTTCAGCTTCCCCCAAAAGTCCCTGAGATGCCTGGTAACACAACAAAGATCTGTAAGGATTGTGTGGCCTTTTTTGGTGACATCAAACAGATGATATCTGACAATGCTACAGTTGTAAGTGAACCTAATCTTGTTATTTTATCATCAACAACAAAAAAAATTTAACTTCACCCATGTGTATATTCAAACAAATATCAAACAAAATTTCGTTGCTATGTGTTATGTTTGCTATGGCAACAGCCGGAAAAGTTTGAAAAATGTAGTGTGTACCACTTTAAATCTTGACTGTGGCTTAGGCAAAAAAAAAATTTCTTGGTTCTAGAAAAAGGAAACAAACCTTTTTATTCTAAATCAATAAAATAAAAACATGACACCTTGATATCACTTATACTGTAAAGAAACTGTTTAGAATATATTGTACAATGTAAGTGGTAAAAGGTACATTTGGATTACATTTAAAATGCTGAAATATGCTGAAAAACACACCGTATCCACTAATGGTAGGTGTTATATGCTCAAACTCAATCAACGTTTTAAAGTTTAAAAACAATGAAAATGTTTGAAAGTATATAGGTATAAGCAATATTATTCTATAATAACTTTTATGGTTGCCATGGTAACACAGTGTAACCATGCAAAACTACATATATTCTCTAAGATTGGGTTAATTCTTTTAACTGTTGAGGAAAAACATGAAAATTCAAGATAAAATATGCATCCTTAGGACCTTGCAACACCAAAACCACAAGAAAAAGTGGGTATAATTATTACTTGCAGTGTTACCATGGAAACAAAGTACCAGTGCTTGAAGGTGAATTATTTTTCGCTGCATTAAGAATTAAATTGAAATTTAATCAAGTAACAAATTAAAGGACTCAGCTTGTATAGAACTTATCTGTTAGAACTAAAGTTGAATATCATATATTGATAAAATTTGATGAAGAAAGCAACATTGTTGCTATAAAAACCAAGAAGGGAAAATGTTCGATTTTGTGAACTTTATATCAATATTAAACCCTGTGTGCCAACTTATTGCATCCACTTAGAGATGTGTGATGACAGTCAAAATTAAAAGTCAGGTAAGCTGTTAATAAATATCAATCATAATAGTTTTGGGAATTCTACATTTTGTTAAAGTCCAAGGAAAGAAAATATTTTTAAGGTTTTTAAGCATATATTTTCTGCTTATTTCAAAATAGCAACGCTCTAGTTAAAGAATCAAATCTGAATTTTTTCAAAGTGGAAAACTATAAAGCACACCAACATCTTTAAAAATTGATCATTTTACAGGAAATGTGCTTTTTCAACAAGACAAGGAACACACACAACATACAGAATTTACTTTAAGGCTCTCTGTGATATAAAAACCTTGGCAACCATTGCCAACCAAAATGAAATATTAATTTTGTTCTTGGAATATGTTTCAACCTCTTTCACTTTATGTCACATTTTATCCTATAATTGCTTTTTATTTTTACGATAGCCATTGACTTTATAAAATTCAATGAAATTTTTTTTTACTTTTGAATTGTTTGTTACTATATAACGTATGTAATAGTTGATTTACCAAACATGTTTATCATGCATTTGAGACATCTGACCTTCAAATTTTGGAAACAGTTATCGCCATAAATAGTTTGCTTTACAGCAAATGTTAACTATTGTTTTACAAACATGTTAAAAAATGATTTTTCTTGAACTTTTATACAGGTTGCATTCAATGGTAACTATAAAACATAGCAACCAATTTTTGCCTGATTTCAGTTTAGGGTATCAATGACTTTTATCATAGAGAGTTTGGAGAAATTCTGAGACTATGCGTGCCACAGCTCCTATATAAATTTCAAGTCATTACAGAGAATTGCTCTTAATCATCAACAACAACAAAAATTTAATTACGTGTATATTCAAACTGCTATAGCATATTTTGAAGTAGTTTCTGTACATGTAAGTCTTTATGTTTAATTATAGGAGCAGATAAAAGATATGTTAAAGAATGTAGTGTGTACACAGCTGTCTTCTTCAGAGGGTCTGGTAAGGAATGCTTACATGCTTGCCCATATCAACTGGGTTTTAATATTCTGTTTATGTAACAAAATTCAGTGATTTAAAGCAAAATGTCATACAAAATATCATCTGTATATCCAAATTGTATCTATATTCAAGTTATTTCATACCATACATATATTCTCTAATTTGTTTTCTTTTAAGTTTATGATTTTGATAAAATTTATGCATCTTTTAATCTCATTGGCCCTAAATGATGTAAAAAGCTTAAGAATTTCAAAAGGATATTAGACTGTTTTTCCCCCAGCAATCTGTAGAAATATTTTACACGTTATTGATTACCTATATGATTCAGTAATTATTTTATATTTACAGTGTGATTTTGTTGTTGATGAGCTCGTCCCAGAACTTTTGCAGGTGCTTGGTGGAGAGGTGGTACGTAAATCTAAGAAGTAGTCATTCTGATTATTTTAAGGCAAAAAAAAATTAATTTCTTGGTTCTCAGGTCCTCCCTCATCTCTTCCAAGGGTGCCTCATTGACCCTTTTTATTGCTAAATCAATAAAATATAAACACTAAATCACCTCCCTCATCATTTTTTGAGGTTTTGTACAATGGAAAAAGCTGCCTCATCAACAATCTGAAAAAAAAATTTAAATATATATTTCTTATAAAAAAAAGGCCTGAGAACCAAGTAATTAACTTTGCATGGCCTAAAGTTGATATTTTTTCTAAATAAATCAGAAAGAACCTTAAGTTCTTTTCCTATCAAGTGATTCAAGTTTCATAGTAATCTTGACATTTATAGCATCACTTAAAGAGACCTTTACACTGCAACACTCAAAGTGTCCTTGACACTGCAACACTCAAAGTGACCTTGACACAGCATCACCCAAAGACACCTTGACACTGCAACACTCAAAGTGACTCTGACACTGCAACATGTTGCCTCAACATGCTGGTTAATAGTTTGGTAATTCTGTTGTCTTTGTGAAAGTGGACTATGTTATGATCTTTTCTTTTTTTTTCTTATTTAGGAGCCTCAGGTCCTTTGTAACATGCTTGGTTTCTGCCAAGGAACCAACATTTATAAGGCACTGGTCTCAAGAATTCAATTTAGGACAGAACTGAAGAAAATTAACAAGGTATGATGTTGTAAATCAAAAATATTTTTCTTGTAGACCTGTCTGAACTCTGGATTTATGTTTGAAGAGAATCAATGTAGGAAATATTATTTGTAACATATTTTAACAATTTGTAGTTAAAATCAATTTGTAAAAAAATTTAATTTCTACAATGCTTTATAGGTTTATATGAGAAACAAAGATGAAAAGTGTGACATGTGTCACACAGTTTTTATGGAAATCCAGAATGTGCTGAAAGATAAACTAAATCAGGTAATTTTTTTCCCCTTGTTAATGAATTTCTGAATACTTGTAGGGTAAGATTGGTGGGACTGAAGAATGTGACATGTGTAAGGAGGTCATGACAAAGGTCAGGGATATGGACCGTGACCCCGCTAACCAGGTAACATTGAAACTATGTCAGTGATAAATCATAAAGCAGGTCAGGGTATTGAATCCTTGTATTGAAATATAGTAGGGAAATAAACACTTGGATTTAAAAATGGTGTTCATTAACTGACATTTTTTAAGGAAATTTTGATGTGCTAGTAAGTACTGTACATGTACTTGCATTTTTAGCTCACCTCAACGAAGTTAGGGGAGCTTATGTAATACCCTCGGCGTTGGCGTTCTGGGTTAAGGTTAAGTTTTTTGGAGCAGTTTTCTTTTTAAGTACTTCTATGTCCTATATTGATTAGACATGCATGGAAGATGTTTCTAATGTGTTTCATTGTACAAGTCAAAGTTTCAGATGCTGCAGTTTCAGCAAAGGAATGACCAGGTTAATGTTTTTGGAGCAGGTTAACATTTTTGGTGCAGTTTTGGGTGTAGGTCTCATTTTCGAGTAACTACATGTATAAGCCCTATGTTGACCAAACTTGCACAGATGATACATATAAGGATGTACACTACCAGACTTGCTTCGGATGCTGAATCTGACCTACATTTTCCAGTTGAGTGAACAGGTAAATGTTTTTGTTGCAGGTCTTATCTCCAAGTAACTATAAGCCCTGCTTGGACCAAACTTGCATGGATGATACATCTAAAGATATACACTACCAGACTTGCTTTGGATGCTGAATGTGACCTACATTTTCCAGTTGAGTGAACAGGTTAATGTTTTTGGTGCAGGTCTCATCTCCAAGTAACTATAAGACCTATGTTGACCAAACTTGCATGTATGATACATCTAAGAATGCACATTACCAGGCTTGCTTCGGATGCTGAATCTGATCTATATTTTCTGGTTGAGTGAACAGGTTAATGTTTTTGGTGCAGGTTTCATTTCCAAGATACTATGAGCCCTGTAATGACCAAACTTGCATGGATGGTATATCTTAGGATGCATACTACTAGATGTGCTTCGGATGCTGAATGTGACCTACATTTTCCGGTTGAGTGAACAAGTCAATGTTTTTGGTGCAGGTTTCATCTCCAAGTAACTATAAGCCCTATGTTGACCAAACTTGCATGGATGATACATCTAAGGATGCGTATTACCAGGCCTGCTTTGGATGCTGAATGTGACCTACATTTTCCAGCTGAGTGATTAGGTTAAAGTTTTTGGTGCAGGTTTCATTTCCATGATACTATGAGCCCTATAATGACCAAACTTGCATGGACGATACATCTAAGGTTGTATTCTACCAGACTTGCTTCGGATGCTGAATCTGACCTACATTTTCCGGTTGAGTGAACAGGTAAATGTTTTTGTTGCAGGTCTTATCTCCAAGTAACTATAAGCCCTGCTTGGACCAAACTTGCATGGATGATACATCTAAAGATGTACACTACCAGACTTGCTTCGGATGCTGACTCTGACCTACATTTTCCAGTTGAGTGAACAGGTTAATGTTTTTGGTGCAGGTCTTATCTCCAAGTAACTATAAGCCCTATGTTGACCAAACTTGCATGTATGATACATCTAAGAATGCACATTACCAGGCTTGCTTCGGATGCTGAATCTAACCTATATTTTCTGGTTGAGTGAACAGGTTAATGTTTTTGGTGCAGGTTTCATTTCCAAGATACTATGAGCCCTATAATGACCAAACTTGCATGGATGGTACATCTTAGGATGCATACTACTAGATGTGCTTCGGATGCTGAATGTGACCTACATTTTCCGGTTGAGTGAACAAGTCAATGTTTTTGGTGCAGGTTTCATCTCCAAGTAACTATAAGCCCTATGTTGACCAAACTTGCATGGATGATACATCTAAGGATGCGTATTACCAGGCCTGCTTTGGATGCTGAATGTGACCTACAATTTCCAGCTGAGTGATTAGGTTAAAGTTTTTGGTGCAGGTTTCATTTCCAAGATACTATGAGCCCTATAATGACCAAACTTGCATGGACGATACATCTAAGGTTGCATTCTACCAGGCTTGCTTCGGATGCTGAATCTGACTTACATTTTTTTGGATGAGTGAAGAGGTTAAATTTTCATGCAAGTTTCATTTCTTAGTAACTATTAGCCCTATGTTGTTCAAACTTGCATGGATGATACATCTTATGATGCACACTAATGGATTCGCTCTAGATGCTGAATTCAACATACATCTTTCAGATAATGTACCAGGTAAAAGTTATGGGTGCAGTTCTATTACCAAGAAACTATAAGGCTTATATAAACCAAACTTGCCCAAATGATGCATCAAGGGATGAAAACTCACAACTTGCTACAGATGCTGGATTTTAATCACATTTTTGTAACAAAGAACTAGTTTGAAGTTTTTATATAGGTCTATTCCAAAGTATCAGATCAAAATTACATAAATTTTGAATGTACACTTTTTGTTGGGTTATTGTGTGACTTTGCCTTACTTAAAGACAACATTCGTTGAGGTGAGCTCTGTAATCTCTGATTACCTATGTTTCTTTTTACAGGAGAAGGTTAAAAATTTTATCAAGACAGAATTATGTGAGAAACTTGGAGCTTTGGCAGATCAGGTATGTATACACCAGTATATGTTTTCTTTTTAAAAGTTACATTATGGAAACAGTAGTTGCTTTAACAGAGCACTTGAATGAAAAAACTATTTGTTCTTGCCATGGATGTTTATTGGTCAACATTTTGTATTGAATTACTCAAAGTCCTAAATATTTGACAGAACATGTAAAAGTATTATAATGAATTACTTGTTGATTATTTTTGTTAGTTTGTTTCTGTTTCTCTTTCACAGTGTAAGACAGCAGTGGATGAGTATGGAGGTATTCTCTTTGAGCTGATTGCCAGTGAACTGGTAAGTTACAGTAGATCACTAAATTTTAATGACACCTTATTTTAGCAAGATAGTCATAACTCTTTATTAGCTAGATAAAATTTTCACAATTAGTGGTTATTGCTCTATAAGATTATAAGATGTTTTGAAATGGAATGAAATTTTCGTAAGCACACTGTTTTGCATAAGTATGTGAAAATAACATTCTCATGAATCAAAAGCAATTAACAGTAAACATTTTTTTTTTAAGAAACATAAACTTCCTACTCTATACACTGTATTTGGCATGAAGCTTTAAACACATCAATTTTCTTACATAGGACCCTGCCTCAGTCTGTACCATGCTGGGATTCTGTAAGTCTGCATCATATGTTGCTGCCAAACCAATCTTACCAGGGGTACAGATGAAACCAAAGGTGGAGATACAGGCAAAACCAAAAGCTGGAGAGTTGTGTGATTTGTGCCAGATGGCAATCAATGAGCTGGATTCAATGATTACCAAAAATTCAACTACAGTATGTTTGATAATTAAAGTTTTTACTTTTTAAAATCACATATTAAGGACAAAGAAAATCCTTTCAATATGATTTGTGTTCATTATCTGTTGGACAGTAACATGTTTTTGTATATTTCTTTACAGCAAGAGATAGAACAAGCCCTTGCTGCTGTATGTGACCGTTTGCCAGCCCAGTTCAAAGATGAATGTAAAGACTTCGTGAAGCAGTATGCTCCAGCTATTCTGGATATCATTGGACAAGAGTTAGATCCCCTTAGAGTCTGCACACTTCTCAAATTGTGTACATCTGAGTCCAAGAAACTAGGCAAGATTCTCATTCTTACATTGCAGTATATTTAAGAACGCTTAAAAGGAACAGAATCATATAGACAAGTTCATTCATAATTTGTATTTGTTTTGTATAAAATAAAAACCAAGACATAGGCTCTGGTATTTGAAAGAGCAATACTTTGGCCATTTAAAGGCATTTGGGAATGATGTAACCATAAACGTGGATTTTCCATTCACAAGGGTAGAATGAGGTGTGTTTTCTTTTTAATTACAGACATTAAAAAATTGGAACAACCTCTCCATTCCACAACCGAGTGTGTGTTGTGTGAAATGGTTATGAAGGAGGTAGACACCATGCTTCAGGGAAGTCAGGTCAAAGAGGAGATCGAGGTGGCCCTTAAGTCTGTGTGTAATCGTCTGTCCTCCGCTGAGTTAACTAAAGAATGCACCAGCTTTGTCATGCAGTACACAGAAATTTTGGTTGACTTGTTGGTCAAGATGCCTCCTAAGGAAGTCTGCACCACTCTGGGCCTGTGCACTGCTGCCAAGAAGCAAGCCAAACAAGAACTACACCATGTCAAACTGATCTCAACAAAAAAGAATGGTGGGAAAATATTTCTGTTCTGCTTTTAATCTGGCACTGCAAATTTTTACTCTTCATTTTATCAAATCATGCTAAATATAATTTTATTTTGATTTTTCATTTGGACTTATCTTATTTATATATAAATTTAATAGCTACATTTTCAATTACCTATTTAATTAGGAAGATTCATTAACTTATTCAGAGGTGTCCTGTTTCTTTTTAAGTTCCAGGTCTTTTACACCTTGACAGTACAGCCTCAGTGGAGTGTGTTATATGTGAATATGTGATGTCAGAGGTGGATGATATTTTGAAAGAGAACCGCAGCAGACAGGCCATTGAGAATGCCCTACAGACTGTGTGCTCTAAACTCCCCTCCACCATCAGTAAGGAATGCTCTGACTTTGTGAACCAGTATGCAGACCTTGTGATCAATCTTCTCATCCAAGAGGGGGATCCAAAAACTGTCTGCACAGAACTGAAGCTGTGCCAAGCCGGTGATTTAAAAACAAAGCAGCACCTAGGTAAGGACTAAACATGCAATATCTATACCTGAAAATTTGGTACTGCATACAGTGAAGTTGTCACCCTTGTTAGCTCACCTGAGCCGAAGGCTCAAATGAGCTTTTCTGATCACATTTTGTCTGGTGTCCGTCTGTTTGTCCATCTGTCTGTCTGTCTGTCTGTAAACTTTTCACATTTTCGACTTCTTCTCAAGAACCGCTAGGCTAATTTCAACCAAACTTGCCACAAAGCTTCTTTGGATGAAGGGGATTCAAGTTTGTTCAAATGAAGGGCCAAGCCCTCATTCAAGGGGAGATAATTGGGAATTAATGAAAATTTGGTGGTATGCTTTAAAAATCTTCTCAAGAACCAGTGTGCCAGGAAAGATGATACTTATGGGGAAACATCCTCAGGTAGTGTAGATTCAAGTTTGTTCAAATCATGACCCCCGGGGGTAGGGCGGGGCCACAATGGCCGACCAGAGTTTTACATAGAAAAAGATAGGAAAATTCTCTAAATATCTTCTTCTCAAGAATAACAAAGCCATAATTGATCATATTTAATCAATTTATGCTAAATATTATTTTATTTCTATTTTTTCGTACATATCTTTATTCATAAGGTATAAATTTAATAGCTACATTTTTGGATTACCTGTTTTATTATTTAGAAACCTTAATAACCATATCCTGTTTCATATTAAATTCCAGGTCTGTTGCACCTTGCCAGTACAGCCTCAGTGGAGTGTGTTATATGTGAATATGTTATGTCAGAAGTGGATGACATTTTGAAAGAGAACCGCAGCAGACAAGCCATTGAGAATGCCCTACAGACCGTGTGCTCTAAACTCCCCTCCACCATCAGTAAGGAATGCTCTGACTTTGTGAACCAGTATGCAGACCTTGTGATTGATCTTCTTATCCAAGAGGGGGATCCAAAGACTGTCTGCACGGAACTGAAGCTGTGCCAAGCCGGTGATTTAAAAACAAAGCAGCACCTGGGTAAGGACTAAACATGCAATATCTTTACCTGAAAATTTGATACTGCATACAGTGAAGTTGTCACCCTTGTTTTATTTTTGCATCTTTGCCCCATTCACAAATTGGTGAATTTAAAAAAGAATGGGGCAAAATAATAAAATACAGTACAATTTCTTGAGCAGAACTTTGATTAGGGGAATTTAAAATGGGACAAATCATTTACAATTGTGAAAAGGCAAAATTAAACCAGTATGCAGTATTAAAGGCAGTACAATTTTAAATAATTGCATTCTTGATTATTTTGTCTGATTTGGATTTTTTAGAAGTTTTATGCTCCTTTAGAAGTATCGACTTTGTATTAGTTTTTGCTATAGTTACGATGTGATATATGTATTTTTTTTAGCATCAAGTGTTGGGGCATCACCAGAATGCATTCTCTGTGAATTTGTTATGAGAGAAGTAGACAACATTCTTCAACAGAACCGCAGCAGAGAAGCCATTGAGAATGCTCTTAAGATGGTGTGCTCTAAACTTCCCTCCACCATTAGTCAGGAGTGCACTGACTTTGTTAACCAGTATGCAGACCTTGTCATTAACTTAATCATACAAGAGGGAGATCCAAAGATGGTCTGCACAGCTCTGAAACTCTGCTCAAGTGACCTGAAGAAGGCACTTATTGATTCCATACAGTTCCTTCCCATCCCAGGGCAAGGTAAAGTTAAAGTAAATGTTATTTTATGTTTTATGAGTATTCTATGAGAAAAAAGCTGAGCAACAGAGGTAATTCAAACTGATTCAGTACACAAGAGGTGTAAATGAAAGGTAAAATTTAAGTGTTATCATATAAAATATCTGTTTTCATGATGGACAAGAAGATTAGTGTATTTAATACAGAACAAAGTTTTCAAATATTAAAAGACTGTAAACATCACATATTTTCTGTGGATGAAGAATTGTTGAGTAGTTATGTATGTAACATTTCACATTTCATGGTGGACATGAATTCCTTGGCCTCTTCATACCTTGAAAAGAACGAAAATTAAACTCCAGGAAAAGAACAAGGTTCACCTTTGCCTTTTTTTGGCCATGTGAATTTCTGAAAAATTGAAACTGCTTAGTTTTTGTTAACAATGCATTGAAAAACACTTAGATCTTTTGTGATTGTGTATCTATCAAAAATGACGTTATTTTCTGGCAAGTCAATGCATTATGATGTCACAAAATGCGTCAATTACCTCATATTCTGAAAAAGACTACAAAAACGGCCACTTTTTAAAGCAATTTCTCGATAATTGATATATAGAGCACAACCTCTGATCTAAAATATGCAACTAGTAAATGAAAGAACTGTTTCTGAGGATTACAAGACACGTTTTATTTTTTTAGATCAGAGAGTGTGCTCATATTGTTCTTCATTGAAAGTACTCAAATATACCTATTGACCTTAAAATTCAAGTACATTGCATTCTCAAAAAGCCAGTTCTCCAAGACCTGGACTCTTAGGAGAAAATCTTTAATAGGAAATGAGAGCACTAAGTTTCTATTTTACTTTAATGCTTCAAATGGAACATCAAGTGTTAATCAATCAATTGGAATATCTACAGGGCCATTTTATACTTAAAGTACTAAAATGATTTGCATCATACATATATTTGGATTTTACTCATGTCTCATTAATCAGTGATGGAAATTATAATCTTTTATTTTTGTTTTCAGTTTCTGGTGTAAAGCTGGGAGATGAGAAATGTGAAGTATGTGAGATGATTTTGAATTACTTGGATGAAGCCCTGAAGGAGAACAAGACAGTAGCTGCCGTGGAGGCCCTGTTAGATCAAGTCTGTAACTTCCTACCCACCACATTCAAAGAGGAGGTAAACACATATCTGTGATGTTCTGTTCCTTATGATTAAATTTATTATTCTAGTAAAAAGATTTAAATGGAATGTATTTAATAACTTGTATATTTTTTAAGGAGGGGAGGTATCTTTTGTACCTTATATGAACTTTTAGGGCACTCTTTGTACATGCAAGTTAATGTGCAAGCACAAAGCATAAGCTAAATCTTGAGCAAGAGCTATCATTTAAGAATTACAGTATAAGAATGATTAAGATGACCACCAACTTTGTTTACTTTTAGCTCACCTGAGCCGAAGGCTCAAGTGAGCTTTTCTGATCACATTTTGTCTGGCGTCCGTCTTTCTAGCTGTCTGTCTGTAAACTTTTCACATTTTCGACTTCTTCTCAAGAACCGCTAGGGTAATTTCAACCAAACTTGCCACAAAGCATCTTGGGTGAAGGGGATTCAGTTTGTTCAAATGAAGGGCCAAGCCCTCATTCAAGGGGAGATAATTGGGAATTAATGAAAATTTGGAGGTATACTTTAAAAATCTTCTCAAGAACCACTGTGCCAGGAAAGATGAAACTTATGGGGAAACATCCTCACGTAATGTAGATTCAGGTTTGTTCAAGTCATGACCCCCGGGGGTAGGGCGGGGCAATAATGGTCGACCAAAGTTTTGCATAGAAACATATAGGAAAATTCTTTAAAAATCTTCTTCTCAAGAATAGCAAAGCTATATAATTGATCATATTTATATGGAAGCATCCTCAGGTAGTGTAGATTCAAGTTTGTTCAAGTCATGGCCCCCCGGGGGTAGGGTGGGGCCACAATGGGTGACCAAAGTTTTGCATAGAAATACATGTATATAGGAAAATTCTTTAAAAATCTTCTGCTGAAGAATAACAAAGCCATAATTGATCATATTTATATGGAAGCATCCTCAGGAAGTGTAGATTCAAGTTTGTTCAAATCATGACCATCGGGGGTAGGGTTGGGCCACAATGGCCGACCAAAGTTTTACATAGAAATATATAGGAGAATTCTTTAAAAATCATCTTCTCGAGAATAGCAAACCCATGATTGGTCATGGGACTACTTTTGGATTAAACTTTTCAATAATAAACTAATTTCTATTTTTTCCTAGCCACAGTGCTCAGGTGAGCAATGTGGCCCATGGGCCTCTTGTTATTATGATACTGAGTAGTAAATTTCATTGCAGTGTGACACACTGGTGGCTCAGTATGGACCTGTTATTGCCCAGCTGATTTCTCAACTCATGGACCCCAAAAAGATTTGTGAGGTATGGCACATTTTTTGTGGTTCTTCATTTTGTCTTACACTAGTACTGAAAAGATGAATACTTTAACTTTCCCTTTTGCCTTACACTTTTTTTGTAGGAGATAAAACTGTGTGCCTCCAAATCTCAGGTGAAACAGTCACCCATTTACCATCTGATGAAGAAACTGAACAGTGCCAATAAAGACACCAAGTTGTACTTTAAAAATAAACAACATCTACTGGGCGAGAAAGAGTGCACATTTGGGCCATCTTACTGGTGTGCCAGCCAGGAAAATGCCAAGAAGTGTCAGGTATGTAATAATTCTAGTACTGGGTTTATTTTAAAGCCTAATCACTTTGCTGTAAGTGTCAATGATTTTAAGTGTGTTTGCTATGAGATATTTAGTCTTACCGAATATTTTATTCACACTATTTAAAGAGATATCAAATCACTGACGACATTGGATAATGATTTGCATGGAAATTAATGTCTATACTTTATGATTGTTTTTATCCTATTTTAGGCTGAGGAGCACTGCAGAACAAAAGTATGGAATAGAAATTAAAGCAATTCAGCAAGACACAGGAGATTAAAATAATAGACTTGGTGAATTAAGACCAGAAATAACCATTTTAAAACCCATATAATGGTTCAAAATGTGATATCATTTAGTGATTGCCATTTTGTGTATATACATCCTTGTAGATTTATATTTTCTAAGAAATCTACAAAGTACGTTTTTTCGTTATTTATGCTTTATTTTAAGTGAATTTCTGTTTGGAGTTTTCTGTATTGTAAGTGTACATGTATTATAAAGCACTGTAAAGTAAATACAGTTATAAATATGGGCTTACTATATACAGCAATCCAAAGTGTACATATACCACTCTCATAAACAGGACACTGTGAATCATTTTTATTGAAAAAATCAAATAGACTGATGTCCAGTCAGTAAATAATTTAGTAATCTGAACAATAATTTTTTTTCCAAAATGTTTTTCTAAGTATTGAAGGTGACTGTATTTTTTTGTCACAGATATTATAATATGAGAATATCAATATTATGTTTATTGAGTGTATAATTGTATACTTATCAGGTAATACATGTACATGTATGATATTGATTCTAGTGTGAAAGATTGAAAATTTATCTCCTACATCCATCTTTTGAAATATATTGTAATATAAATGGGTAATATTTGTAGATCAATCAAGTAATAACATATAAATTATTTTCTTCCTAACAGAACTGCAAATTGACTTAAATTGTACTTTTGAGGTATCAAATCATGACTATTTTAAGTTGCAGAAATTATCCATTACCGAATGTGTGTCAGTTTATTGCCTTCTTGCTTTAGTGTAATATCTCATTGCCCTTAAATCTTCATTATTTTTATTTTATTGATGTGAATCTTTTCTCAGTTGTATATATGAGTGCAAAGAGGGCAGGTACCCTTGATATGTAGAATATAGAACAATTCACCAAAAATATACTTAATAATTATTAACCAAGTATTTCTGTTTATGGATGATGTATGCACTAATTTTTTTTATTTGTATATTTAGTGCTAATGGAACTTTATAATAATAATTTCAGGATCTGTTACATTCCAATTACAGGTAAAACAAGATACTGATAAGATTATGATCTGAATCGTAGAGATGTTTCTCAAAAGTTGTACTAAATTTGTATCAGAACCCCAGTTTAATCATTTACCCCGGTACTAAGAAAAATTCATGGTTGGATGTTCTACTTTTCAAATTGTTTTTGATCTAAAATTTTTACCATTAAAGTTCAAATATGTTAATTTCTTTGTTTTGTTACTTATATAAAGTACAAGAAATTCTCTGGAATCTTCATTCCATATGAAATTTATGTATGAAATACACAATCACTGATATTTATAAAAAAGAGGCAAGGCAAAAGACTGTTGTGCTGGTTTCTACTAGTACATGTACTAAAAAAATGTATTGGCTTTGATTTACCCTAAGATACATATAAGAAAATTTACCTGTTCATTTGTAGTTGGTTTTATTTACAAAAGTAAGAGCCATATGTACATATGTATCGCATTCAGAGCCAAGTTCAATGCTACAATGGACATAGCATTTCATAATGTTCTGCTACAGTACCAGTGCATCTCTTCTTCAAACGATTTTCAAGTACACCAACTGAAGAGAATTTTAGAGCCACATTTTAATGGTTAATGTGAGCGCAATGTTCAGAATATAATGGTCCTATAAACATGATAAAGCTGAAAATGATTCTAAAGGAGGAGTTATCTTTGACCACTATACATATATAGTTGTCTCCCTTATCATACTCCTTCTTTCAGTCTTTATATGTATAAGCCCCAACTGTAGATTCAAGTTTGTTCAAATCATGACCCCCGGGGGTAGAGCGGGGCCAACATGGCCGACCAAAGTTTTACATAGAAATATATATAGGAATATTCTTTAAAAATCTTCTTCTCAAGAATGACAAAGCCATAATTTATCATATATATATGGAAGCATGCTCAGGTAGTGTAGTTTCAAGTTTGTTCAAATCATGACCCCCCGGGGTAGGGTGGGGCCAAAATGGCCGACCAAAGTTTTACATAGAAATATATAGGAAAATTCTTTTAAAATCTTCTTCTCAAGAATGACAAAGCCATAATTCATCATATTTATATGGAAGCATGCTCAGGTAGTGTAGATTCAAGTTTGTTCAAATCCTGACCCCCCAGGGTAGGGCGGGGCCAAAATGGCTGACAAAAGTTTTACATAGAAATATATAGAAAAATTCTTTAAACATCTTCTTCTCAAGAATGACAATGCCATAATTCATCATATTTATATGGAAGCATGCTTAAGTAGTGTAGATTCAAGTTTGTTCAAATCATGACCCCCAGGGGTAGGGCGGAGCCAAAATGGCCGACCAAAGTTTTTAAAGATATATATAGGAAAATTCTTTAAAAATCATTTTCTAAAAAATAGCAAATCCATGATTGGTCATGGGACTACATTTTCTCCTTTTCCTACCCTTAGTGCTCAGGTGAGTGATGTGGCCCATGGGCCTCTTGTTGTTTTTGGAGTTTTGCTTTGAATACAGAGAGGACAGCTAAGAAAATGAATTTGCAATTTTTTAATTCACTATAAAGTTGTGAAACATATTCATATATAAACATGCTAAATATCTATAAGTAACAAAGTGGAAACAATGAAACCAACACCAAACAAAAGTAAATAAAACATTTCTTAGAGAACTTTAACAAAAGGAATGCTCTAACAGTAAACTTAACCAGAAAAAAAAAACTCATCACAACTGTACAAGTAATAAATAAATATTGCTTAGAATGTTCTAAAATACTGTAAAGGTACTTTTTTCCAAGGGACATAATTCTGCAAAATCATTTTAATTTCTGTTCATTCTGTGGGTAAAACCTGGATCTATTTACCTTTTATGTTTGTCTGAAAGAGTAAATTTACATACACTGTGACAAATTTCTAACATGGAATATGTTACAAAGTATAAATCAATCCCACATGGAAAAAAGTATGTCTACAGTTATAACACAACCAAATATAAATGTGCAGTATGTGGAAGGATATGTGTAGAAATATAATATATATATAATACATATATATATATATATATATATATATATATATATATATATATATATATATATATATATATATATATATAATACAAATACAAAATATTCTTTAACATTTTAATTGGCATTGTATATTCTTGCAGAAATGCACTTATCAACATTCACAAAATTGCACCTTCAAATATTAATGAGCATTTCTGGAGAAAAGTGACAAAACAGAGTATTAGTAAAGCTGGAAGCACAGAACTGGTAATGCTGTTGTAAATATTAAATCAATGTAAAATATGGCAATTTAAAAAAAAACAGAAAGGATTTCATTTAACAGTCATCAAAGACTTCAATAACATGGATTTCACATTTCATAATAATGTTTTAAGATAACAATAAGACATATAATTGGATGTTGTACAAAGTACAAGATGGATTTCAAATAAACAAGATTTTCATTTAAGACTGAAGAAGATATAGACTTGTTTTTCTCATTTAAAAAGGGTATATGTATTAAGTATTGCAACAAGTAATCATTATGCCTTTCTATAATAGTAAAAGACAGGTTATATAAATACAGAATTAATAAATATTGGTATAATTGTCAATCACTTGATTAAGCACAAACATTGTCTACTTCCATTTTGCTTTTTTGGTATTTTTCCCTACTGTCTGTTTATATATTGCATTTTCTCTAATCACCATGATGAACAGAACTGAATGCTTTTTCTGAGGTCACAGTCAAGGTCACACGATCCTTGGTGTCATTTGAAAGCACTTAATTAGTGGAGTATGCATACCAAATATGAAGTCTCCATCTCCTATAATTAAAAAATAATGGCGAAAGAAAACTATTTTTAGCATACAGGTCATAGTCATTGTCACAAGGTTAATGACCTTGGTGTCAGTTGAAATTGCCTAATTAGTGGAGTATGCATACCATATATAAAGTCTCTATCCCTTATGGTTCAAAAGTTATGGCGAAAGTTCAAGTTGACAACAGACAGATAAACAGACAGACAGGACAAAAACAATGTACGCCCCAAATCAAAAAATACTTTTGAAGCAAATCTTATTATAAGATGCGATGCCAAGTTACTTGATAAGGATTAATATTGCATCAAGATAGCCAAAAAGTATGGTTGGCAGCCCCACATACTGTAACATCTGTGTGCTCTATCATTCTACTTGTGGTGCACTGAAAAAAAGATTCCTTGTACAAATTGCAGGTATAGCACCAAGATCATCTGTCAAAAAAAAAAAATTCTCAGTTTTTGTGACAACTCCATTAACATTTTAAATCAATGTTTTAAACTTTAAACCAACTTCTATTGTTAGGTCTAAGGCACAATTTATGTTTAACTGGCACAATTTATGTTTAACAAAATTCAAATAATTAACAGATTAAATAATAAGTCGTTTTAAAACCAAGAAAACAATGCTTGAAAAAAGCGATCTGTAAAGCACCAGCCTGTATTTGTAGAAAGACGAGCAGCAAGGCACTATGCAGTGATAAGACTCATTTAAAGAAAGGAAAAAATTACATGTAAAGAGTGAAATTATGTATAAAACAAGCTAAGTATATAAAAACTTTGGAATTCCTAGATCTGACCAATCTTTAAGCTTGGCAATAGAAAAACAAACATAACAGAAAATCATGAGCAGTGTGTGTAATATCCTAATAACTTAAAAAAAAACATACATTATTTAATAATAAATCATTCATCCAGCTGTGACTACTGATAAATCACATATCTTCGAGGTGTAAAATTTTCAAGGTTTGAGGAAAAAATATTGGTTTGTGGGGATTTGATTTTGTGGTTGGAAATTTTTTTAGTAGTAATGCTTATGAAATTTTACATTTCATGGTGGTCATTTTATAGGTCTCTCCATACCTTGAAAACAATGAAAATTAAACCCCACAAAAATTAGTGAATTCACAGTATGTGTTGGATTTCTTTTAAAAAAAATGCTTCCTCTGGTTTACATGGAAACAGCATACCTGGAATTCATATTTCTATTAAACTTAAAGCTATCCTTGATGATGTAAACAAATAAACTACAGACAAAGTAAAAAGGAAATAAATAAACATAAAGCTTCCTTCTTGGATTTCTATAATGCATGGAAACATTTGTAGAAGTAGTTTCATACAAAATAATCTTATTCAAATACACTTAAAAACCTTCTATTTACAATAACAATAAGCTTACATAAATAATTAAATTACAGTATGTAAATGAAATGCATCTATGCTGAGATTCTACAGGAATGCTTTCTTTGTGTCCTAGAAGGCATGCTTTAGCCAGCCACCCACTTTCTATCTGTCCTTAAGGGCATGCTCCAACCAGTCATCTTCTACATCATCATCAGAGTGGTCGTCTGACTGGAGCAGTTGTGTATATTTAATCTCATTGTCTTGTTTAGGCTGACAACATCTCTGTAGTAGGAAGAATACAGGACACCAGCCAACAGACAGAATAGAAAGTGCCCTAAACAGTATGCGGATGCCATACTGATCATACATGACACCAGACACCAGGCTCCCAACTCCAAAACCAACACCGAAATAAGCGGAAGACAAAACGGACCTGATTGCTCTGTCTATAGTAGGACTAACTCGGAATGCTTTGTTACTCAGCACGACAAACCACATCATGGTGTGGGTCACGGCATGGAAAATTTCAACAGGAAGGACAGCCCAAGGGGTCCACAAATACGAGTAATAAAGCAGGCGTCCAGCAAGGCACAACAACGAAATGCTGATCATTCCACCATTACCTAATATCTTAACCAATCTGGAACTAAAAACCAGAACCACCAATTCAGAGAGACTTGCAACAAGTATGCATAAACCCATGGTGATTTCTTTCCCTTTCAAGTCCTGAATCAACCAAAAAAGAAAGTTGCTATGTGATGCAAAAATAAAACCCATGATGACCAAGGTGAGCATGTATAGCAGGCCTCCACATGTGCAGCACACTTTTCTCATTGCTGTTCCCAACTTACTCTTGTACTTAGATTTTGGGGCATTTGGAACAGGGTAGAGAAAACTTATCAGAAATGTGATCCCAAGTAGAGCTCCAAATGCATAAAAATGAAACATGAAAGGATAAACTTTTAAATCAAAGAGACATGTGGTGTTGTCAACCACTAAAGTCACAATGACAGGGAAGAACATGTTGGCCAAGGAGCTCCATACTCTGTGCTTGCCATACTTTTCCATGTCATCAATTTGCTCTAAAAATTCAAACCATGAGTCGTCTGCAATTTTTTCAACAGGTGAACAGAAAGCTTCTCCAACAATGAGTATCACTAGCACAACAATGAAGAGGTTTTGCTTGGCCTGCTCTATCTTTTCATGAATTTTTTTCAAAATTGCATCTGATATGTTTTTAGTGGATATTTCTCTTCTCTGTCGGACTGACACACCATATCTGCTTAAAAAATCTTTTATCACAGCTTTTTCATCTTCAGATAGAAATTTTCTTAGTGAATCTATTGCCTCTTTATTCTCTGCTATTAACTTATATTTTTGAAAAATGTCTTCTGCTGTGAGCATCTTCACCTTTTCCTTTTCCATAATACCAGTGTTGATTAAAATGGCCTTGACCTGGTTAAGAACTTGATCCTCATCATCCTTCTTTTCTTTGGTTGGAACAGTTCTTACAACAGTACTACTCACAGTTGTTGGAGAGGTAGTAAATGGGACTGGTGAACCGACTGTAGAACTCTTTGGCATTAAACTGTGTACTGGTGGCAAGCTGTGTGTGCTGTTAATATGAATAGGTGATTGTGTCACTGGCAATGATGGTGTACTCTTTTGTGTTGATTGTGAGTCACAACTCTCCATTGATGGACTATAGTTTGTTAGCAAGGTCAGAGGTAAGTATGTAACTGCCATCATAAACAAGGCTATCATCAAAACTAACCTTCTTCTGTGAAACTGAATTGCACACTTTGACCATATAGGAGCAAATATAAAGGTTGAAAATGTTTTTGCTCCAATTACGAATCCTGTCTGTGTTGCTGTTAGTCCCAGAAGTCGTAAATATATCGTTAGGAATGGAAGAAGACATGATTTACTGGCTGAAAAGAAGAAGCTGAATAGGTTGCAGAGGAAGATGGATCGTGTTAGGTTAACTGGTGCTGTTACTTCAACTGGCATTTTGTTATTTGGGGCTGGGATGGTCTCTCTATTTCACATCAAAAGTTTTAGCTGTTCAGGTCCTGAAAAACATTTTAAATATTTTGAACCCTATATGCTACAAATATCCTTACAAAGTAAGAAACACATGAATAAATCAATGATTGTCAGAATAACATTCTCACATGTCAGTTTTGACTTATGGCTGCTGTGGTGAAGTGAGCAACATCTGGGGATCAAAATAAAATATGCCTAGATTAACCTGTACTTGATGAAATATTTGTGACTTTTTTAATATCATAATAATGCTTGAACTTGAAATGCAATTTTAAAAATTTTGGTATTTTGAACTATGACACTTCCAATGCCATGGCTATACCTGTATGCATTAGAAGTCACAATCACTTATTCTTGTTGTAATTAAAACCCTCTTTAATTTTGAATACTTGGATATCCAGAAGATTTTTCTTAGTCCCATTCCACTGGAAGCAGCAAATTTTCTCTCTTTATAGTAGCACTGATTGACACGATATTCTAACACGTCAAATATCAAAATCATAAAAAAAAAAACACCTGAAAAAATGATTGTCAGAAAATTCAGACTAGCTTGAGTAGGCCAGGTCATAAAAAAATTCAAAACTTATTTTTTAAAAAAGAAATTGGTACATCATAATATAGCTAATAAATAACACTCCATGTTAGAGGAAGCGGAGAGTGAAAATGCACATAATATAGATTTGCCTTGCATTTTTTGCTACTACTAGCTTAATTCAGACTTAAGATAACTTAGGTATTTTATCAATAATTGCCATTGCAGCAACCTACATTGAAACACATAGTTAAAAGTTTATGATAAATTTAATAAGTCTGGATCTATTAAACTATACATAACAATCTGTCCTGCAATAATATTTGTCCTACTCCTAGCCCTAAGGCTACATGTTTGTTCATTGTAATTCTGCATGAAAACATTTGTACATCACGGAATTTTTTGCAATACACAATTATTAATTAGCTATTGCAAAAGAAGCTTGCACTGGCACTTACATTCGAACAGATACATTTCCTGACCACTAAACAGTCAACCAGCTTTCTGACATTGCAACATGTTTCCAACTGTTTGCTTCCGATTGTCGTAATTGATGGCGTGGCGAATTTCACATTTAAAATAAAATAATATATTTCAATCTAGGGATGTTTAAAGTTTTTATATAACATTTCATATAAAATTATGCTATTCAAAAGGAGCAATAATTATACTTAACGATATTTGCGAATTTGAAAGTTGATTTTACGACATTTATTGCCAGCGTGTACTTGGAAACATGGCGTCGATGTTTGGAAAATCGTCAGGTGCTCCTGCGTCAGTGATGCAGCCAGCTCAACCTGCACAAATGGATCGTTCCGAACCAGAAGATGATAGACCCAAATATCCCAAGAAAGTGTCGTTTGCACAGTTTGACCCTTCTGCACAACACCAAATCAATTCTGTAAGTCTGACAGCTACTTGTCATCTTATGATTTTCCTTGATTATCACCTGTTGAGTAACCAAGTAAAACATTTATTTAAGATTTTTTTGGCTTTATGTATTTACAGTACTGTAATCTGCAATTTTTTCAAAGTTTCTGTGTGTATAGATATTTTCAGAAAAAATTACATTTATGGACACTTAAATTTGCTCCTTTGCTGTATATAAAACAATTTATTATTGTTATGTACAAGTAATTAACTTTTATTCAAAAGTTTGATAATGTTGTACAGAAAGAAATGAGCATGTTGACACTTGCTAGGATTTGAAACACCAGCAAACCGAAAGCAACCGAAAGTATAGCCTTATTGAGATTTACACAAAACTTAAAATGAGAAAATCATTTGTTCCTCAATTATCGATAAATGATGAAAAAGGTACATGAATTTCATCATGTCTAAATTTATCCCACCGTACATTATGATAATTACAAAAATAGCAAGTAGTGAAAAGCATCAATGACATAGAGATAAACAAAGAGTAGAAAGGATATTTCAGTTCACATTGTTGACCAATTTAGACATTTTTTTGAGTCCACATGGAAAAACTAAACTCTCAATTATTTTTTGCAATATTTAGCAACACAGTAGATTAATTATGAATAAGCAACAATTTTATTGAAAAAAAAATACAAACAATTAAATGAAATTTACAGGGCTCTCACACCCATTTTTGGTACTGGGGCCGGGGCCATTGAAATTGGGGAAAAAACGATGTTTTTATAAAAATTGGGAAATTTTTACCAGTCATAATTTAAACTCTTACATCATTGTCTTGCTCTTAGTAGAAATATTTTTTTCTACACTGACAACAGCACTGCAGGGATTAAACTTAACTTTTTGACCACTGTAGCAAATATCAGCAGATTTATTTTTACTATCAAATTGTAATATTGAACTTTTACTAGCATTTTTCTCCTCATAGTGATTCATATAAGATTTAAATAATCTATTAAAAAAAGATAATAATTTACCTCTTGGAAGCATTTAGGCCGTTTTTACAGATGCAACATGAGTAAATGAGTTGTGTAATTAAAAAAATCATCTTTATAAATTTAAAATTCAATCATTAAATACACTGGGAATATATTTTTTTGGAAAATTAAAACTTTTTTACAAAAAAATCGTAAATAATTTAATGAAATATCTAACATTACATTGTACATTTTAAGACCCTTTTTTCTCCCACAGGTCGCTTTTAACTCGCATTTTTTTATTTTAATTCTCATTTAAAGAGTATTTTCCATTAATTTTGAGCCCTGACATCATAGATCTTCATATTCTGCGACATGTTGTGAATGAAGAAGGCATACCTACTTTACTACAGACGGCTTTCGTTTTCATACTAAACAGGCATATAAACAAACTATTTGATTTTATCTTAACAAAAAAGATATGCTTTTTTGTTACAGTAATAAATTTGAAGCAATCATACATTGGGAATTTTTACACTTTGGGAAAAAGGTACCTTTTTCACATTGGGAATGGGGCCGAATATCGGCCCCAATTATAGAGAATCGAGAGCCCTGAATTTTCATGCCATGAAACTATAGTTTCCACCCTCTGTAGGTAAACATGACTTATATCTGATATCATATTTTTGTCACTGAAACAGTTCAGGTATTTTTGATTTTGGTAAAAAAAAGAGTAGTTTGAAAGCTCAGTATTCCTTAGTGCATTGGGGTATGCATCATGAGGAATCCTATTTTTATTTTCTTATCATAAAACAAACTTTTATGTTTGATATACAGTCAATGCATGCTAAATGTGTTCATGCATGCACTGAAAAGTGTGTAATGTCAGTAGCAGAATGATCAATCCAAAACTACATTTGAGAGGTGTATAGAGTTGTATAAAAATGAAACTGCAATCACCCCAATGGTTTCAGTGTTGTACATATTAATCCCTTACAATGGATTTTCTCAATAACATTTCAGATGTTTAACAGTCCCATGTTTCGAGAATTGGAGGCACAAGTGAAAGTCAATACAGACATTTTGGATAGAATGAACAAGTAAGATTCCTTACCTGAAAGTCATGCAATACAATACAAATTCTTTGGCACAGCATGGTAGTTTTGTTTCAAGTAAAACTCTTGCTTTGTTTTCAGCAATTGTGTATGAATTATTTGCCCAAAATAAATATGTCACCATATTTACAAAATTCATACCATGATGATTTATTTTTTTTTATTTGTGGAAAAGGTATACATATGGTTGGTTTTTGATTGTTTCATTTCATTTTAATCAGGCAAATGGAAGATGAGAGAAAAGAAAGGATCAAAGCCAAGCAAACAGCTCATATTCCAGAGGCACTCAAAGGGAGGTAAGTCTAATGCTGAATAAGACAGAAGTATATGTATTATTTGATTTAAAAGAACCAATCTTACAGAAAAAAATTAAATATGTATTCAATATATAATAGTGGTCAGGAAATGACAAGCATCATGAAGACGGTGGAAGATCTGATATTGATGGGTGAAGAAGTTGAAGAGGAGGAGGATGAAGAAGAGAAAGATGTTAAAGAAGGACAGGAAGCAGAAGAAGGTGATGATGAGGAAGATGAAGACGAAGATGATGAGGAAGACGAGGAAGATGAAGATGATGATGAATACAGAAGGAGAACACCGTGAGTTATCTTCCTTGGCAATATTCAAATCTACCTTGTTAAAGAATCAAAGAATTTTAAACTTGGATATGAAAATGCTTTTAACACAATAAAAGAATGAAAAAGCAGATATAAGTTAGTGTTTTTACATCGAATATTTTTCAGACTGAATAAGTTACAGATCTTGGACTCACACAGCAAGGCAGCTCTTACCGGCCACAGTTTGGCTGCTTACGTTTCTACCCTAGACGAAGAAAATCTTAAAAAGTTCACATCTAAAATCACACAGGACTGTCAACTATGGCTGTCAAGATTGTTCAGGTATGCAAGAAGAAAGAAACACAAGGTTTGGACAAGATCAAAGAAAAAAAGATTATTTTTTGCAATTTACAGAGGTTAACTTGGTTGGACCAGTTTGTAACTAGAGGATACTAGTTCATTTTTGAAAATTTGCAATGTATTTAAAGCCACTAATACCAAGTATTTGCGTTTTTATATCTTCTTAAGGTTAAGTTTTGAAAACCAACAATTCAAGGTCTGTTTGTTTTTCAGGTTTCCAGATTCCTCTCCATTTTATCATGATGAACACAAAGATGGCCTCGTGAGGATCTGCAGAATGGCCCTTTATCAGAAGTACCCTAAGTATCCAGTGGAGGGATTTGAGGCCCTGTACTCCAGGCCCCCAGTCATATACATCAGCTCCGCAGCCATGCCAGGTCTCAGCAACTACCTCTGTTTGCAGGTAAAGACTTTATATATTTTATTTGTTAAATAAGAAATGCATTTATATTTTAAAACAATATTTGTTTCCCTTTGTAAATCTTTTGTGTTTCTTTGTTAAGTATAGTGTAAACATGAAAATTTATTCATGGGTCTTATGTACCCATGCTTGTAGGATGCCCAAAAGTATTTTTTTCAAAATCTGTTCACTGCATGTATATTGTTTACATGTGATGACAGTTTTGTTTTATGATGTATTAATCCTTTGTGTTTCCATATTATCCTCCATTTGTAATGTACCATGCTGCACTAGAAGTGTAAAGAATAGTGTAAACATGGAAATTTATTGATGGGTCTTATGTACCTATGCTTGGATCAGGGACATAAAAAATTAATGTTGCAATGTACTTTTTTTTTTTTGAAATAAACAAAGCATTTACTGCTTCAGAATATTCGAATATTCGAATATATTGGAGATATTCGAATATAAATTCATGTGATGACATTGGCAAAAACTAGTTTTATCAGAAATTACTTTAAGATTTTATTTAAAACAAAATTAAAATGGATTACCTCAAGAATGTGTCTATTAAAATGATATAATTATTCATTTGGTCATTTAAAAAATTGTCCAGTACTTATAATTAGTTTGTATTGTTGAAAGGACACATTTTTGTTTATGCATACATCATTTAAAATCATTATCAGGAAATTAATTAGCTAAAAGTAATTGCTTTTAATGCATTAGATAAGTATAAAGAAGGGTTATCAGTGTACACTTTGGTAAGATGATTAATCAATTAACTTATTAAAAGAATCTTTTGAATTTTCAGGGGGAAATTTTTTTATTACATTTTGGATATAAACTCTTCATATATTCTGAAAAATATTTTAGAACATAATTAAAGTGCATTTACAAAACTCTACATGAAATTTTATTCTAAATAAACATAAAAAGTATATATTGCTTTTGAAGATATATTATGTAATGCAAGATGTATAAAAATTTAAAAATATAAAAACAGAAATACCATATGATTTTGACAATTTTTTTTTACATATGAAATGTTTTATACAAGATTCATTGAAATCGCACAATCTGAACTATCAAGATGACATTTCTGCTATAAATGATTACATCATCCAAATGTCCAACATCTTTCTTTATGTGTCATACTAAATCATGATCAGTAAAATGTTTAATTTCATACCAGTGAGTCCTAAAATTAAAAGCTGAATTTTAATCAGAATTACATAACTTTCCGCCAAGAAGATAGAAAGCTAAAAATACACATGGGTTATTCCAGTGAAAGTTTGCAAAATGCTTTTTTAATCAACTTGCAGTATTTGACTTACCGTATATACTCGCTTATAAGTCGGTTCGCCTATAAGTCGGTTGTATTTAATAAGCTTGCTTGGTTTTGTGTGAAAATAAAAAATCAGATGTTATAATTTTAATTTTTTACGTATAAAGCCATACTTTTAATAGCTGGCCTATAAGTTGGACAAAGAGTTTTAGACCAGAGATTAATTCCCCAAAAACCGACTTATAGGCGAGTATATATGGTAGTATGAATGTGGAATGGCATACAATATCTATAACATTATTCCATGAGCTGATGTTAAATTTATGACCAGGTTCTCCCCATTTGGGTTCTGTGGATAACTTACAGGAATTAAGGAAGATCTGTAAAGAACATAAAATCTGGCTCCATGTGGAAGGGTGAGTCATTTTAATAACATTTTGTCATGTAGTGGGCTGCATAGGATACTTTCTCAAATAAATGATAAAAATTAATCACACAATAGACAGTGTGATATTAATAATTGTTTTTTTTTTCTGTTTATACATGGATTTACAAATATTTGTGCATTTATAGGAATATAAAAGAGAGAGAAAATTGTATCATCTTTCATTTTTTTTTTGTGGTTTCAGAAACAACTTGGCTATCTTGGCCACAGTGTCGGTGCCCACGGCAGTAGAGCCAGCCACCTCCGGAGACAGCATGACGCTACGACTCGGGAAGTGGATCGGAATCCCGGGCCTGCCCTATATCGTATCCTCTTTGTTTGAGAATTTCAAATATATATTTTTTTGCATACTTTTGCATATTTACCTGTAATCTAAAGCCAAAAATGGCATGGATGAGAAGGGCATTGGATGGAGAATGTATAAATGTTAATCTCCTATGATTGATCTTCAGCCACATACACATGTATTCATAACAGCAAGTGTTGGGGTGGAGGATAATATCCCCAGTAAATATAGTTTGCTGGTATAATAAATTTGACAATCAGTAGACCTTAACACTTTTAAGACCCTGTATAAGAACACGGACCCTGCTCTGGAGATTGCTGCAGGTCTGAATACATTTACCCCAGAAATAAAGCTGAACTGTCTGCCATTTTGGATTGTCCTTCAGAGTATGGGGCATGATGGGATTGTGGACAGAATCAAGCACTGCTGTACACTAGTATGTGTGAAAATTCTCTTTCTTATAATGATGATTTAGATATCTAAAGCAGTTTTAAACTCCATTACAAAGATTTTTTAGAGGAATTTCTCAAATGAGTTTTGTTTTTCAGGCAGAGAAAATGCATGACATTCTACAAAAACTTCCAACTATAAAAGAGATTGTAAGTCTCATTCAATTCTTGCAATGCATGGTACTGCTGTTATAAGTTTTCTGGACATAAATGTAAATAGAATTCGAGTTACTTGAGATTTATCCTTTTAGAAATTCATAAAATGTTTTTCTCATCCCCAGGGGGAAGAAAAGACAGAAGAAAAAGAGGCCAAAACCATCAAAGATCTCTTATTTGTTGCTATTGATGCTCTGGTAAGTAATCAATTTCAAAATACTGATTAGTTTCTGATCAAGCTGCAATCTTTTAATATGATTTTAAAAATTGAAGATTTTTCTTATATTCCTGTAGTTTGTGTTCAAGATGGCTAGTCCCACTGTTGTGTTCAAATATATAGAAGACAGCACCACTGGTGGTATGTTGGATAAGTCAAATTAAAATCACCATTCTCAGACATTTTTCTTAAATGCAGATTTGAATGGGAGGATTTTTCCTCTTTTTATCAACAATAAGTTATTTACATGAGACATTAGTTTATTCTACTGTTATCCTGTAGGTATAATTAAAATCTCACAAAAATACCAAATATATGTGTAGTTTTAATTTTTCTTAGACACAGCATACATAATGATCTTCATGCTTACATGAAATAATTGCCAGAAAAAAATATATATGTGTAATACTACAGGCAGGAATAAAGATGTATTCTGTTGAAAATAGTTTTCTTTCCTTTTCTCCTTGTTTTTGATTTCAAAGTAATATGATATCAATAGATTTTGGCAAGCATCTAGAAATTTAGAACCAAAATAAGTGCAAATCATACCTTCTTCTTTAAGTGAATATCAAGTTAAATATTTTGTAACAAATACAGCAGACTGCAGTATAAACATAGTATTTATATTACAAGTTTGTTTGATATGATTTGTTGAATTTTCTTTTTAGCTGTGGAGATAGCTCCTTATTCCCCCGTTACTTCACAAGAGGATATAGAAGAAAAAGAAAAATTGAAAACATACTATGATGCACTAAATTTATGGGTATGTAAATTCTACTATTACGTTACTATTAATGCTAAAGAATGTTTAATTTGTTGTTTTTTTTTATCCAAGTATGTAATGTAGAGTTGAACTTCAGTATCTCAAAGAATTATTCTTTACGTATTTTACTCTGGTATCTTTAATGATTAGCTATCTCAAAATTTACATCTTTGTCTCATCAAGATGAGATATAACTTTGTATCCTTTACAGCTCTGTGATACTCTATATCTGGAAAATCCAAATGTCCATTTAGAACTGATAGATGTGGAGCATGAAGGAAACTGTATCAAGTTCTCTCCCCTTGACACAGCACAAGGTTTGTATCGAATTTTTTCCCTTGAATCAGCACAAGGCTTGTATCTGTTTTAAGTTCTCTCCCCTTGACACAGCACAAGATCTGTTTCAAGTTCTATTCCTTGGCACAGAACAAAAACTGTATAACAAGTACATGTATTTTCTGCAGTTTTCCATTTTTTGTGGACTTTGTTTTTTCCAGAACACTATAAGTATTGCACTAATTCAGTCTGACAGTTTGATTTAATTTTTGTCATAATTGAATAGTGCATGTTACATGAAAAAAAAACCCAGTATGCTTACCTTACTGTGGCATGAAATGAAAATGATTTGAAAATAATTCATTAAGATTAATTTAATGAGGGAGGGTTAAGTTTAAGTTCTTAAGCCCTCAAAAAAAGGTCACTCAAAACAAAAATACTAAAGTGTGTGTATGTTTTGCCACATCCTTAACATATGGGGTAAACTGATCGTGAGTCAGACGCGATCATGAGTCGGACACCAACTTTGTTCAACATTTACTTTCGCATCCTTTGCTTTATGAATAAACTATCAACAGATATCGTTTTTGTTGTCTTTTGGTTATTAGAGTTATCGCGCTTTACACACAGTGTCATCCGGGTCTTTCTGCTGCAGTGTCAAGAAGTGGCAACTTCAAACACGGTAAAATGAGGCACCCATTAGGGGATTTTAACCCTTTTTGATACATGTATCTTTTTATTCATTTCATTTCTGTATTTTAAGACTATTTTTTCTTAAAATTTCTACATATAATATTTGTAACAGATGTTTATTTCATAAAAAAAGTATATTTTAATTTATATTTGCGGAGATAATATTGTGTCTCATGAAATAATCAAGATGGCTAAATTGATATTAAGTCGGACAGCTATATCATATCAATTGATATTGACAGCTTGTCCGACTCAAGATCATTAATTAAAATATGCAATGGTTGCTTGAAAACAATCACTATTGAAATTTGAAACTACTGGGGCAATTGAAAAAAACTAAATCTAATGAGAAAAAGAATATGTTGTATTGCTTTCATCATATTATTAATAAATGAATACCGGCATATTTATATATGTAGACCTACCTTTTAAAAATACCCACAAGGTTCAAAATTTGGAAAGTGTGTATTCTATAATTTAGTCATAAAAATCGGCATATATTTTAAAGACATTTAAATAATTATTTGAATCGACAAGTTTATTTCTATAAAAAATTTAAAAAATAAATGATTAATTTACGCGTTCACGTATCTTTTTATATTGTCATTTCAGTCAAAGTCAAATATGAAGAAAGTCGCCGTTTTTGGTGTGTATGCGGTGGGCATGCACCACTGGGGAGGGACGGAATTAAGGGTTGGTAACATATACTTCGCCAGAAATGAACTTTTAAACCCCAAAGATAAGCATGCTGTGGCGGTGTATGCAGATACAGATTGCTCCCATAAATGAGCCTACTTCTGCCGGAAAGATGCACTCCAATTGTGTAAACTCTTTGAGCTCCAGTGTATATACAATGTACCAAAAATTTTCTTCCACCACCAACACTTTTCCCAACTTTAACCTATACTACGACTTATCTGTGGAAAGTAGGGGGGGGGGGGGGGGCTAAACTTACGAAGATATGTTCAATGTCTATATTAAGTATGTATTTGGAAAAAAATTTGCCTATGCAATACTATGGAAATACAGATTTATCCAAGTTGACAAATAGAGTACCTATCCAACTTTAATGAATTTTTCATTTAAATAATTTATTTAAAATTCAATAAGGCATATACATGCTTTTGAAATTTTGCAATAAGCTTTTGTTTTAACATTGTTCAAAGGACAAAATTTTGGTGAAAACGTCATGCTAAATTATTTTGATGTTTAATTTACTCGTGAATCGCTTCTTTTCGATAGATTCAATAAATTATCCCATCGATTGTGCTGCTTGCGCGTCTCATTATCAAGTTGTAAAACTATGTACGACTTTCGATCACATGGTGTCCGACTTACGGTCACTCGCAACTTTTTCTTAATTCGAAAGATTTTATTCAATTCGGAACATATTAAAGCATTAAAGGACATAAAAACGCTAGATGAGTCCCGATGGAGAACATCAAAGCAAAGTTTATCACTGTACACTCATTGGATTAAATACAGTTCATGTTAAAAAAAATATGTGTCCGACTCACGATCAGTTAACCCTATGTTTCTAATCTTGTACATAAATTTTTGCTGCAAATTGAAAATGCTGAAATTACAAGAAAGCAGAAATTAATTTGCTACCTTATAAAAATTCCAACCACAGAAAATACCTGGTATACAATAGTTCTCAACAGCTCAAGATTTGAAGTTTTCTTCCCTTGAAACTACATGTACATAAAGTTTGTTTAAATCTCTTTCTCTCCCTTTGTCAGAACACTGGATTTATAAACTACCAGTAAATCCTATTTCCTCAACAGAGAGAAATTCATAAATTCCTATTTCAACTTGACTACTATATCAATATTTTTTTCTCTTTTAGTGAAGGGTACAGTGGAAGAAGATATTGAAAAATTTGGTGAAAATTTAAAAAAGCAAATCGTAAGTCCAATTTCTAAACTTAAATTTTTAACTCATATGAGCTGAAAGCTTTAGTGAGCCTCCCTGACCATATATTATCTTATGTCCAACTATCTACATGTATCTTGATAATTTTCTGTAAAATTTTTAATTTACATTACCGGTATTACCTAAACATTTTTAATACTTTTTCTTAAAAAAAAAAGTAATAAGTCAATTTCTATCAAGTATTCCACAAAACATTCTAAGGGGAAGGATCAGGACAAGTTTGGGCTACCCGGCTAGGTCTCATACATGTTTGAAGTATAAAGTTATATGTAATTAGATACGATAGTTTAAGATAGCAATTTATTAAATTTGATAGTACTTATAAATTTAAACATAAGAAGTTCAACATACTTCTCAATTTTCAGGCAATTCTTGATGCGACAGTTCTACAGAGAGACAGGTTTTGTGCAATCGTGGAGGCTCAAGACAATCTGCGTATTGTTGAGGTTCCTAATTGGGCTGGATTAGGGGTCGTGCAGTAAGTTATCAAGGAAACACCTTAACATCAATTGTTCAGTTTGTAATTCGACTTATTTCTTCAAAAAAATAAAAAAATATTTTAATCTATAAAACCAACATTTTTTTCTTGGTTTGTATCGACTGTAAAGATGATTGGAATGTGTTTTATCTTGAATTTTTAGGATTTGCTAATATTTTCTTAGATATATGCCTGAGGAATGGAGAGAGAGGATGACAGATTTGCCAGACAATGCTAAACGAGACATAAATAATATCAATACTGAGCTTGTAAAGCAGCTTCAATCCAAGGACACAGCATTCTCATTAGGTGGGACCCTATAGATGATAGCATAATGGCAATAAAAAAACACCTTTTTTTAAATCAATCTGCTTTTCTGTAGCCTAACTTAAAATTGCATTGAAAAAAAAATTATCTTCAGCTTTAAATAGAAATGTAAATAGTTTTTTTGTATATTGGATTGTATATTGTTATACATGTAGGTTATAACGATGAGAACATTGGGTGTGTGAAGTTTGGCCTGATTACAGACGACACAGATCTGGAGGATCTGATTGGTCTAGTGTGTTCACTCGGCAAAGAGATCGAGGAATCCTCTAAGGTGAGGCTTATTTACAGGGTCACTTTGACAATGGTCTTGTGTTATAATCTTTCATCCAGGGAATTTTCAGTAATTTAAAATTTATTTAACAAATATTAGGGATATAATTACCTGTATTCATACAATGCTAATTAAACTTTTATTTCAAAAATTGGAATTAAATGTCTGTCTTTTTCAGGAAACATTGTTTATTAGAGAAAAACTTTCATGTGAAACAAGATTTTATGATCCAAAGTAGCTATTAAGGTTATTCATACTCAAAAGTTTAACAAATGTTATTTCAGTACTTGGAGAAATTATCGGAGAAAATCCAGAAAGGAATAGAGGAGGCTAATATAGAACTACACAAAGAAATGGACGAAAAGCTACAGCAAGAGGTAAAGCTGGCGGAGATTTTATCTTACTATTTATAGTTATTACTAGTTATTTTTATTCCTATATTTAAAGCTGTTCAATTTAATTTTTAAAAAATATTTTCCACACTTTACAGGGTGTTCTAAGACAGGTACCATTGGTTGGTTCCCTACTAAACTGGTGGTCTCCTCCTCCAAAGGATGCAGTGAAGGGACGCACATTTAGTCTCAGCTCTGGTAAAAAATTACTCATAAAACGGTTTACTTTTGCTATTGTCAAGAAGAAAAAAATATGAAATACATTGTACAGTTAACACATAGCGACCATATTTGTAATGAATTGACGCATACATATAACAAAGTGATTTTCATTCAAAATTTGCAAACTTATTGGATATATGGAATTATGTTTTTAAAGTAGCAAAAATATCTATCATGAATATCTATCCTGAATATCCCTGGCTTTTTGTTATAGACATGTTTTACTGTGTAGAATTTTGATCCAGGATATTTTTAGGAATTACGTTTGTAAAGAATCACAATTGTTGGACCTTAGCAATTCCCTTCAAGTGTCTTTTACTTTACATTGTACTTTGGAAAAATACTTTATCCATGCATTAATATTTTTTATTTTGTTTACAATACATATACCAGTACCTAAGCATTATGATGTTTCTTATAGTAATACTTTATGAGATGTTGTGTCAGTTTCTAATTGTCTGTAAATATTACTTGTAGGCACTATGGCTAGCACTGAGAAGACTTACAAATACCACATGCAAGTTCAGGAAGATGATGCCCCTCCCCCTGCTGTGACCCCCTCTCCAAACCAGACCCCAAATTCCTTCAAAGATGTTCTGAAACCGGTAAAATCTCAAACCAAGTCCGCTGGTGATGTTAAAGCTAATCTCACTCAACAATATAACTCCTCCTCTTCCACTCAGGTAGTACTAACTAGCACTCCTTTATCTGTATTACGGTACTAATGATTATGTATGTACATGATTAGAGGTAGCATACCCTGGTAGTCACTGTTTTCTTAATATTAATCAAATTATCCACAAGTAAAAATACTAGAATTTGAATAAGTTTTCATTTCAGTACCCATGATCTGTGAAATGAGGTCTTAAACTGAAAATGTATGACAGCTTATGGCAAAGATTAAACTTTCTCAAATGCAAGTCAAACTCAATAGTCGTTAAGGGGTCAGAAATGTTGTTACCCAGAGAAAGGATGGTCAAAAGTTATGGTCAAGGATAAATTTTGGTAATTTTTGAAAAATTGAGTTTTATTTTAATACACCCCCCACCCAATAGGTCTTGTCACAAAGAATTCATGTGTAAAAATATGAAACCCATAGCTCAAAGTACCTCCAACCAATCAAATGATATTGGTTAGGTTAAAATTTGCAGATTGACTGACGGACAGGGAAAAAATTAATATACTATGTAACCCCAAATCATAGATTAAGGGGGCATATAAAAGGTTGGAAACTGCTAGTATAGATTGATTCGTAGACCCTGATTTCAAACTCTCTTTTCCATTTTTGTAAAACATGGTTGTATAAAGTAAACTTACAGTAAATACATGAATGCATCAAAATTACATTTTGTCTTCAAGAAGTGCATAATAAGGAAATATTAATTGACTCTGACTAATTTTGGTCATCTCTGAAGATTTGCTTTGCTATAACCATGTTTTGTCTTATGTACTCAGAATAATAATACCAATATATAATCAAACTTAAGAAATGAATTTGGAATCTGAAAAGAGGTGCATAAAGTAGTGATTTTTAAATTGATTTTTTCAGAGTTCTAGTCCCAGTTCACCACAGACAGAACAGAAACCTAAAGAAACTCAATTTGTAGAAAACCAGTAAGTTATTATTATTATTATTTTTTTTGGGGGGGGGGGGGTATTAGTTGTGAGATATCAAAGTTTTAATTGTAAGGTATATACATGTAGCTATAAACAGAGATAAAGTTAAAAACAACAGGTACATTTGTTGATGGTATGGTCCTCCATGGTTGCTTAGTTTATCAGTCAATGTCATCACTGATACCAGGATTTACAGTACTATGACACAGTTCATTCTGGTGTTCAGTCATATGTCACTGATGCCTCAGACTGTCAATGTTTGTCATAGATAATAATTATTTAGCAGTTATGTTGTTGTCATGTTTATATATGCACTCTATCCATGGTCAATTTTACATTTATTGACTTTCACATATTTAAAACTTGTCAACAAGGACATGCATTTCACAATTCACATTAACACATATACCATAGTTTTTCAGTTGCTAAAGGGGCGTCACATTGCTTACATTTTTTTTTCTTTTTCAGACAGACCCCTGACTTGAAGTAAAACAACATTCCATTATTGTTCCATATAAAGCTGTGATATGGTCAAACGTTTTGTCCTGAATGTAACAATGTGTATTGTCATCGTTTGTGACAAAAGCTTATTTGTAAATCTGTTTTTATTGATTAATGTATTAAAGGAAAGCAGTGAATATTGAATGTTTTCAGAATGAATGAGTTAAGTATTTATTATATTATACCTATTTATTTGTATGGGTTATATGAAAATACTGTTCTTTGCAAACAGATGTCTGATCTTGTACGTGTAATATATATTTAATGTACAAGCTACAGAAAGTGGGTTCAAAAAACATTTCTTTCCTTAAGGAGGCTTACTCTTTACACACATTTTACATACATGTATTTACATAATCAATTTTTTGAGTGATTTTTGAAATCAGCTTTTGCTTTACATTAATAACATTTTTTCAGTGCTACTGATTTTCACTCCCTATTAATGTTACTGAATTATACATGTATAAAAATGCTCACCCCATTTTGAACTAGCTCAACACTATATTTAGGTAAGGCTTGTATTTCAACAATGTGCCCATTCTTTACGTTCATTGTTGAGATTTACCTTCCGTTTGTAAAATTAATTTGCTTGCAGCAGATCAATTACTCTCTTCATACAGTATTTATTTACATTCATTTGTATTATTTATTTTATTACACCATTACTTTAGATACCATTTCTAACCTACATTATCATATCTATTTATGTACAATGTACATATGACTTTGTGGAATGCATAACTGGTTTACAATTTAGTGGTGTTTTCCTTGAGTTATCTCCCATTTCTATGTATTTTATTTTGTCAATCAAAACTGTGTTTTATTTGGGGAATTCCTCTTTTTATAGGACCTGGTTTACTTACATGTATTGAATGTTTATTAATTTTAGAATAAAATGGAATCCATATTTATCTGAAATCCAACGATGTTTTAACTTTGTATAATGATGATATGCAGAAAGTATTAGTTTTACACCGAAGTTAAATTGAACTTTTTTGATCACCTTTGTAATACTGTCTGTTAATGTACATGTATTTATGTTCCATTGTCAGTGTAAACTTCTCTTATTTTTTCTATTGGCTATAGACCAGAAGAGCTTACATATGTAGCTGTCTGCAAATAATTTTTCAAAATGATATAATTCTGAATATTTTTTGTTTTTGTGCAGCCATCATGTTGACATTCAAAATGATTCTCCTCAAAAAGTTTTGCTCTGATTTTGTATTGATACACAAGTAAACAATTCAAAAATATGAGAAGTATTTTTTTTTCTGCTTATTATTTATTTAGAGCTATGTATGCAGTCACAAATTTTCCACGGAAATTTGTCCCATCATACTCAATATACATGTACAGGTAAAGCATATACCCTGGTAGCAAGAATCTAGGAATTCTGCATGATTTTCTTACCATGGATTAAAAGAAATAGAGATTTCACAGAATTATGACCTAGCTGATGGTAAAAGTATGTCTACAGTACAACTGATGTACATGATTCTATTGATTGTTAATGATCTAGATGCCGGTAAACAAAGATACCGGTACATCTTTCTTTTTTAGTACACACCACTAGAGCTACAGTCTTGTCATAGACTTCTAGTTCTTTTCTTTTAACCATCCTGAAACTGTTTGTCATGTGTCATCAAAGTGGGATAAGAATGTTTTTCTTTGGATCTGAATATCAAGCATTTTTTCTTTCTTTTTTCTGATGAGATAATGGTACATGTACTTTGGATTATGACTGGATAAATTCTACATACATGTATTCAGATTGACTGAGTGCCATGTCATATTAACCAAGAAGATTTTTTTTTTTAATTTCTAAAATTTAAGGATTTGTAGAAAACCAATTTGGATGTTATCTAAAAAGTATAATTGTAGTGTTTGTTTAAATTATAATTCCATTAGGTGACACAAATTATTTTCATTGAAGTGATAAGTTGTAATTTTTACAACATTCAATACATGCATTTTCAGTGTAACTTATATGATCTATATATAACTATTTTTTCCTCATTTACAATCCAAGCAAATTTACTACAGTAAAATTTATATATATGTATTTGTATATTTTTTATTTCAGTATTTCTGGCTTTTAAAAGTTTATCATGTATACTAAATTGCATAAGTCTGCACATGTATATTAAATTCTATTTTTTTATTATCATGCTTTAATTATTAGAATCTCAGAAATAAAAAAAGGAATAATTTGCACATTTCTAAATATATTCAAAAATATATTATCAATAGCATGTATTGAATATTATGAGGGAAATATTTATTTATATGTATCAAATTATGTTGTTTGATGTACAAGATTGTTATTGGTATTCTAATAAATCGGTTAGAGAAAAGAATTACTATGAGTCCTATGTTTGTTCTATTACGTACACATTGTATTCACTCACCTCTGTTGAGACAGAATCTCAACAGGGATTAGGTATTCACAAAATAAACAATCATGTAAAGCAGGGACCTATATACTAAAGTTAGTATATAGGTCCATGTGTAAAGTTCTATTATAAAAATGGTGGAAAGGGTTAAAAATCACACAACAGTAAAATTTTAATTCTTTTAATTTTAATAATACATGTACTTGTTTTAAATATATAAGATGAATTTGCAGATTGTTCATTCTCACATTCTTCCGATTTAATTAAAGTCAGAAATCGCAGCAAAACAGTTAAAAACTTTTATCATTTAAAAAATCTTGAAGAACTGTTGCATTTCATTAAAATTGGTTAAAAAACAGAATTTTCATTCCTCAAGAAGTTTAAATCATTCAAATATGGCATATTCAAAGTTGACAGTGAACACCAAGACATGCAACAAAATATTCCGCGAAAATATATGCTAATAAGTGTATTTGACCAATCAAAAACGCCGTTACTTCTACGTTTGCTGATACATGTTTACACTCGCAACCATAGACGGAATACACAATAACATTCAGACCAATCGTTATAAGCCAAAATATTTATGTCTGTGTATGCTGTTGCCTAGTCGTTCAGCCAAACTAATATATTCATCTGTAAATGCACATGTTTCATACTTTCATTTCATAAAAATCTTTCGAGCCTTTGAAATCTCTCAAAATATGCATTAATTGCTCGAAATAGTTTTTTAATGTTCACTTTTATTAAAAGTGTGCAAAGGATTGACAAGCTTGGGCATATCTCACTAACTGCCGGTTCGCGGGAAAACAGATAATTATCCTGTTGGACGGTTAACACTTGTTAGGAGATCAAGGTAAATTTTCGTCTCTTAATTAAAATTTAATTATTGTTTGGCATTAATTATTTAATCATGGCATGCATACCTCTTCATATGATTACACGTGTAACTGTAAAGTGACCGGCTGTGAATTCATGATGGCTTTATTCATATGCAAATGAGTTCTCTTGACGCCCTTTTAAAAGCAAGTCTATGCTTATATGTGCCACATATATATAAATGTAACTTAATAAACAGTAGTCTGAACTTGAATTTAGCTAATATTTTCAATTGCTAAGTTCAAGAACATACACTTTATTACCGAGGAAAGAACTTAAAGCTTTTTAAAATTGACATTAAGTGGAAAATATTTAAAAAGGTAATGTATTGAAAATTGAATTTTATTTTTAAAAAATGTATTAATTAATTTGCAATACTTGCATTAATTTTAGAAAGTAAAAAAAATTATTTTGACCTTTGGTTGAAGTTAATAAAATCCTTTCCATGAATGAAATGTACAATTTTGCAATAAATTTTATTTCATGTTTCTGGATTTTTCTTGCAGGTTCAATTCATCTTAGTTGGTCAAACTTAAACCGCCAAAACGAAGTACCCACAGGCTTACGCGGTGAACCGTCACCAGGGTCAGGGGGCCAAAAAGATGCCAATTCTCACACGTGATCACCTTGCAGCCAGATTTCGGCAGAACTGGATGAACAAGTACCCCCTGGATACCTGCAGCAATGGCGGTATCAACCTGGATGACAGTCTCACCAGTCTCAACTGGCTGCAGAATCTCAACATCATGAAGATTACCTCCCCCACCCCTCCCCCCAGTCCCGGGCCATGCAACAATTATTTCAACATGGACAATAACAACAAGAATATGAAAGTGAATCCTAACCATGTTCTCAATGTGTCTTGTGCTCCACCTCAGTGTAAAATTGAACCCAAGTTTCACCTCGGGGATCCCGCCCCTCCGTCAAGTTTAGGGGGAGATTCTATTGACTATAAAACCAATCCCTACGTGAAACCTCCATACAGTTACGCTACCCTCATCTGTATGGCTATGAAGGAAACCAAGAAAAGTAAAATAACCTTGTCAGCGATTTACAACTGGATTACTGACAACTTTATGTACTACAGACTAGCTGACCCAAGCTGGCAGGTTGGTATTTAGTCCATATCTCTTAACTTGAAGGGGAAAGATATCATTCAAAATGTCTATCAATCTCAAGTAGCATTCCATAAAATAAGATAAGCAATACGATAAAACACTTTATGCAGGACTTTATCAAATGAACAGCCACTTGTAACGGTAATAGAGTTTTGCAGGCAAACTATATTGTATTCCATTATTCGATTTATGTCTTCAGAATTCCATTCGTCACAACCTGTCACTCAACAAGTGTTTCCAGAAAGTTCCCCGCCGAAAGGATGAACCCGGGAAAGGAGGATTCTGGAGAATCAATCCCGAGTATAATGACATGATAGAAAACGGAATATTTAAAAAGAGGAGAAACAGCCGAGACACACCTTGTCTACCTCCCACAAAGAAGATCAAACGTGAAGAGGAGGACGAATACTCCAGTTGTTCTAAAGTAAAGAGTAAAGAGGGACTTGTTCACTTTGGAAACCATGAAGATCAAGATCATCTAAAAGGTGATTTTAACTGGACCTCCATCTTAAATCAGGATATAGAAATAGGAGGGGTTAGAGTGAAAACAGAAGATTTATTAGATTCCAATGACAGCTGTGATTCATCTCCTATGGTAGCCATGAGTCCGCCATCTTCAGAGTGCAATTCAGACGATTTCACAATAGAGGATCTGTTCTCTCAAACGGAGCTCTCAAACGATACAACCCCCCTGGACTTTGTTACAAATGATCCTTTAGATTTAACCATAAATGGACAGCATATAGGTGTCCCCCAGTGGTGGGAACAGAGTTTAAATCTGTCTGGAAGTTTTAAGACAGAGCCTGAAAGTGAAGAGAAAAGTGGACTACATACCCCCATTGCCCCCTCCCCCGCCCCAGAGGATCACACAGACAATGAGCATCCCTGGGCCATGAATGGCTTCGATGATATCGGGGATGCCTTTGATGTAGACAATTTGTTTGACCTCGAAAATATTCCTAGTCCAAAAATTTAAAACAGAAGTTCCACATCCTGTCATCCCCAATGCGAATTATTGTAAATTATTCTATTATTTTACATTAACCTTTGGGTATTTTTTAAATCATGTTTTAACTGGTCAGTGTATAGGATTTGCCTTTTCATTTTTCTAATCATCTATTTATTGAGAAAATTGGAACAAAGTCCATAACTTCATTGTAAAGTGAATGGAGTTTATTCCACGATTTTCTCGGGCCATATTTTATGAATCATGATATAGAAACAGTAGATATATACCTAACTGTTTGAAGTGCGAGTGGCAAGTCTTGATGGAGAGAATATTTTTGCTAATCATTTTTCCCCTAGATGTGGTGTACATACACATTTTTGTATTTTTTCCTGAAATATGCAACTTCCAACTTTAAAACCAGAGTTGCCATAAATATAAAGCAGCACTATAAAGTATCCATTTCAATGTTAAACCAAAGGGCAATTTTTCTTTCGCTTTTCTGTAAAAGTTGTCTTCATTGGTGACCAATATTGCAGTAGAAAAACTTGTTTGGAGAAAAAGAGTTGTATATTTCTTCAACAACAAGACGACAGCAAACCAAGTATTATTTATTGAATCCGTCCATTTTTATCTGAATGATCAGAAACGGGTGCATTTGTTAGACTTCTTTGTTAACAATTTATTGTAAAAAATTATTTATTGTTAGTGTATATTTCCAGTCCACTTTTGATAAGTGTGTATTGTCTGTGATATTTTCAGTGTTGGATAGTTGCAGAATTTTATTTCTTCCTTCAAAAAACTCGACCTACTCTCACAGGTATAACCAAGTACATGTACTGATTTTCAGTATTCCTGTAGTACTGTGAAAGTGGGTTGAGGGTAGTGGACATTTGACACCCTTCAGTATTACTGGCTCACTGTGTGCCCAGAATGTCAGAAAATTCATTCTATATATGTATTTTTTGAAGAAAAAAACTTTAAAGACAAAGAAATAAAGAAAAATATTTACAAAGATGAACATGGTTTTGCTTCAATTTTTTAATAAAAATATACATTGCATTGATTCCAGGTATTTGATCCCAGTCGGAAAAATTGTGAAATCTCTCTCTCAAAGGAAAATCAATGAAAATGAATGAAATAGCTAATGAAAGAGGAAAGAAAAATCATTAAAGGGAATCTGACAAATTATCAATTATGCAAATCAGAATTTCCTGTCATTTGAAGAATGGCTGAACTAATGTAATATTACACAAGTATCTGATTCAAATAAATTTCCTTTTTGGGGAGGTGAAAGATTAGAAAAATATTGGAATTTAACACGAGATGAATGGATCTGCATTACAGTGGTATTGAATGAACAGCTCTAACCCCGTAATGTAACACAATGCAGTTGGTCAGCTGGTTCGAACATGCTCTAGTTACAATGGGCTTTTTAATGTCTATTGAATGATTGTAAAACCTTATAGTATACCCCAGCAGACATTGCTGACGTATATAACATGAATAGCTTTTAAAAAACTTCAGAATTTTTATTGTGCTGAAGCAGCATATCGTTGAATATTGATTGAAACTCAAATAAAAGTCCCCATTTGACACTTATGGAAAATCAATTATTATTAGGATGGAATTTATTGAACAGGTTAATGACTTTTCTCTACAACGTACTCCAAAAACATTGGTTTTCAACCTTGTCAAGCAATGATAAAACAATTAAGATAAAGTTATCTGAATGAAAAGGTCATGAATTGTCTTTATAATCATTCTCAATCTTTGGGACTGAATAAAATAAACCTCCAGAAAAATCTTTTTCATTCAATATTCAGCTCAGGAATGTTTAGAAATTTCCACATGTACGCAACAAATTTTTGTAAAATATCAACATGCAGATTTTTCTGAAGAAAAAAAAAACATTTATGACGAGTAGAACAGATCAGAAGCTAACAAAGATGAAAACACATTTTACCTTCAAGACTTAAAATGATTATGTGACATTTAGTAATATAATTTTATAGAATTTTGCTGAAATAATAAAGTACATGTATTAATTACAAATTGCCTGCAAAAATAATGCCAATGGCTACACTATATCATGTTTGTCGGCAATAAGTAGTTTCAATTCCAAGGATCGCCTTTTAAGTACCAGTATTTTTTCCCTAACTGATAAATGCAACCAAATAAAATTGCTGGATCAAAGAGGATGATATTAGCAAACTTGTTCCTCAGTATCATTAAAGACTAGATTGCAGCTTTCAAAATATATATCTGAACATTTTCAAATTTCCAGACAGGGTAATAATATTTAACAATCGTAAACTGTGAACATGATTTTAAAGAACTCTTCCTATATCCATTTCACCTGTACCGTTAAGAACCAAGAACATTTAATTATTAATCGCCTCACACAATCCTATTCTTTTGATCAAAATCTGCCTACGTCTTTTCACTTCATAATTAAAGCTGTTACACTCTTACTATTAGAACGTCACAGTTGTGTGATTTTTTGTGGCGTAGATCCACGAGACTAATTATTATTTAATGAATCTGCGATTCTGTTTGTACACGTTTAAGATATCTTTAATTTCATGTGTACTGTTTATGCATTTCATTTCTTACATAAGAAAAAACCAATGAAGCACAATGTTCCATTGTATAGAAAGACGATTAAGTAATTCATGCATTTAACTATCCTTTCCTATCTTAATTAAAATCTGAACTGAAAAGTAAGGGCAAAGAGAAAAGCAGTCAGGTGTAATTCTTATTCTGATAAAGAAAATTCTCCTAAAGAATGTTGAAGACATTAGCTTTAGAGCGACCAACAACCTCTATACCATGTAACATTTTGTCAAGCTAGTGGTACACATAGTACTGACTGTGTATAAGGCTTAGCTTTCAAATCAATACACATTTTCAATGAATTTCAAGTACTCCATACTGTAATACCAAAAGATGTAGAACATACATGTGTGTATTAGGTAATTAATTTCTGCTTGGGATTAAAACCCGTCTAATGCCTCTGTATTGGTTAATCAACACAAAGATAAAAATAGTTTTCAATGTTGTGTCTCAACAAAGTAAACAATGTTAAAGTTTAAAATTGTGTATGCTTTAGAAGAGCGAGCTAATCATTAAAATCAACGGACTACTACAAATATGTTAAACAGTGCGATCTAGGTCAATCCTCTGAGAGGTTAAGCTTATTGGATACATATTATGTGTTACTCTGTTGGTATAGTATTAAATATTGGAAGGAAATTCATATTTGTTTTCGCTACCCCTAACCTGCAAATTTTTTTTTATCAAAAGCACTGGACTTGACTAAGAATAGAGATATTTAATGTCCTATTCCAACCATTTAAATATTTGAATTGCCTAAATTTGTTTTGAAAATGACACCTTTAAAACCCTTGATCTGCAAAACGGTGATGTTCTATATAGGTCTTGAGATTTTGTTTGCAAACTTTCCTTTAAATTACAAATTCAATACATTAGACTTGATCAGACCTTTTTCTTGCTATTAAATTAAGATCTTTTTAAAGGAAAAATCCATACTTCCTACCAAATTGTGGCAGCTTTCAGGGGTAAAAAAAATCAAGTATCAGTTCTGTAAAATTCCATGAATGCTATACCCTGATATTACAATTGATTTTTTTCAAAGATAAAGCCAGGAAAACCGATACACTCTTTTAATCAAAGATTTAAAACCTTATATGACATGACACAAATCTCATTAAATTTACACATGATCTTCAAATCTTAAAAAATGAGAATGTATAAGTGTATTGATGAAAGTTCACAGTATCCCACAAGTAGTGGTATTGTTATTACTCGTATTAAAAGTTACAGAACTTCCTTATTTTGTAAAATGTGTTCCAAAGTAAATATGACGAATGAAATATGGCATTTTAGAGAGCTGGGTTTATCCCTCTAGGTGTAGTCTCTGGGGTTAAGTCCTCCATTACTAACAAATTCAAACTTCCAGACATAATGAATCAGCCATAACTACTGTTTGGACGAAACTACCAACACCGCCAAGGGAGGGAACTTGTTCTTGACCTAAAAAGAGATCATGAAGTTAGTTACAATGGGTGATCAAACAATGACAATCAATAAATGGATATTTCTCTTATCTCAACATTTTCCCCTCCAGAAAGCAAACCACAGGGTTGTCGATAAAGTTCAGTGTCAATTAGTGCGATATGAATCTATCAATCATTTCTTTATAAAATATATCTCATTAAAACAATCTTTCTTTGATTTTTTAAAACATTCTGTAAAAATCAATGTCAGGAATAATAGTGATCAATATATATTTACTTCACATAAAATCTATATTTATCAATATAGGTATGGTATAGACTAAAATATACCAAAAAAAATCTTTTACAAAAATTTCTCTTGCAATTTAAGTTTTGAAAAAGGGTCCATGATATTCTTATAGTAATTAATAAATTCCAACTGTTTATACATAGACTTTTGAGTTTGGTTGATGTTATTTGTCAAAAATTGTGAAAAACAATATACTAGTACATATGTAAATTTCAAAAATTCCTTAATTGAAAAAAAATTCAACAAGATGCCTCAAGGTCAAAGGTAAGTAATTTGAATAAATTTGACTATAGTATTATAATGAATTGAACTAAATGTAACCATTTTTAAGCTGTGTATAGGACTGTTCAGATTATGGGGATTAAATGGAGACAAATGATGATTCACCTTAATCAGTACATACATAATCAGATTTACAAATATTTAAATGTGATTTCCTTCAAATGAATGAATGTGTCTTACAAACATGTAATAATAAATTTGATATCAGGAGTAATATGGGAAAACAAGGGGGATATTTATGATTCAGGTTATGTATTTTACATAATAAAATATGTTCAAATCAAATCAAATCAAATATGGGAAAACAAGGGAGATATTTATGATTCAGGTTCATTCAAAATGTCTTGTCATATTGGGTGCTAGAATAAAATTTACTGGTTGTGGCACAAACAACTTATAGACAATTCTTAAAATATGTATGCAGCAATGATTCAAACAAGAATGCCATTTTAAAACCAGAAGTCTCTGTCGAGACTGTAGCTCTACTGGTTTGTATTTATCAAAAACCATTGCACTATTTTATGTATCTTTATGTAGTCTACTTGTTTGCCAACTTAGTTTGAAATCAAACTAAAACTGTAGAAGGAGTAGAGTTTGAAAGGAATTTCACAGAAAATTCCATTTTTAGTAACCATGGCAACACCGTTCATCGAAATCAAAAACCGATGCACTATTCTATGTATCTTAGTGTAGTCTACTTGTGTGCCAAGGTATATTGAAATCAGACCAAAACTGTAGAAGGAGTAGCGTTTTTAAGGAATTTCACAGAAAATTCTATTTTTAGTAACCATGGCAACACCGTTCATCGAAATCAAAAACCGATGCACTATTCTATGTATCTTAGTGTAGTCTACTTGTGTGCCAAGTTATATTGAAATCAGACTAAAATTGTAGGAGGAGAAGCGTTTTGAAAAATTGTTTACAGACAGACGGACAGACAGACAGCTAGACAGACAGACAGCTAGACAGACGGACGGACGCTGGACGCATTACTATCGCATAAGCTCTTCTGGTCTCTGACCAGTAGAGCTAAAAATTGAAGAGTTATATGGCCTACAATGCCCACAAATACTAAATCAGACGAATGATTTTATTATAACAAGAGATGTTTGTGACCCCCCCCCCCTTTTTTTTTAACATAAATACCAAATTTCAGTATGTGCAACCTGTCTGCCAAGAAAATAAAATGAGAACTGCAAAAAATTGGAATTTTGGAAGTCCAAGGGGCATAACTCTGTCAAAAATTGCTTGGTCAAACCCAAATTAGAACTTGACTGAGATATTCTTAATTGATAAATCTCATTTGAGTAAGTGCAACCTTTGCAAAGAAAATCAGTGGAGACTTTTGGTGGTCCAACAGACAGACACACCTACCGATCGACAGACAGCATCCAATCAATACACTTTCCCTTCATTGAAAAGGACATAATAAATATCAATGTTTCATTTTCCACAAGAGCCTTCATGGTCACCTGAGTATAATACAGCCACAGCTGTTACGTGTCCCTAGAATGTCAATTTAATAAATTATAATAATTATAAAATATGAAATGCAAAATAGATGTACATTGTACCATGATATGGTGCACAAGATGGTGGAATTATAGCAAAACACAATTTTAAAAGAATTTAGTATGCATTGTCACAATAAGATCACGCCACCCTAACACAAGATGCCTTGACCCTGACCAGGGTTTCCATTTTTATGCAAAGTTTTTAATGGACAAACATTCAAAAGGGAATTAAACAAAGCTTAAACAGAAAAGGAGCTACCTTATCATAAAAATTTTGAAGTTTTTCAAGAGTATTCTAATAGGCTAAGCATTATCAGTCCTCTATCTGGTGACTGATTAAGAGACAATGAACAGGACACTTCACATTGTTTACTTTGTTTTTAATGGGTTTGATATTGAGCTAAGGGGGTACTGTTTGCTTCCCTCTTCATAATTCAGAAGAAGAGACTCCTAGAAGATAAACCTCAATGTACTCTTATAGAAAACTCAGCAAATAAACCAAGTCTGCTCAATACATACAGGGGACATTTCACAGATACCCATCATAGGAAATGATGACCCCAGCCTTATAGCTCAACAAAGAAATAATCAAATTGTAAAACGGGAAAAGAAATTTCTACTCATAGAATTTACAGGTAGAGACAAATGTTAACAGAAAGGATTTACAGATTAAATTTATGTATTACAAGGTTCAACCTCAAAACCTCCAATAAATACCATACTCAAGCCTTTAAACTGTAAATAGTTTGGGTGGAATAATATTATCCATTAACCCCTTCATACGTCAATATCAACTTATAGAAAACCAGTACCCATTTAAATCTCAGACTGGGGGCAAACATGAGAGCACATGATTTCCAATCTAAGACCAAAGTGAGATGTACATAGATGGTATTTAAAGTAATATTAAAATGACAGGTCCTCTTGTTGTTATCTGGGACTTTTACCTACTGTGTGAAAAGCTCTCGTACAATGAAGCTTGTTTAAACACTACAAGACCACAATGAACTTAAAGTCGCTGTTACATCATAAAATTCAATAGAATTCTGACATTTATCATGATGGGATTCATTTCTAGAATCTTAAAGTGCACAAGTGAATGAATAGAATTGTGGGTGGTGCGTGTAGCATTCCTCCTTTTTGTTAAATATTAAAAATCATAATGTGCACAGTGTGTGATTTTGTTATGTGTTTGTCTATCTTCTTAATTCATAAATGCCAACATATGGCATTTCAATATTGCATGTACAGAAAAAAATGAATGAAAAGAAAAGCAAGGAGAGAAAGGGATTCAGCAAGTATCTATACACATCATCAACATTAATTATATCTATAAATTATAACTGCAATCTATATGATTTATCACCTGTTATCATGAACACATACAAGAAGCCCTCAAAGATAAAACAAAAATAAAGTGAAGAAAACATGTTTAAAGGAAATACATGTAAATCTTGACTGGGACAAACTGCATTTCAAGGGAGTGGGGAAAATAGGAATCACTACCCTATCAGTAAAATTTTATCCCCCCCCCCCTTTAAAAAAAATCTGCACACAACTGTAATGCAATGTGGAATGTCCATGAAGTAAATTAGGTTTCTCAAATATAAGTGTTTAGTTTGCACTGAGATTGTCTGACGTAATACACCACAAAGAAGAGCGTCAGACTAAGTAAATACTGAGGTATGAGTATTGCCAATGTAACTGTCAATACAGCTAAATCATCAAGGAATTTAATGCCACAAAAAGGCCACTGATTCCAAGAAAAAAGTGAGATAGCAAGAAAATCAAAATAACTACAATGTATCTTTAAAATTAGCAAAGCATATCCATGCTAACTTGTGCTTTAGATTTTTGAAATCTGTAATTCTATACATTAATTTGGTATATTGGTAAGGAAAGAATACAGTTATGAAATAACACATATCTATTTCCAAAGTTTAATGGTAATTCATTACTTTTGAGCTTTTAATATATACAGAATTTTGTTTAAAAACAAATCTTGTTGAATAACTTATCATACACATATATACCACATCTGAAATTTCCTATTTTCACTGGTTGCCCAATATGGTACATCAAGCACAGCTTCCTTCAAATCAAATTTTTTTTCATAATTTTTATTTAATGCATAATTTACATGTAAATGCATCATTGAAAACTTCAGTTATGCATGTAAATAACAATGCTTTTAAAATATTTAAGAAATGAAATCTTAGAAATTACATGCAAAACACAAATTTATATCAATTTATATACTCTTTATGTTATGAGGAACATTTATCTGCATATCTCTATTTGTAATCTTTTTTAACTTTTTAAATTGAAAAGCATTCAATAGGTTTAAACTTACATTAGAAATCAATACCGATTTAAATTAGGGACCATTTTTAAATTCTAGAATTAATATAACATTTACCAGTATAAACTGGATATGTTGCACAGTGTACATACATGTACATGTATGTGCAAGTTTATTTTTTTATGTGGTTTAATCTAATGAGCAATGCACTTCTAAAAAGAAATACATGTTCATGCATATTCATGAAGTAGTGATATACTAACAATATTGTATATATTCATACATCTTTCAAATTGAGATTGAACTATTTCATACATATTGATATCATCAAACTTTTCTGGCACAATAAATTCATGAAAAGAATCCATGCTGCATATTAGTTGCATTATAAATATACAGCACACAAAACTCCATAAATTTTCATGCTTTGATGTTTTCTTTTAAGAGCAGTATATTCCAACTGTTTTTCTCTGAATCGCTTAATAAAAGATTAAAGTTCTAAAATCCCATACATAAAACCTTGTCATGTTTATATGTACTGAAATTCTAAGTGATCAAAGAGACATAACTCTTCTTTTACTACACTTTTACAATTTATTTCACTTTCTGAGGACAATGACCATCTTTCAAACTGTCAACATATTACATAAATAACAATGTTAAAATCAGATTTGTTGTTTATTTTAAAGCTGAAAGCACACAGCTAACTTTTATATGGGTTTTCATTCAAGTTTAAAGAAGGATGGGAGGACTTATCTGTCCAGAAAAAAAAATGTTGTAAATCATTTTCATAAATTGTTGATTTCTTTCTATCATATAAATCATTGATTTTTTGATTGATTCATAATTTTGGATTCACTTCATTTACAGCTTGTAGAGGAGACGCAAAAAGATCCAAAGTAGGGTGTTAAGTCCAGGTATTCTATGTGCTATCATTTTTTTTTTAAATCTACATATATATAGGAAAAAATAGTAAAATTGATTCTCTATCTTAAAGCTGGAATCTTCTTAAAGAAAATTCAACAAAACACAATAATGCCTAATTCTCTTAAAAAAAAATAATAATAATAAAAAGAATCAACTCCACAATTTCATTCTTACTTTAATTTTAGGATACTTAAAGAAAATGAAATTTCAACAAGTGTCATGAAATAAAACCTTGAGAAATCATTTAATGACAGTAAAATGAAAATGAAATGATTTTTAAAATGTTCATCTAATGAACCAATTATTATATGTTCACCTTGGTTGTATCACAGTAAATCAGACATTTCCTTCATGAACTGATCATATGCATCGTCCTTCGTTTTTGTTGGTGCTGTCGTAACGGCTGGTGCTGCCATCTGGGACATACTTAATGGCCGCCTCTCCTCCTCTTTGGCTGTAACAAGATATTTAATTATCAACAATCTATGACCAGTTAACTTAATATACATTTAATAGTGGTGTCTCTAACAAAGTAAAATTACAACATTATCAAAATATGATGCAAGAATATGCCTACCAGCATAATTCATACATGATGCACTTTCCTATGCATACATTCTAATATGTGTTATGTTTGAAAACTTGCATGACATTGTAATTTATGAGATGTAGCTAGAAAATTGCTCTTCATGGCTAATGTTTCTTGTCATAACTGACTTAAAAATCATATCCTCTTTACAAACTGAATGCCATTCTAGATATCAAATAATTGGTAGCATTATTTCTTAATCTCTTAGCTGAATATTGATTCGACAAGAAAGTATACTCTGCACATTCGATGTTTTAAATGTACAGGAATATGCATAGGTATGACAGGTTTAAAATCTGCACATCATAGTTTAAAAGATGCTTCAATCAATATTATGCTCAAATATAACATACCCTCCAAAAGAAACATAATCTGCATGTAAAAAGTATTGAAAGCTATTGTATCAATGTTTACATAAGGAAACTCACTGTGGGTTCTTATTCTGCCCTTGGAATCCTTTCCTTCTCTCTTCACCTTCAGAGCTGTAGGCATGAATCTGGTAACATCACCCATCAAGTTCTTGATCTGTGGTTTGGCCTCTATGGTGGCCATATTCTTCTTTTCTTCCTCCCCTGACTTTCGTGGAGGCTTCATGATGCTTGGAGGAGCACTGAGGACATTAGGGTTAGGCCCCACCCCTGGAGGTGGGGGTAGCCCTGGGGGTAACACTCCAGGGGGACCGGAAGGAGGCCGCATTATCCTGGGAGGAGGAACTCCTGAAATAATTCATTAAATTGGTTAAATGATAGCAACAAAAACTGTCGAAAACTATAAGGATTTATCAAATATCAAAGGTAACTAAAACAGATAGGTGTTTCAGAAAATATAACTTGGCACACATTGTAAAAAGCCTGAGAGTCTTTGATGTCATCTCCCACAAAAAAGCAATATCATACATGTGACAGAATTGAACACTCTCAACTGGAGATTTGAAATTTTTCAGCTTGAGTTTGGGTCTCAAAGCTGGAGATTTTTTATCGATGTTTTTTTCAAATCGCAGAAGACCATCCAACCCCCTAGAAAATACCTCCTCCATCTTCTTTATTTAATAATTTTGATTTCACAAATTCTTATTTAAAAATATATATACTGTAAATCACTTTTTATTCGCGAGAACTTTATTTTTGCGTAATTACGCGAGACACTGTGGTCGCGAAAATTTATTTCTTGCGTATAATAGTATTCCTTAAGATTATATAGAGCGATGACCACAATTCGTGAAAATTTTGTCTCGCTTATAAAGAATCAATGCCTATCTTGCGAAAATAAGGTGTCGCAAAAATTTAGTGATCTACAGTATAATAAAATCTTTTTTTAAATGGAGTGAAACAGTATTAAAAACAAAATCAATTCATTTAATTTAATTCAGAGTTAATATATCATCAGGGACCTATATAGTAGTTAGGTCCCTGATATCATCATTAAAACATTGGATAAATTAATTTTTTTTTTTTTGATTTGGTATTGGTACATTAAACAGTAGGTTAAGTAAAACATAGGTTTTTGTAACTAAATTATTCTATGTCATTAAATTATTATTAAATGGAATATGAATAGATTAAATTAACCTCTCCAAAAATACAATAAATTAAAATCAGGTACATATTATTTAGCAACACCCTGTAGTGTGATCTATTTTTAGCTACAATGTCGCCTACATTATAACTGTATCTTTTAACATTGTTTAATGACCACTGCAGCATTAAAAGATGGCAATTGGGTATGTTAGCAACTAATTACAATGTTCTGTACTCGGTAATAAACATAGATGGTCATTTATACAGTTGATATATCACTATGTTTACAACCTAATTATACGACCTCATGTTGATTCCTACGAAGCCTACTGCTGTGAAAATTTATTCCTCTCCTGTTGTTATCTCAATTTCTTGTCAATTTCAGCAATTATACTAAGAAACATGATAAAATTAATGCAAAAAATGTTCAATTTGAGGAATTTTAAACACGGAAGATTTAAAAGTTAATCGGGAGGGGCGGAAGAGGGATGCAAAATCGGGAGATTTTGTCTCCCGTCGGAAGAATCACATGTATGCAATATCAAAATAACAAAGTATGAGTTTGTGAAACAAATAAATCAAAATCAAGCATAATCACAAAGGTCACCAAGTTAGTAATTTCTGCCTTGAAAACAAACATTAAAGACTGAATAGTTACATCACATATTAAGTTTCACAAATCATTTAGATGTCTTACCTGGGGGAGCAGGTGGCATTCTTTGCCCTGGCAACTGTAAGTTTGGAGGTAAACCTGGCGGGGGTCCAGGTGGCAGCCCCTGGGGCCTTCCAGGAGGGGGACCAGGAGGCAACATTCTAGGTGGTGCCCCAGGGGGACCACTTCTCAAAGGTGGAGGTCTGAACATCATTGGGGGTACACCGGGAGGGGGACCTGCATAAGGTTAACAAATTGTCTCACTGATTTTTGTAAAAAGTTCTCTCAAGCACTGGTGCTGTATTTCATTTGGGTAAGTAATATTCTTTTGAAAACTCCTTTCACATTCTTATCCTAAAATACCCTGGTATCTCATTTCCAATTCTATCAATTCTTGTTAAACCAGAATCGTAAAATATCTCATGTGAATTAATTGTTTCTTACTTCTGAGATGAATTTTCTTAAATAAAAAAAGATATTATGTTAAGTCAAGATTGGAAATTCCAAATTAAAAATATGAATATTCAAAGTATGAATTCTCTCAGCAAAATCTGCACAAATATTCACCTGGAGGTACACCGGGGGGTACACCGGGGGGTGCGCCAGGTGGGGGTCCAGGGGGAACTAATCTCCCAGCCTGCTGTGTGTCTGTCCCCTCTACTGGGGTGCCCTCAGTCAAACGTGATGTAACTTCCTGTGATTTTTCTGTCTTTTCATCATCAGAGTCTGACTTGTCACTATCTCTTCTTCTCTGAAAATCAAAATATCATCCAGTGTTATCAAGTTCAACAGTCTGCTCATAATTTTCAAATTATCTTAATAAACGTTTAATGTGAACTTCCATGTCTCAAATTGCATGGATATGCCAAACTAAAATCCAAACTACTCTTTCTTTAATCATTTTAACTTCAGCATCTTAAACTCTTGGATAAATTTTTTTTGACGTATGTCCCATCCAATTCTAAATAATAAAGTTAACCTCTTTTTTCTCCTTGGTTGGAGCCTGCTGGCCTGCTAACTTTAACATCTTCGCCTGAAGGGGAGTAACTCCAGCTGCCTTTGGTCGAGCGTATTTTAGTCTGGTGTCCTTCTCCTCTTCCTCCGGATTTCTCGAGTCATCGTCTATAAATCGGATCTTCTTCTGTTTACTTCCTGCTAGTAAAAGTTAAATTAAAATTTGTTTCTAATGTTTCTTAATATGTAAAAATCAACTACTACAGCACCCCCAGTCCCACCTTTTTCAAATTAAATAGAGAAATTCATAACATTACTTTACAGCTTTTTTCTGTACTTATGTTCACAGTCACCTGAAGAATGATCTGTTTCCATGGGATGTTCTGTAACGTCATGTGGATGTTCTACATCTACATCAACTGTACCAATATTTTCTTCAATGCCTGCAAGGTAGTAAACCACATTGCAGAAAAATCCAAATGAATGCTTTTACAAAATTTGCAATAGATGCTGTTGAAACTTTTCCACTGATGAGGAATTTCATGATAAGGCTAAGGATTAGTACTGACCTTTAGCAGGGTCATATTCTTCTTCATCTTCACTGTCACTCAAGATAGGAGGTGGGCCAGGGGGCGGGCCTGGTGGTGGGCGTCGCCTCGCTGCTTCCAAGTCAAAATTTGATAGACTTTTCCTTTACAAGTAATGCAAAATAAAATCAATCTTAAGATCAGTTCAATGCATTTGTAATGAAAATTATATGATTTACTTTATATTGACTATCAATGTGTCAAATCCTTGGCATTGTTTTTATTATTTTTTTTTAATTTACATTTTATACTGGTAAATTGAGAAATGACATTAGTTTTAATGTAACTATGAACTCTTTCAAATTTATCACTCGAAAAATAACTGTCAGACTACAACTAGGAAATAATACACACTCATATGTGGTTTTCTTCAGTATTCCATGAGGTTTATCTTGGCTCATTGGTAATGGTATATCCCCTGGTAAGGGTATCATTGATGTAGCTGCAGAAGAAGGTAAAGCATGATATACTTACATGTCTGCCCAAAGCACATTTAGTTTGTATATGTATACTTATATGTAAGTTATAAGTTACTCACTTGTGTCGTGCTGTGGCAATGCTGGTAAAGGAATCTGGTCTAATTTTACTCTCTCCGCATTCTTTACTTGCTCTACAAAAAAATATATATAAAAATAATTTCTTGTATTTGTAACGCATACATATCTTTTAAATATACTTTCAAAATAAGGAGTAAAGTGTTAAAGTGACTGATTTATCATTCTTTTACTTACCATAATATACTTGAAGTTTTTCTCTTTTTCTGTCATATTCAACCTCTTGTTTCTGTAAATCTTTTGCCAATTCTGGATTTTCTTTTTCCTTGAAAGAAAATCACAAATATTTTAACTGATAATGATATCAAAATTCATTTTTCTTCATATAATAAAAACATGTGATACAACAGGGTATATAAAAATTACTTACATAAAGTTTTAAAACCCTTTGAAAAGTTTCCTTGAGTTTTTTCCTCTTATCTTTGAGGACTTTTTCGCTAAGTTTAGGTGCATCAATAGGGTTAAATTCTGAAAGACAAATATTTCTTTCAAAATTACAGGCAGTTCAATTTAAAACATTTTTTATAAAATTGAAAATACTTTTCTTAAATGTTTTACACTTGATATAATATGCCACTTTACTTCATTATAATTAAAATAAAAAAAGAAACACAGAAAGTGCTTTTCTATAGAAAACATGAGTTATCAAAGACTATTGTCATTTATCAGAAAGGCAAATTTGCTAATTAAATAAACACAGGGCACAGGACTTCCTTAAAGAAAACTACTCCAGAAACTTAAATCTGGGATACCAAAATAGAGAATAGCATAGAATTGAAACTAGCTGAAAAATCTTACCCATAAGATCAATGACTTCCATTTCTTGCAATAATTTCAGAGGATCTTTTCCTTTTAATACAGCTGTTCGCACCATCATTCGCTGTTTCTTATTCTGAAAAATTACAAGAATATTCTCAAAATCTTGTCTTTTCTGCCAGAGATTAATCTAGGTTTTTGGGGAAACTACCCTTTCTTGAGAAATTGGGAAAATCAGTCGGGGTCTGGGAACCACTCAAGTGAGTGCAGGGCAAGCCCTGCTTGCGCGACAATTGAATTTCAGCATTTTTATGACCATTTAAAGTGCTTAAAGTAACACAGTAAAACCATATTTCTCATATAATGAAAAATTTTACTTTAAATTTTCAGTTTTTATGAAGGAAAAAAATATTTGAGGTTTTTATCATTATAAGGGGAATATTTTTCTCATCAAGAGGGGAAAATTTGATCTTCAGGTGGAATTTTCTATAGGGGAAAAACACTGAATTTTGGTAGTAAATCCCTGTCTGCATACATCATGTAGCTTCAAGATGCACATGCAACTTGTTTCTTTGTTTACATTTTAGTTAGAGATTATGTTTCATCACATCACAAAATTTCAATCTACAAATCAGAATTGTAATCAGTAATATTTTGATAAAACTCTCTCTGCCAGTCAATAGTAAAAATAAAACAAATGTCAACACTTTTCTAAGGATCTAATATCAATTACCCCCAGTTAAGTTGATTCTCTATCAGTGTTTTCCTTTTATTTCAAAATAAAGGGTTAGAGATAAGTTTATGTCTCCATGCTCATTATCACTTTGTACCAATTTATATATTCTACAACTTCTGGACTTGCCTTTTTCAATTCCTTTTTTCTGGCCTCTTTTCCTGAAAGCAGATATTGATTACATGTATTACAATGAATTAGTAGAGCACTATAATAAATCATGACAAGAATCTTTAAAATTATGTTTATCTTATATTGTGTATAATAATTAATAAATGAATTCTGATATTTGATTGATATGTAATTGCAATGTTTATTTGGTATTCACAAAAATACATATTGATGCTACTCTGAAACCAATTTTGCAAGATAGAAAAGTACCCGAGGCCTTCTGATTGCACTCTAGTTAGAATAATCTAACTGTGTCTCGGTACAGGCTCTCACCACAGTTAGAATACGTCCCATATACTTGCAACGTAGCAAATCGGAGTGGATCCGCTCCGAAACGATTTTGAAGAATATAAAATGATTTGCACTGGGAATAACTACCAAAATAATCAAAACAAACCTTCTTGAGATTGCTTATGCCTTTTATCCCAAAAAATAATCCATATAAATACGTAAAACCAATTAATTTTCTCAACGTTTTTCTCTCCATTCAAATGTTTACATTCGGAACTCTCTAGATTGTTCCTAGTAAATGCACTATCGCCCGTGTTTCTTTCTGCTACATTACAAATACACGGAACGAATTCTATCGTTAAACCGGGTCCGTAGGACAATATCATTTTAACGATAGAACATTCTATCTAATTGCACTCGGAATACTTCGGGTACTTTTCTATTGTCATCCGGGTGAGTTATCTTTTCTTGGGCGAAGAGATTCACACTGTGCAGAAAGCTGGGGTTTTAGTTGGATAAAAGCTAATTTCGATGGATATATCTGGAATATTTTAGCCTGGATAAGTACTAGGACATTCTTTGCGCTAGTTCCTTTCAGGATTTGTGTAACTTTTCTCAAGTAAGTTGTTTTTTGACTTTTTAAAAATCGGGTTCTACTTTCGATTCTTCCCTTGTGTATTTTTATATGTGCAGTAGAGAACAGAGTGGATAAGATGCCCCTGTGCTTGCACTAACACCAAATGAGTTTAACCCATGAAGCTGCTACTGATTTACCAATTCTATTTTATTTAAAAGCAAAAAAGCAAATGTAGCAGTAATTCATTACTGTAAACCTTACTGTATGATAAAAATATCAAAACTTACTGGCTTGGTCAGTAGGATTCATGAATTTCCCACTTTTTGTGGTGTTGATTGACCTTCTCCCCATTTTTACTCTTTATGTGACTTCGGTGCAAAAAAATAAATAAATGTGAATTAATCAAAAGCAATATCAAACAAATAAAGCTATCATTCCTCTCACAGCTCTGTAAACATTGCTTGATTTATGTTTCTTCTCTGCAGGTTTTAGTGGCCACACTTTTATTTTTCACTCAGCCGAAAATTGGATTTTCACATTTTTACGACTTCTATATTACTGTTAGAGTTCGTTAAAATATTTTTTTTTATACATGTAAGGAAAAAAATAAATCAAAATTTAGTTTAATTCTATTAAAAAACGTATACCTCAACTTATATTTCATAATATTTTTGCGTATAATATTTACAATATTTTACGACAAACCGGAATAAGTCAGCGTCATACCGGTGCGTCGATTTACCCAAAAGGACCCAAAAGAACCCAAAAGGACCCAAAAGGAACCCAAAAGGACCCAAAAGGAACCCAAAAGGACCCAAAAGGACCCAAAAGGAAATTAAGAACGACCCAAAAGGACTTGAAATAAAGAGATTAAATGGATATAACTCATTCTTCAATACTGGTGAATTTTTAAAATATATTTCTTTTCTCCTTTATTTTCCAATAAATAAAGTGTAAGCAGATAGATTGATATTGATATGATTTGATACTTGTGTAAGGATATAGCATAAATAGTTTTATGAATATGAGTTGAGGAATAAAAAAATATTGATCATTGTTGTATTGCATTTAGGGGAATTCAGATGCAGAAAATGTGACATAATTCTTGAATAGGCATAAAGATGTTGTTTTATTTAAAAATAAAATCATTTGGCATGATATTTGTGTACATTATCTTAGCATATAAATGAAATAATATATTTATTTTGTCAAACATGCTTAAATTATCCTAATTATTTTTTTCTGAACGTAAAAATTTGTGGTTTATGTTCGTAACGGATGGTGTCCATATGCATTGAAGTTTTTGACACCTCTCTACAAACATTAAATAATTTGTCAAGTTCAATTTCTGTGTTTAATTAATGAGTATGTGTGATAAATTATTTTAAACAATATGCTTCATGAACATAACTCAGTTCTTTTCGTAATTATAAAATGATCTCTGATTGTAAAATGTTTGGTGTCTTGACCGTTACGAACATAATAGCTTTCAGTATGATTGCTAAAATAACAGCCAATGAATCATAAGTTTGTCTCAGGAAGTCCGTAGCAGTGGTATGATTATAAATTGAAAAAGAAAGTAGAAAGGTTGCGCAGCTGTCTGCTAAAAAAACATGGCGATGCTCATTGTGTCCATGTGGAAAAAAAGAAGTTACGTACATAATAGATTCGGTAAGTATTTTCATATTGTATCAATTTTAGTGAATGATTAACACATAAATACAGTCATTGTATCTTTATACTACGTAGCTATTAATCAGAAACTAAAATATGTCGCTTATGACTATACAAAATGCATAAATCTGTCCGAGTCGAGCACTTTTGGTTTAACATTTGACTTTTGATTCGCGTCTTTTGTTACGAACATAAGTGTTTTTGCATTATTTGTAAAATCTATTAATATAAAGTTATATTGTACTATATTTTATTCTATATTTGTTAGTTTTGTTCTGTTCTTATCAAAGGATGAATACTTATTGAATATTTGTTTTAATATTGCCATATCATTTACGCAATTACGTTCGTAACAGACACGAAAACTTGAAGTAGTGACATAATTTGTACTTTAATTGCCTTCTTTCTGGTTTTATCAAGGATACATAATAAATATAATTAAACAGCATATGTGTTGATTACATCATGTTGTATTTTGTTTTTTATATTTTTTTTCTTTTAGATTTACAAGAAATGACTGAATTATGTTCGTAACAATGACACAAAGATCCAAGACTCAAAATAGAAGACCTAGGATATTTAACAATCCATCTGACAATTTACTTGTCTGCATTAATACTGTTTGAAAGCTAGTCTATTATTAAGCTTTGAAAGGAAATATTAAAGTATTAAAGACAAGTGTTCGATTGTCTTGTTATTTTTTTTGTTCCTTTTTAAAGCCTGATTCGGAGTTAGGTGTCCATGTTACTTACATAATTTCTCCTTTTTTGAAACTAGATATAAAAATTGTGACATTTTAAATAAATTCCATTTAATATAACATTAAACATGATTTCATCATACCTTATTGATTACATTATTTTCATATTTTAACAACTTGTTAAATTCTAGTAACATGTTACTTGTTTAGTGCTTATGTAAGTAACGGTGTCCATTGGTAATCTTATATATATTTTCTATTTATAATGGAATAAGGCAGAAATAAGTCATGCAATAAAACATGCAAACTAGTGTTTATATACTTCAAAAAGGATTCACCAGAAAAGAATAGCTTATTGATTTAAAAAACAGTCACTGTGGACACCAAGTTACGTACATAAAATTTCAGACATGCTTGTACATTTGGACACCTATCTCCTCTTTAAGACTTCAGATTATCTTCCCAACAATTTTTTTCAGAAGCAGGAAGGGTACTGACTCAAATAATATACATAAATTATGAAATTGGTTATTTTGTAAAAATAGCCCTTTGGTCACACATCTGAACTCAGTACTGAAGAATGAGTTATATATAATGAATACTTTCATATTTTATTAAAACTAAAACTAGTTTTTTGAGGGTAAAGTGCGTGTTTGGGTTGAGGTGGGAGGCCCCCCCATCCCCCCCTCCCCCCCCCACCCATATACCATATGCCTAGAACATGTCATTAAATAAACTTATTTCTTTATTTATCAAATATCATATAATATATAAGATATAATAAAACAGAATGAGAAATAGAATAATACAGTGCACTTTGTTAAATTCAGCTAAAAGAAATCAAAGCATATCTGACCAGATTTAATGATTGATGTGTTATAAAAGTCGTATGTTATTTCTTTAAGAAAAGTTGCAACAATATAAATGTATGTTTTTGCCAATTTTTAGGTAAATTTATAATATAATATTCATAATTTAATTCAAATTATTAATTTTCAATGTATTATAATATATTAATTCGAGTCCTTTTGATTTCCTTTTGGGTCCTTTTGGGTTCCTTTTGGGTCCTTTTGGGTTCCTTTTGGGTCTTTTTGGGTCCTTTTGGGTTCCTTTTGGGTCCTTTTGGGTCCTTTTGGGTAAATCGACGCACCCGCGTCATACAAATGCTTTTTATCACGGGAACAATAATATTTGCGATAAGAAGAAAGTCAACATTGACAAAATTTAGGGTGTAGATAAAAAAAAAAACAAGTAGAGCTTTTTTAAAAAGCTTCCCGTCTTTAGCAACAATCTTAAACTGTAAACTGATCTACACTATCAGGCCGTATAATTCTTTTGAATTTCTTGATTTTGTATTTTACTGGCATTAGCCCTACCACGGTTGTTGCTCGGTCATCTCCGTAAACTTTGACTCGCCGAGAGCTTTCGGCAAACCTCGGCTGATTCCATTTCCTTCTTCAAACAAGAAAGGGGAAAAGAATAGTAACAAATTGTAAAGCCTGCAAGCAATAAAAATCAATTTTATTTATAATGAAGTTAAAGAGATCTTTTTATTTTTTGCTATACAAAAAATCATGTTATTAGGAATTAATTACTGCTGATTTTGTTGTTCGTTTTGTCATTTTTTTTTTAAGATTGAAAATCTTGCAAAATTGTTAAGTCGTACGAAAATTAGATCATCAAAAAGTTATCTCCCTTGCATTGAACAGCATTTCAACCAATGAAATAATTGAAAATTTTCTCATCATGCATTTTCTACCAATCACAAAAGAGAGGAAGTGCATAGTCCGAAGACTGTAAAAAACTTCAACTATACAATACCGTCTTCCAAGGAAGACGGTAATAAATAGTATAAATAAAATAGGAAAACAAAATGAGTACAACAAGCATTCAGAAAGCAGACATTGACAACAAACTTGAAAGGGTTTGTATCATGATCTTAATAAGTTAATTATTTATCTATGCGATGTGTTGGCGTGCTGTTCGACATTGAACAGGTTGGGCACACACCGCCAAATGGTCATTTAACCCCCGTTTGGTGGTCATTCGCCCATATCGGCGTCTTTATTAACCACCAAATGGGAGAGAAAAATCGTTCTGTTCAGTTCTCTGGAATGACGTGAAATGGCGCATAATTTCAACTCACGGGGAATAAAATATAGATATTTATCTGTACAACTCCGCCATGGCCGGTCCCAAGCCCGGATGAGAAAGGAGGAGGGTTGGGCGTGGGGCCAGCAACCCCACCCCGTAAAAACTTTACCGCTACAGAAACGACAACAAGGGAATATAATTCAACTGGCCAATGGAGCGAAGCGGACCAAGCAACTGGACTTATGAAGGCTGGGGATCAAATCCGAGAGGACGTCTCTAGCCAGACTGCGGAGCTCCTGACGCCCAAACGATGCATGAGAGTTGGTTTTTGGAACGTGAGGACTCTGTTTCAAGCAGGAAGATTAGCACAAGCAGTACATGAGATGAACAGCTATGGCCTCTGCATGCTGGGAGTTTCAGAATCAAGATGGACAGGGACAGGAAAGCAGCGAATGAGCTCAGGCGAAACCATCATCTGGTCAGGCAGACAGGATGGAAACCACCAGGAAGGTGTTGCCCTCATCATCAGTAAGAAGCACACCAACAGCCTGTTACAATGGAAGCCAATTAATGAACGACTGCTCTATGTAAGAATGGACTCCAAGTACACCAAGCTGTCAGTCATCGTTGCATATGCACCAACGGAAGTAGCAGACGAGGAAGACAAGGAGGAATTCTACAGTGCTTTACAGACTGCAGTGGAGGACATCCCAAGACATGATGTTCTTCTGTTGTTGGGAGACTTCAATGCACAGGTTGGCAGTAACAACGAAAACAGGGAGAGAATCATGGGACAACATGGTACAGGGCAGTTAAATGACAACGGTGAGAGACTAATTGGGTTTTGTGAAGAGAACACCCTCGTCTTAGGCGGTACTCTTTTTGCACACAAGACCATCCACAAGCTCACTTGGACATCACCAGATGGGAGAACGCAGAACCAGATCGACCACATTGTGATAAACAGCAAGTGGAAGCGCTCCCTTCAGGATGTAAGAGTTATGCGAAATGCAGATGTTGGTAGTGACCACAACCTACTCGTGGCAAAGCTGACACTTAAGCTGAGGAAGACCAAGATTGGCAGCAGCAGGAACCGGCGTTTTGATGTTGGCATGCTGACAGACCCAGCGCTTAAGCAGCAGTACAACTTGGCACTAAAGAATCGTTTCAGTATCCTCAAAGACAAAACAGCACTCACCATCGATAGTTTCAACAACGCAGTAACAGAAGCTGCAAAAGAGACCATTGGATACAGAAAGAGCAAAAAGAAAGAATGGATGTCCACAGACACATGGAAAGCCATTGAGGAGAGAAAACAGTTGAAGAAGAGAGTCCTGGACACCAAGTCCCCAAGATTGAAAGAGAGAGCAGAAATGCAGTACAGAGAGAAAGACAGACAAGTCAAGACCTCGGCAAGAAGAGACAAGCGGCAGTACACAGAAAAACTAGCAGATGAAGCGGAAGCAGCCGCTGAAAGGAAGGACATGAAGACTGTCTACATGATTACTAAGAAACTAAGAGGAGACAGAGGACAGAATCAGGACCTCCCACTGAAGGCAAGCGATGGCACATTAATCACTGAAGAGCAAGCCAAGCTAGCGAGATGGAGGGATCATTTCCAGCAGACCCTGAATCAGCCTGACCCACCAGCTCTTGCAGAAATCAGCGAGGCAGAAGAGGACCTGGACATCAATCTGGGACCCATCTCACTACAGGAAGTGAAGGACGCCATCTGCAAGTTGAAGAATGGCAAGGCACCAGGAGAGGATGGAGTCTGCGCTGAGATGTTGAAGGCAGAGGAACAGGACACCCCACGACTTCTTCAAAGTATTCTCCAAGACATCTGGGACAATGAGGAAATTCCAGACAACTGGAGAAAAGGAGTCATTGTAAAACTCCCAAAGAAAGGGGACCTGTCAGACTGCAACAATTGGAGAGGAATCACTTTGCTGTCCCTCACGAGCAAGATCTTTAGCCGCATCATCCTCCAGCGCACTACCACAGCAGTGGACACCATCCTACGACAGGAGCAGGCTGGATTTAGAAAAGGACGATCTTGCATTGACCACATCTTCGTTCTCCGCCAGATACTTGAGCAGTCGCACGAGTGGAACAGCCCACTTTACCTGGTGTTTGTTGACTTTGAGAAGGCCTTTGATAGCCTTCATAGAGCATCCCTCTGGAGAATCTTACGACACTATGGCATCCCGCAGAAACTGGTGAACATCATCCAGTCCCTCTACGAAAACATCGAGTGCCAAGTAATACATGACAACAAACTGACAGAACCCTTCGGAGTGGACACTGGCGTGAAGCAAGGCTGCATACTGTCTCCAATGCTCTTCTCCCTTGCAGTGGATTGGCTCATGCGCAACGTCACCGAAGGAAGACGGCAGGGCATTCAGTGGACTCTGACCACAGTCCTAGAGGACCTGGACTATGCTGATGACCTGGGGCTTCTATCTAGTAGACATCAGGACATACAGCAAAAGACGGAGACCCTCAGCGAAATAGCCAACACCATAGGACTCAGAGTTAACACCAAGAAAACGCAGGTCATGAGGAAAAATGCCAGAAACACAGACCCAATCACAGTCAACGGGAGGCAGCTGGAGAACGTAGAGGAATTCACCTACTTGGGCAGCAAAATGACAACAGACGGTGATTGCGAGCAAGAGATTAAGACCAGACTCAGCAAAGCCAACCAAGCTTTTGCCATGCTCAAACCCGTTTGGAAATCTACAAGCCTTAGCATCCAGACAAAAATCAGATTATTCCGGAGTAATGTCCTCAGTGTGCTGCTATATGGATCTGAGTGCTGGAAGACCACTGTCACCATTGAGAAGAAACTCGAAGTGTTCCAGACCAAGTGCCTACGTCGCATCATGAAGATCTTCTGGCCCAACACTATTTCCAATGAAAATCTCCGAAACATGGCAAGTATGGAGACTCTGGCAGAGATGATCCAAAGGCGACGCTGGAGATGGTTGGGACATGTCTGCCGCATGCCTACCAGCTCCATTACCAGGACAGCTCTTGGCTGGACACCACAGGGGAAGAGGAACAGAGGGCGCCCAAAGGAGACTTGGCGGCGCACCATTGAGAGAGACCTGAGGAACAGAGGACTCACCCTGCAGACAGCCCCCAGAGCAGCAGCCGACAGAGCCAATTGGAGAGCCCTTGCTGTCGCCTCAAGTGCCAGACGGCGCAGAGAGGACTGAGTGAGAGTGATTTATCTGTACTCTGAACGAAAAAAATTAAAATTTCAACGCGGACTTTTTTGCGCAGTGTCGTTCAAATAATTGACAAAATCGTCACCTATGTAAACAAATGTAACGTTTCTCTGTTTTAACTTTAAAAGAAAAATTCCCTCCGTCTCGCGCGTAGATGAGCCTATCAATCGTGTTGATCACTTCATATTTCTGTCATCCGGGCAACCGATCAATTATCTAAACCAATCAAAAATGACGATCTTTTCCAAACTTGGGTCAAAAGATTGAATTAACTACGGAGACCCATAAGTGTTAATTTTCAAAAAGTAAAATACGAGGAATGGTAAGAATTCGCTTTTATTTAGTTTATTTCGTAAGCAATGGCTTTATTCTTTATAAAAATGCGATATGCAGTGAATTCATGTTAAAATAATCACTCGAAAACCATAATTTTGGAATAAAAACAGGAATAATTGCAAATGTCACTTTGTAAATCTTTTATTCAAAAATATTTAATAAATATAGTAGATACAACATAGATAAGCATACTAAACCACAAAGTGTCGCACAGAAATCGCAACTTCGTCCTAAAAGAAAATAAAGAATAAATGTTACATTCAAATGTAGGAAAAATGAATATTATGGCACTAAGTGCCCACCATACGAATAAGATTCGAGGAGCTCGTGTTTAACGGGATTTTTTAAAGATTCATATAGACGCAGATCAAAAGATCGTTTGAAAAGTTACTTCTCTAGACTAACACCTCTTGTTTAAATGTATTTTTTACCGAACTATACACAACAAAATATTTTTTTTGTATTGTTTGAGCAAATAGTTCGGCCGTCACGAACAGCTGTGGGTTTCGTTTTTACGAAGTTCCACAGAAATTCCACATGGAAAATTGACTAAATGTTATTAAATGTGCGATGAATATGTTAATTAAAATTCCCAAATGCCTAAGTAAATGCGCTTTTGCTTCATTTCAATGAAAATTGGATTTGAATAAAAAAGACCACCATTTGGTGGTTAATAAAGACGCCGATATGGGCGAATGACCACCAAACGGGGGTTAAATGACCATTTGGCGGTGTGTGCCCAACCTGTTGAATCACAATTTGAAGTTGAAACTAGGATGCGAAAGAATTTTTTTCAGCATTCCAGGAAAATCACTATATTTAACTATAAAGCTAAATCTACCTATATAGCTTTATTTACCTATATAATATAGCTTTATTTAGCTATTTCAGAGTTAATGTCTGTTTTATGGAAAGCAGACAAAAAGATTGTCCATCAAAAGGGCGATAAATGACCATTTGGTGGGGTGTGCTAAACCTGAGTAACAGTGTTTTTACTGTCTCTCAGGTCCATGCACCAGTATCCCACATACACAGTAACCCGAATAAATAACATTTTGCAAGAAATGAGTAGATCTACTGTATTTTAATTTTTTTTAAGTGATACTTTCGTAACCAGGATATGTTGTGGGATTGTGTATTTATCCTTTAATGTGATGATGGTGCTACCATTAGAGTGAATACAATTACCTTTTTAGTATTCTCTTTATAAAATATAGTAGACCTGCATGTGACATTTGGTGTGTCAAGACTCTTCTTGATCAGTTGATGTCACATATGAAGTCATACATAAGTTGGTATTAATAAACCAGTGACTGAATATTTCAGCTGATTTGAAAAAAGAAGAATTTATTTACTATATACCTGAAATATTTCAATTAAATCAAGGCAATTTTATTTTTTGTTTAACAGTCTTGTAAGAATATAGCTTACTGAATCGTTGGGATTCCAGAAATTACTGCTGAAAAAAAAATCATTCGGATCAATGTGCAAAGTCTGAATTTCTCTTCATCCTGGAGTTGCTGTAAGAGCTATAATTTTAGAGCTCACAGTGACAAGTGACACTGTGTGCCCTTAGCTGCACTCGCTATCAATAAAGCTACAGAAAGGTTACAGTACAAACTATTGAAAATCAGTTTTATGATGAAGGTCAAAAGTTAATTTAAACAAGATGTGTTTGTGAAACACTATGCGCCTGGCAGCAAAAAAGTTGGAAAAAGCTATTTTTAGTATATAGGTCACAGTCAAGGTCACAAGGTCATTGACCTTGGTGTTGTTTGTAAGAACTTAATTAGTGGGGTATGCATACTAAATATGAACTCCCTATCTCCTATGCTTTAAAAGTTATGGCAAAAAGTGGAAAAAACCTTTTTTAGTATAAAGGTCACAGTCAAGGTCACATGGTCATTGACCTTGGTGTTGTTTGAAAGAACTTTATTAGTGGAGTAAGCATACTAAATATGAAGTCCCTATCTCTTATGGTTCAAAAGTTATGGCAAAAAGTGGAAAAAGCTTTTTTTAGCATATAGGTCACAGTCAAGGTCACAAGGTCATTGACCTTGATGTCATTTGAAGGAACTTTATTAGTGGAGTATGCATACCAAATATGAAGTCTCTATCTCTTATGGTTCAAAGGTTATGACAAACAGTGGAATAACCTATTTTTAGCATATAGGTCACAGTCAAGGTCACAAGGTCATTGACCTTGCTGTCATTTGAAAGAACCTTTTTAGTGGAGTATGCATACCAAATATGAAGTCTCTATCTCTTATGGTTCAAAAGTTATGACAAACAGTTGAAAAACCTATTTTTAGCATATAGGTCACAGTCAAGGTCACAAGGTCATTGACCTTGATGTCATTTGAAAGAACTTTATTAGAGGAGTATGCATAATAATTATGAAGTCTCTATCTCTTATGGTTCAAAAGTTATGACAAACAGTTGAAAAACCTATTTTTAGCATATAGGTCACATTCAAGGTCACAAGGTCATTGACCTTGATGTCATTTGAAAGAACCTTTTTAGTGGAGTGTGCATACCAAATATGAAGTCTCTATCTCTTATGGTTCAAAAGTTATAACAAACAGTTGAAAAACCTATTTTTAGCATATAGGTCACAGTCAATGTCACAAGGTCATTGACCTTGATGTCATTTGAAAGAACTTTATTATAGGAGTATGCATACTAATTATGAAGTCCCTATCTCTTATGGTTCAAAAGTTATGACAAACAGTTGAAAAACCTATTTTTAGCATATAGGTCACATTCAAGGTCACAAGGTCATTGACCTTGGTGTCATTTGAAAGAACTTTATTAGAGTAGTATGCATACCAAATATGAAGTCTCTATCTCTTACGGTTCAAAAGTTTTGGCCAAGGTTAAAGTTGACAACAGACAGACAGACAAACAGACAAACAGACAGGACAAAAACAATATGCGCCCGAAAAAATTCGGGCGCATAAAAATCCACTACTATAAATCTGCATGCTTTTTTATTGCAGGAAAAGAATAATTTACTAAATTTGAAGGAAGCCTTGAATAAGAGCAACACCAACACCAACAACATGCTGACAATTCTGCAAAGCTTTGAAAATCGTCTTAGAAAACTTGAAAATACAGTAGAGCCTGTATACAATGAAACTGAGATGTTAAGAAGAAGACAAGAACGTATCCTAATTGTAAATAATTGAACTACTGTTTGTTTTCAGTTCCATTCGGTCTGAAATCTTAAGATAATATGATAATAAGTTTCATTTGGTTTGCACTAATGTCAATTTTCAAACTGTTACTATGCCTACAAATTTGTTTTCATATAATAGACTATAGAACAAAAGAATATTTTTTCATTATTTCCATGCTGACATCTTTATTTTTCTACTGTCTTTTTTTTTGGTGAGGATGTAGTTGACTTAGAGGACCAGTCATTTTCTGTCAAGGTGACCTTCCCTTGTGTTGCATTGGTCCACAGCATCTTCAGTCTATTTGATGCACCCCTGAATAAGTGAGAGATCTTCTATCCACCAACTAGGAGACTAGCTTTGGAGCCATACAACCACAGCCATTTTCTTGATAATGAAAAAGAGTGTGATTTTTCATGAAATTCTCTAAAATAAATTGCTACATCAGTCATCTCCTATTGTTTTAAACTTTTTTTATTCACTGCAAGGTACATCAATTTTTATTCTTATTAAATGAATTTGAGTTTAGAATGATGTTATAGACACTTAAAAAAAAGATATTTCTGTAAAATTCATTCAAAATCAAATTCTTTTCTATGAATATTCTATGCATCCAAGGCTTTCCAAAGAATTTTCCTTACAAGGTTTCTAGATATAGAGAAGACTATGGTAACCCTTGACAATGTGCTGGGCTACTATCATGTGGCTAAGGAAGTTGAAGAATTCATAAAAGAAGGGTACATTTTTAATATATTTGTAAAATCATATTTTGGAGGGGTGAAATTTTCGTGGTTTGAGGAAAACATATTGGTTCATGGTGATTTGATATCGTGGTTGAAGAACTGTTCAGTACTACTTCATTTGTAAATTTGCATTTCGTGGTGGACATAGATTCTTGGTTTTCTTCATACCTTTAAAACCACGAAAATTAAACCACCACCAAAATTAGTGATTTCACAGTACATGAATGTGTGGATCTTATATTAAATTAGATTTATAATTATTCGAAACATTTTACATTTTTATGATACTGTTTAACTCAGTTGGTATGTCAACAGTTTTAGATTGACATAAGTTAAAGCCATATAATGCGTAACTGATCAAAAAAATATATTTTTCAAAAATACAAAATTAAGTAAAGAATTATAGTTGATACATTTAGATTAAAGCTTTTCATACAATTCTGAACACAGAGAACACCTCCTTTCATCTAATAATACGATTTTATCTTCTCTGTAATGTGTTATTTAAATCTTTTGTATTTTCTTGCAGAGTAAAAAAAATGGTTTGTATTATTTGCCAAATTAAATTGTGATATCTTTATAACGCAATTGATTTAGATTTTGTAATTTATGGAAAAGTTCTATCTTTATATAAAGTAATGATACAAATAATAAGTTCTTATAATTTTAGTCCGATAATTTTCATTGTACATACGCCATATATGGCTTTAAAGAAAAAAGCAATGTGGTGGATGGCTTTCTATTTATAAATATTTTATATTGCCTTTGCAGGCCTCACAACTGCGGATTAGAAAAGTATTTATCAATAATGGACAGACTGGTGCAGGCTCATAACTACTTCAACAAACATAACCCAACCAGCCTGGAGCTTACAGATGTGGTAAGATGTGCTATCAAATCTTCCTTATCTCTTATGCTAACTATTTATTTTAATTACATCAAAACATACTGTATACAGGGAAATTTTCAAGAAAATACAAAAATAGGGGTCATTAAAAAAGCTTCTTCTCAAGAACCACTGGGCCAGAAAAGCTGAAACTTATGTGGAAGCATCCTGGAGTAGTGAATTGAAATTAAAACACAGCATAATTTTTTACATAGAAATATATAGGAATAATCTTTAGAAATCATCCTTTCAAGAACCAATGGACCAGAAAAGCTGAAAAAAGGGAAAAAATAATGGGGTACTGTAGAGGCGAAAATAACCCCATATACAGTAGATAATAATCATTAAAAATGCTGAGTTAAGGAATATTATAATAGTAAACACAAATGCTTCTGAACATCAATAGTTTCTGAGTTGTGTGATGTGATGTGAATGCCCTTTTTAGATACAAGTGTATGTCCTGTGCATGTTCAGTATACTGTGTTTTTATGTTCTTTATCATTACTGTGTATTTTGAGGAAGGGAGTATAACTTCTGATGTTATTAATCCTATTTTAGTTGCGTTTTATTTGTGCCGAGTTTATGTCCTCGACATGATCTCAACAGATGAAGGTAACTCACTCGATAAATCAGTGATTGAACTCGTAAGGAATCTTCAGGTTAAATTTATTCTACACAAAATTCATTATTGGTACCTCTGCTTCTTTAGTTGTTTTAACTTCCAGTTTACATCTGTTGAAGGCATATCCTTTTTAATCTTCAAGTTGTTAATTCTGTGCAGAGTCCATAAAAAAAAAGGGGTTTGTATAATTTGCTCAATTTACTTTAAACCCTTATTACCACATACAGCATAAAGTCTTCTGAATTAATTTTGTAATTTTTCTATTTCAGAAGGCTGCTTTATTTCTTTAATGAGCCTTTGTGAATACTGAAAATATCTTATTCTTTTACATTTATATCTTTATTATCATATTTAGTTTAAATAAGATAGTTAAAAAATGAAGTAATAATCATGGCTGTTCAATAACACTAAGAACATAGAGTACATGAAGGATTACACCAAAGCTAGATCAACCATGCTGATCAGATCCCTGCAAGGGTAAGATATACAAATAAAACCCAAAGAGCTTCTCAGCCAGGAAGAAATATGTAAAGGCACAAGTCAACATGCAATTTCTAAATTATCCATTTTCAATAAGTCCTGATTTTTGTAGAGTCTGATTAAAGCCAGTCCGACTATTTCACTTCGTTTGTAGGAACAAATGAAGTGAAATGAAGGGCCACGCCCTCATAGGGAGATAATTGGGAATTAATGAAAATTTGGTATATTTAAAAATCATTTCCATGTATCACTATGCAAGGAAAGATGAAACTTTTGGATTAAACATCCTCAGGTAGTGTAGATTCAAGTTTGTTTCATGAGGGAAATGTCCGTCAAAGTTTTACATAGAAATATATAGGAAAATTCTTTAAAAATCTTCTTCTCAAGAATGACAAAGCCGTGATTCATCATATTTATATGGGAGCATGCTCCTGGTCAGTTAACAAATTTGTTCAATATATGAATGTACTTATTTCAGTGAAACAGTTTTACATAGAAATATATAGGAAAATTCTTTAAAAATCTTCTTTAACCTGACAAAGCCATAATTCATTTTTATTATCTCAGGTACTTTTCAAGTTTGTTCAAATCAGAAAGGGGTAGGGGGTGCCACAATGGTCATCCAATGTTTTTAGAAATATATGAAAATTCTTTAAAATCTTCTTCCACAAGGACAAAGCCATAATTTCATATTAAAAAAAGTATGCTAGATATTAAACTTTAAGTTTTTTTGTAGTCCAAAAACAAAGTTTTACATAGAAATATATAGGAAAATTCTTTAAAAATCTTCTTCTCAAGAATGACAAAATAAAAATTTATATGGAAGCATTCTTTTTTACTTTTTTTACTGGGTATTTTGGTTTAAAAAAGATTCTTGAAAAATATATATAGGAATTTTTTTTAAAAATCTGAATAAAAAGAGCAAATCCATGATTGGTCATGGGACTACTTTTGGATTTAAACTGTTAAAAAGCCATTTTTTGAAAGATTGATTTCAATAGTGCTCAGGTGAGCGATGTGGCCCATGGGCCTCTTGTTTTTATTGCAGGCTGGTAAGATAAAAGCTTCTAAAGATACTCCTGGCAGGAAGAGTTACAGGAAAATGGCGTGAGTTCATAATTATAGTTCGTATACATGAATATAAACACTATATTCAAATCCGTAGGGAAGTTGTGTTATTGCGTTTCTGTTCAGCATGATATTGTAATGATCCAAAAACTATGCATGCTTTCTTAGTACAGTGTAGTATGATCAAATGTATCTTTTCTGTCATGGATGGATTAGCAGATATTTAGAGCTTTCCATTCAATTTTAAAACTTTACAAAAAGGACACAGAAATTTACAATTGTAAAAACTATATTTACGATAAGTTTTTGTACTGTTAATCAACAACAAAATTCGTAATAAACTTGAGAAAAGTTTAACATATTCTACTGTATATTAGGTAATTTCTTTAAGCCTCTTAATTCTGTGGATCTCATAAATAATTTTAATTATTTGGCAATGTTAATCAATTTAGAGTATTGGTAGCTGTTAAAAGGCACTTCAGGTACTGGCATTGAGAGGTTTTCTAAACAAAAAAGTTTACATTCAATATACTTGTTAGCCAATTAGCTTATTAAAAGTTTTCAGTCCTTCAAGCCGTTCTTTGCCTACTGCTGTACATTGAAATCTTGCATTCTTCAAATGGCTTCTTGGAAAAGAATTTTCAAAAATTTTATTCGTGGAAATTTTATTCATCATGGTCATATAGGGAAATTACCTTAATATTTTTGAAAGATGAATAACTAAATGTTGAATTGTCACTTTAAAATTCTCTTAATTTATATTTGCTTCATCAGTTCTGGAATTAAAAAGGCAGCTTATAAACTTACAATGGTTTTATTTACAGAAACATGTATTGTATTTATTAAATCTGACTTATTATAAAATGAAATATGCATTTTTAATTGCTTGAAAGCTTTAAGAACTCATAACAACACAAGAACAGTAAAATTATTGCAAGCAGTTCTACAACATCTATTAGTTTACTGTAAAAGTTTATTTTTCTCAATTTTCTATTACAAAAATAACAGTTCTCCTGTTGGTTTATGATAAAACTGTAGTAGAATTTTTCTACAATAAAGAAAAAATAAAAATATCACTGACTAAGGAATGAATATGTACATTCTCTTCAATGAAATTATTTCAATTGAACTACAGTTATTGTAGGATATTGTACTAAGTTGCATTTATATTTTTCATATTCTTACATGATCACTTTATCATTATAAAAGTGGTAAAGGCATATTTCATTATCAGGTAAGGTATATAATTTAAAGTTACTGACACTTAGTGATATTGTGTAAAATAAATATTTGCCTCATTATTTGAAGAAAAAAATCTTACAGTCACTTGAAGTTAGTCACAGAAACTCTGATGATATACTATAGTGGTATGTTTATTGAAGAATTTTTTGGTAAACATCAATAGCATTAGGTCCACCACAAACCAATAAACTGTTCCCCTCACATGCCATTGTGCATTTTGTACTTGGAGTTACAGGGAAAATCAACTGATTTCCACAGAAACATTGATTGCCATACTGAAATAATAATATAAATGATATAATCTTTACTTTGAGCTTCTTGATTGCAAAGAAATGATAAAAACTTTGAATAATTTTTTATTCTACTACATTGTACTACAAGTTGTAGACCAGCTGAACTTTTGCATTGATAAACTGTTGTTTTTGCTTGTCTGTAAACAGTCCTCAAATACCTCTTCTACAAATTTTATCTGGTAAGAGAGAAATCAGATACAAACGTTTTTGATTTTTTTATTTTATGATTTTTTTTTCGTAAATAAATGAAAGTTATTGCTCTACATGTATTGCTAGATTTGGAATGATAAGTGCAGCTGTACTTAGTATGCTAAGTACCTGTATGTATGAAAAAAGAAAATCATATTACTACATAATTTTAAAACTTTGTTCAAGTTTAGACTATATCTAGAAAATTCTGTGGATCAATCAGCTTTTGATTTAAATGAAATGTGCCATTTTTGAATTCACTTGTGCTGAAAGCTCAAGTGAACTTTTTTGATCACCCATCCTCTGTCTGTCTGTCTAGCTCTCCATCTCATCTGTAAACTTTTCACATTTTTCAAAAAAAACCCAATGGTTTAATTTTAACCAAAATTGGTTCTGTAACATAACATTATGGGGAGTTAAAAATTGTTAAAATGAAGGGTAAAGACCCTTACAAGGGGAAAAAATCAGCAAAAGATAATAGGGTGGGGTCATTAAAGTCTTCTCAGAACCACTGGGCCAGAAAAGCTGCATGAAACTTACCATATATGGAAGCATCCAAAGGTAGTGTAGATTCTAAATTGTTCAAGTCATGACACCCCCCAAGAGTAGGATGGGGTCACTATAGGTATCACATGACTTCAAGGGGGGGGATGTCTGTTGAAGAACAGCAGGACTAAAGATTTTCAGGTGAGCATTGTGGCCCATGGGTCTCTTGTTTTCATTTCATTTTCATCATGCCAGATGTGTTTTTCCTGTACCTCAACCCCAAAATATGTATAGCCTTTACAGAACTGCTGACAGTGCCATGGACTGTTTGGTTTTAACACTCCTGCCTTGGCTCGCAAAAACCGTCCTGGGATTTCTGTCATACAACCAAGTTGAATATAGTTTGCTACAATGTTATTAATAGTTTAAGCTTAAATTTGGAGGAAACAACAAATAGACAAGTAAATGTGCATGTATTAATGAATAAACCAAACATGTAAAATAGTATTTTAGATAGAAAAAAAAGGTTTTTAAAAAATGGGGGAAATCTAAGTTGAAAAAAACAAAAAAAACCTTTTTTGATCTAAGTTAAAGGTACCCCCCCCCCCCCCCCCAAATTTCTTTTTTCACAAAAAATCTTAGATAACTTTCAATATCCCACCTCTCAAGATCAAAAATACACAAGTTAAATCAACTGTTGGAGTATTTTGCAAAGGAAGTCAAAGGTCAAGGTCATGTGGACTGTGAATTGGTATTTCTTCAATTATGTTTTATGGCAAACAGTGCAAAGGCTAAATAGCAAAGACTTGCCTGTTTAAAAATTCTGTATGTCAGTATTTTGAAAAGTAGGTCAAAGGACAACTTCAAAATTCACAAAATCAGTGACCATTGTATTTTACAAAAGCAAATTGTCAAAGAATGTATGTGCAAAATATAAATTCCAATTCTTAAGTGTGACAGACAGACAGTTAGACAGATGATACTCATTTTTACGGGCCCATAGCGAGACAGATGCAAATTTTTACGCACAAAAAATGATAAATAACCTATATACTCAAATATTTCATTAACTTTAAAAAGAAGCAATTGTTTTAATTTTATATAGTAGGTTTATTAGCTTCAACGACAAAAACTTCATTTTCAAAGGTTAATGTTTTCAAAAAATCTTTATTGAATACAAGAATCTATGATTAAAAATTTTAAAGCCAATTCAAAATTATCTAAATATGCATTCTACTAAACACGAAAAAATATTAATTTTGAAAAACCTCAGAAATTTAACCTACATTGGACTGTGACCTGTTTAGTGAAATAAAGCAGCTGAAAGAAGAATATGACCAACATTGAGAAACAAATGTGTTTATCCTCAATATCTAAATGATGGCAAGATCTTTAAAAATGTTATTAATAATAATTTCTAAAATTAAATGTTTAAAAAACAATTTTCGAATTTAGAATAAAATTACACAAGAACTGTTGATTTTAACAACGTTTAACTTGTATATTCAACGATTATTGTTATGTCTCTTTGCATGTGACATTGTTTTCTTAAGTGTGAATGCGAGACAGAAAAAAAAAAACTTTTATGAACACAAGGTTTATTATTCTTAATTTTCAAAGGTTAATTTTTTCAAAAAATGTTTATTGAATACAAGAATCTATAACTTTAAAGCCAAGAATCATGCATTCGTATTACCTGAATGAACACTGGATAGAAGTAGTGTAAAGCAGGAAAGAAGAATTACCAGCATTGTCATGTTTTATCCTCAATATTAGTAGTATAGTGTTTGGCATTTTTCTTTATTTTCATTCTTTTTTCTGAAAGCAAAAAAAATTAGAAATGAAAGGATCAAGTAACAATATAATTGTCATCTTACATGAATATCAGGTTGAATGAATGAAGCTTATGTTACCACAACATATCAAATATGCTTCATCAGATTTTTGGAATGAAAACCAAAGGTTTTGAAATGGAACAAAGGGATAAACCATGAGAAGACAGTGTCATTTTATTTTATTATGGTGAATATTTTCTGCATAGAAAAAGAATTAGAAGTTAAGATATAATCATAAAATTAAGTATCTTAATTTGTTCTTTAAAAAATTTGACAGTCTTCACTCTTGTCAGTGGTCAAATCAGAAATAAAAAAAAAAACAAAGATATCAGTATACATGTAGCTTTATATTTTAATCCCCTTGCAACGGAGTTTAGTGGATATTGTAATAAGCTTGTTTGTGTGTGTGTTTAAGTTTGTCCTGTCTGCATCAGAATCAATGTCAAATGCTGCCTTTATATATAGATATGCTCGCTTTGTGGTGTAGTGTCCTTGTTTTATCTTGATAAGTTGATATATCTTCCAAAAATTACTATCAAACTATCAAAAATTAAGCTTCAAATCTATCAACTTGTTTTATTGAAATAATAAAAAGTTTGGTTTTTTTTATCTCCCTACTTTTAGCCATTCCTTTAAAAGAAGGGCAGCCACAGCACTGATGCAGTCTCCATTTGACCCTGGTAAGACATTAAACATACATTTACAAGACTCTAATTAAATTAAGAAATTTGAGTTTTACAAAATTGATTTCAGTATGCTGAATATAAGATGAACACAAATGGTGACTTTAGAAATTCATTGAACTCCTTTGGACCTTAGAAAATTATATCTTCGAATTTTTTTTTCACTGACAGATATGTAAAAAACAAACTCAGGGTTTAGTAATTGCAGTTTCAGATGGGGCAAAAGTGGCCATAGCTTGAGAAGTCAAGAATATAAGTTACCTTTAAGGCCTATGGACCTGTTGTAATAACTTTGTCCAAACAAAAAAAAAAAAAAAATTGATTTTAATTTGTACCTTCAAGCGTATAGGTGACAAGATTCCAACACATTTATCTACCATATAGAAAAAGAATTCACTAGAAAAATAAGAGATCTCCAAGATTGTACTTCAGTGTATTATCATAGACTTTGACAAAACCTCTTGTTCATTGAAGGACACAGGAGACAGGGTTCACACACTGATATCCCAAAGGAAGAAAACCTGGAGGTAGAAGTGGACATCTACATCACAGAGTTGTCTGCTCTTCTTAAGCTCATTCAGGTACACTGAGATCAAGTCGGATGTCAGAAATTTTTAGTAATGTATAAATATGTTTTAGCAAATGTGTTAGCTATGACTTCATTATTTATTTCAGAGTGAGGCTCAGCTGATGTCGGGTATCATTGCAGACAAGCATCACAGACAGGTGTTTGATAACATTATACAGGAAGGACTGGACGCTGTCGTCAAAAATGGAGAAGTAAACATTTCTTCTGGCTCCTTACCTAAACCAATTTATTAGTGGATATACCGGTAATTACTTCTTTGTAAGATGAAATATTGTTTTGCAGTTGTTAGCAAGGAATGCAAAGAAGAGTATAGAAAAACATGACTTCATCAATGTTCTGTCGGTATTCCCTGTGGTTAAACATTTGAGGTCCATCAAACCAGAATTTGATCTCACTCTTGAGGTAATGGCCTCTCTCTATTAATGTTAGTATAAATCATACCCAACAATGCCAGTAAATTGATACATAACTTATTTATACCAGTATTCTTTTGTATGGAGCTCATTGCAAAGACACAGTAGACACCTTAAGAAAAGATGGAAATCAGTCTGTATTAAGAAAATACCCTCAGTAGTAACAACATAGGGAACTGAGACATTCCTCCTAATCTGAACAAAATATTGGATCACACATAAAGATGGATGTTCCTGATACATGCATAAATTTATATAATTTTTTTTTCAGGGATGTGCGACACCCACCAGAGCTAAACTGACTTCTTTGTTATCGACTTTAGGCAGTACAGTAAGTATCATCCTCAGTAGTAGACAGTATTGATGTTTGATGAATATTCTAAGAATTTTGTATTACATGTATGTCTACAGCTCTAGTACCTTCATATTAAACTTTGTAGGGTGCAAAAGCTCTAGAAGAATTTGCTGTTAGCATTAAGGTATGTTCTTAAAATGAAATAGTTAAAGTAGTAAATACTTCAAATTGACAGAACTGGTTGTGATTTTCTAATCAGAGATAAATATATCAACATAAAGAGAATCTACATGTGTACATGCATTAATATCAAATTATTGTTATTTTGATTGACCTGTGATTGAAAAAAAAATTTTAATTGATATAAATATTTATTGGAAGTGCAAAATTTTTATTGCATAATCCAAAATATATAAGTGATGGCCATGGAGTAGTCCGAGTATACATGAATTATTTTTTTTTCCTCCTAAACAGACTGACCCAGAGAAGGCATCAATGCCTAAAGATGGAACAGTGCATGAATTGACAAATAGGGTAAAAATAAGAATTATTTAAATTTGGAAAGTGAAAAGTGGTTTCATTTACTATTTTTGGTCAAATGATCCTCAGATACTAGTACTTGGTAACTGATGTTTGCTATATCAAAGATATCAGTAAAAATGACATTCATGTTAAAATACATGTAGTATATAAATAACATGATATCCAAGTTAGAGATATTAGTAAGCATGATTTTTGGATTTAGAAAAGTCAAAATACATAAACCTGATATATAAATACACTTGAGTGATCAAAGATTTAACTGTTCATTTGTTTCAGACCATCATATTTCTGGAACCACTCCTAGATTATGCAGACACTGCAGGAGCTATGCTACTTCTTCATGGTGGGTATAATTTTGTTAATTAAAATCTATCAAATTCTCTGTCAGTGTGAAATTTTTTTATTCAAAAATATTATGGGATTCATCCAGGTAGAAAATGTATGGATACCATAAGTAGATTGTGTAAAGATTGTTTCTAAAAAATACATTTAAAGTTCATATGGCAAATTTCTGCATTCATGTTTATATTAAAACTACCACTGGAAAGAGTAAAAGTACATTGGGATATTAATGACCATTTTTTTCCCTCAGGAGAACAAGCAGCTCCTTCAGAGGCTGTTGATGCTAAAAAGAGTAAACTTAAACTTGCAGACTATATCAGTGAGTAATGTTTGCATCTTTTCTCAGAGAGAGAGAGAGAGAGAGAGAGAGAGAGAGAGAGAGAGAGAGAGAGAGAGAGAGAGGGCAAATATTGATTATGATTTCCAATGACTATTTGATTAATGTTATTGAAAGAAGAAGGATAGAGAGATGGAGATGCATATTACATGTTTACCTCTTTATACATACCTGTACATTTTATCTAAACACCTGTAATGCACCTCATTTGAATTTCATTTTGAAGCCAAAACCTTGTCAGCTCTGGGTCTGAACTTGAGCAATAAAGCAGAGACATACAGTGACCCGACCCTGAGACCCGTGTTCATGCTGAATAATTATCACTACATCCTTAAGTCACTCAAAAGGTGAGGAGAGTTAGTCCATCTGATCAAGATTGCATCAAGATTCCCTACAAATTTAAAAGAATTTTTATCCATTTTCTTTATTTTTGCTATATGCCTGTTGAATAGTATTGATGTTGAGATATTTTGACTTTCTAAATAATTTCTCAAAGTTAACGCTTGAAAAAAGTAAAATAAATATATTGACATTTAAGGTATCACTTATAAAAAAAAAACAGGTTGAAATTTATGTAAAAATGCTGTATTTTGAATTGAAGTATTGAGTTTTACATGTCAAGTAAACATTTTTTAAACCAGATCTGGTTTATTGGATCTTATTCACACCTGGAATAAAGATGTGGGACAATTCTATGAGGACAGAATCAATGAACAAAAGAAATCTTACTCAGAAAGGTTTGATTCTTTCATTCAAGTTCTAAGTCACCGATAATCTTTGAATATTGATTATCTTTAGCTGTACCATTTTTAATCTTGCAAATAAATTGCATTGGATAAGTAGGAATTCTTTTTTCCATTTATTGGTGAATTATTGCATGTACCGGTAAGCAATTTTTGGAATGGGGGATAGATAAGTGGATAAAATATCGCATTTTCATTACTTCTCTTATTTGAAAGACCTAAAAATGTTTTTAGAAAAAAAAAAAACGATTTTGTTTTACAATTGTATACGGTTTGTAATGAAACAGAAAAAAGAATTTGATGCCTGTTTTTCAGTTGGAGCAGGGTAATGCATTATATCACTGAAGTGAATGAACCAATATCTCAACAGAGAATCCAGGCCATGGAATCTAGCAAAGAAAGGGTCAGTCAATCACCTAATATAAAAACAAATGATAAGACTAACAACAAGCAATGAGAAAAATTTAATTTGCAAAATAAATAAGATTTACATGAATGTTAACTTTATTTTCAGTTTAATGTAAACTTTTCACTGGATATTGCTTGATTTAATTAAATCATTGGCAATTTTAAAACTTGATTAAATTTCTTTGTGAATTTGAATTTGTTAAATTACTGGCAATGTTAAAACTGCTATAAGATATTTATGGGACTTTGACAATGACAGGGCTTTGTGATCCCTGTGAGTATTCCCTGTACCTGGAGTGACTTATTATCAAGTCTAGCCTTATTGTTCTAAAGTGGTTATACAGTGTAACAAAATTTGATATTATAATTTGTAAATTTGCTGCCTTGTGCTATAATAGTGTATTTGATACATGTATGCATTTTCTTGACTATGATTTTATGTATTGAAATCTGTATGTAATATACAGTTCTAGAAAGGATAGCCTCTACATGACATTTTCTTTGAATTCCAGTATGCCATTATGTTCATGTTACAACATGTAGCTACATATATAACATATATATTCACTTCAGCTGTGGAATTATTTTTGCATTCTACATTCATTGTATAAATTATTTTTGTTAAAAACTTATATACCCTTACTTTAAATAGGTCAAATTCCTATGAAGAATTTAATTAATTAAAAAATTCAAATTACCGGTATTATTTAAATATGTGCCCTGACTTGATTCTCTCAATTTTCATTTGTTTATGGACTTCATATATTTCATGTACAAATACTTCTGTCATCATTTAATCAAAAGAATAATGAAAAGGAATTACATGTAGTTCAATGTGAAATAAAATGCAAATTTACTTATGGTACATGTAAGCAAGACACACTTAGACTAATCAAAATATTTATTTTTACTTTTAGTTGAAAGACAAGGAAAAACAAAACATAAAAGACAAATTTTCTGTGAGTATGCAAATTTACATTAATATATATAGTAAAAAGAAAGAAAAGTTTGTGCCTTCTTTGAAGTTTAAGTAAGTACTGTAGATTCCTAATTATACATGTGGAATAAATTATTGTTTAATTTCTCGAGAAGCACATCCATGAAATAAAATTGCTCGCTTTTATTTTTATTTTGCTGAGCTATACTGTATGTAAAATCTCTTGATCATCCTTCCATTTGCGAATTATTATTCTTGTGATTTGACATTGAAGAACCAATTTGCGATAATAAGTACTCTCAAAAAATAAAGAAATCTACAGTAAGTAAAAGTGATATGCTGTAAATTGTGGCATCTCTTGCCTCTGTACATGTACTTGTGCCTTCATAACTTGCAGGTACTTACATCTTAAATGTCAATATTTCCAGGGTTTCAACAAAGAGTTGGAGGACATTCTACGAAGTCAGAAAGGATATGCCATTCCTGACCCAGAATTACGTGAACAAATGAAGAAAGACAACAAGGACTTTATCATTCCTTCCTACAGAATGTTCCTGGATAAATATAAAAGACTTAACTTTACAAAAAATCCCACAAAATACATTAAATACTCTGTACAGGACGTGGCGGAAGTGGTGGATAAACTGTTTGATATGTCTGCTTAATTTGTCTAATAATGGTATATTGGCTTGTAACAATTTGTTATTCTTTAAGTACTTGTGATAATATGAATACTAAGCATGAATCTGTTGCAGTTTTATAAGTTACATGTATTCATGTATTGCAGATGATAAGTGAGTAAAATAATAATAACATACAAACTAAATCCAACTACTGGGTAAAAATAACTAACATGATTTTTTTTTATATGAAGATCAAAGCAATATTATTGTTACAAACTTGAGAGAAATATGAAATATGTAGAATGACTTCTGGTATTCAGGTTCTTGATAATTAACACTATCAACACAAACCCTTATGACCAATAAGCCCAAAATAAAGTTGAAAAAAAATATTCAGAAGAAATATTTCTGTACGACCAAATATACAGAATTATATAATAAATCATTATTGTACAGGACGTCAATAATTCAATTTTGCTTCAATCAAAGCTAATAAAAAATTTTCCATTGCAAATATGAACAACAAAAGTTTATAAATGTTTTATTTTTCTGTCATTGAAATAGTTAATTACAAAATGTTCCAATGTCAAACACGCAGTTCATATTGCTTTGAATAATGTAAATATATCATAATATATATAAAATATTATCTATATAAATTAACTATTCAAATTAAATGGAACTCTATTACAGAATGAAGTAAAATTTTACAGAACAGTTGTATAATGTAACACAAGTGAATTAACAGGAATTTAGGATGACAAATACATCAAAAGAATTTTTCTGAGTCACACTCAAATAGAAAATATGTCATGTTGGAGATTGCGCCATCTGTAGATACCATTGATTACAAAAACATTGATTATTCATTAAAAAAAACAAAAAAAAAACATGATATATAGTTTATTTCATGATTAGAAAGGATGATGCTTTTTTTTTACATTTAAAAATACATTGGTGTATCTCATGCAGTTTTAATTTCATGTTGCTAGTCCACAAACTTTTTAATAACCCCTCGTATATTTGAAAAAAATTACAAATAAGATACAAAAAATATCATTTAATTTTAAGGGTACCCTATCTTGCAAAGTAAGTACATTGAACTATATATGACCAATAACTTAACATGATAGAGTGCCATCCAGACTCCTGATTTTTATGTACAATATTTTATTGAAGATTTTTGATTAAAAGAAATATAGAATTTCAACTGTAGTTTTTTTTTTCAAATAGAACATGATACTATGAACAATATACATTCAGTTTTGCTTGAAAATATCATGTAAATCTACACTTTATCTCGTATTTTTTTAAAGCTCATATATACACCATATACAATGTAGCTTTAAAATATTTGTTTTGAAAAAAAATAGACATGAAACAAGATAGATATCATTAAAAGACCTGTAGATCTTATAGGTTTCAGAAGTTAACATCATTAGGCTGATTGACTTCCAGGGCAGAAAAGGCACCGACAAGGAACTCATCTTAGTCAAAATGCAGATTGCTAACTATATGATTATTTGTATATTGTCTCACTATGTATTAGATTTAACATGTGTAGGACAAAATCTTCTGAAGACGTTAAACTTACACCCCCTTTATTTTAATTTCGGATTTTACACCGCATCTGCTTCGAATATTACAATTAAAAAGAACCCGGATACGGTTACCATGATTTCACACGAGTTGTAGGCCGCGGATGCTTTGGATGAACGGAGATAGGAGAGCTTAAAAAAGGCATATGAGAGGAAAAAAAGAAACGAAAAAACCAGGTAAAGAGATTTTAATGCATTAAATGGCAATGTCCCGAGTTTATATTTACGTTTTTTAAAACTAAATGACACGTGGAAATGCATCGTATTAATTTTTTTTAATTTGTTTACCATCATGATCATCGTTGAACCAACGCCAGCATGTTGACTCAGGACCACTAGCATTAAAATGGTGTTTCTTTACAAACAGAAAACTATGTTTTAGTTTTAAAACTGTACTGAAATCAAGTTCTAAAATTTTCAAACTCGCAGAATAGTAGTTGATCTAAATTCATAGAAATAGAATAGGGTAGCCGCTAGGACCCAATAATGGTCAATATCATCAATTGATGAAGGAAAAATTATTGCAACTCTGCTTGAAAAAAAGTTATTCTTAGAAGAAAGGACATATTAAGTAAAACCATTGAAAATTTTTGAGACACACATAAAACATGTGTGTAGACTAGTCTTGGTTTTGATAGAAGCCAAAACGAAAACCTAATTAATAATAATAATAATAATAACTTTATTTAAAGAAGGTAACCTGGTTAGTGCATGCACTATTCTTCCCCAGGGCCTTCTATATATATCAAATACAAAAAATTTACAGAATACAATTCATCATATATAATAGTAATATGTTTAAGGAATTACAATAACAAGATCATGAATATAGTGTCCATGTATAGTTAATTAACAATCATAATACAAGGCCAACATTTTTTTATTAATTGTTTTACGGGAATTTTTTTCAAAAAATTGAGTCGGGGGGTCGAAATAAAAATAAAAATAAAATCTTCAAATTCAAGCAGTTGGTCAGAAAAATAAAAATAAAACGAAAAATTGTAACAATCTTTATTATTTTTTAAATTAAGAATGGAAATGTTTTTTCACCTTATTTTGGCAGAAAAGGGTGTTATTTGAAAAAAATTAATGCATGCAAAACAATTATATCATACTTTTTTTAGCATTCAATAAACTATAAGATTTGAGGATTTATGAGTAGCTATCATATGGCAAGAATATAGTAAGGCTTTTAATGGATTAGTTAAATTATTTCACAAGTTAGACTAATTTAAAAAATCTGTGTATCTTTTTTCAATGCAATTCAAATTAATATACACATAGGTAGATAAAATATATCTTATATTTCTCTTGAAAACATATTCAAATATCCACAACTTTTGAATAAAAAAAAAAACAGGTCATATTTGTATGGAAGTATCATCTGCAGCTTTGTTTTTCCCTATTGGTTTTTTTTTTTTTTTTGGTAAAGAAAGTTGTTATTACTCAGTAATTTGTTACATAACAAGCCAAATTTCATTTTGAATCGTAATATGTTTGATTAATATGATATTAAGGAGTGAAAGTTGTGACTCGAATTTCCTCAGTCACGCCACTTTCTGCAGTGTATGTTCAGTCGTTTCATGTAAAATAAAACATGACTGCCTTAAAAATAAGTTTCAGAACAATCTTCAAGTCGTATTTCAATACATTGAAACAATTGTCAACGATAATACATACTTAAAACCTCTCAAAACAAGGGGCTGGCAGAACCGCACTTTCCACGTGGCCCTCCGCATAACATTTGATCACTTTGATTGCTGTTTCGTCTATTTTATTCAATCTTTCATTAAAAGTTAATCTGAAATTAATACTTTTTTCTAATAAATGACATATCACTTTTTAAAATGACTGAGTCGATTTAAAAATATATTAAACACTACGACTCTGACATTTTGCCGCTAACTGTTATGCAGTACAGTGACTATATCCACACTTCACATTCATGCTCATTAGTTTTGTCAACTGTGATTGGATGGATACATTTACCTTAGCCAATGACAATTGACGTTTTGAAAGGCTTGTAAAAAATTTGTTGACGTTTCTTTTATTTTTTCAGTGACTATAAATAAGCTATCGGCGGGAGAAACAAAAATAAAACTTGAAGAAGAGACTTTTATTTTTATTTCATTTTAGCCCAAATTAGGGTCGGCGCTCCCGTAAAACGGTAAATAAAAAAATGTTGGCCCAATATACAATATCGAAACCTTATTGTGCTCAAATAATATTGTGCGGCAGCTGATAATGCAATTTTCTATATTACGCTTAAAAGTTCGTAGAGATTGAGAGAGTCTAATGTGTTGGGGAAGTTTATTCCATAGATGTACACCTGAATACTGAAAAGATGCCTTGAATAAGTTTGTATGAAATTTAGGCAATATTAGATCATAATTACTTTCAGATCGAAGGTTATAAGAAGATAAAGAATGAAATTCAAATAAATTACAAAGATATTGGGGAGTCGTTCCACTGAAAATTTTGTATAATAATACGAATTTGTATAGATCAACCAGCTCATAAACTGTTAACCATCCAACTTTCTCAAACAGTGGTTTAGAAGAAGAATCGGGACTTGCGTCAAGAATTATCCTTGCTGCCTTTTCTGTAATTTAAATAGTCTGTCCATGTCCTGCTTGGGGGCATTACCCCAGATAGTCAAACAATAGTTAATGGATGGTAAAATATAGGCATTGTAATATAGTATTCTGGTATGTAGAGGGAGAAATTTCTTAATCCTTCGAAGAGTAAATAACTTATAATTTACCGTTTTACAAACCGAATCAATATGATTTGCATACTGTAACTTATAGCAAATCGCAAAATACCTAAAGGATTACATTGTTTGTGACGAGCTGACGCTTTGCTTGTCGAGAACTTTAAATACTACGTCACATTCTCGCCACATCAAAGGACGTAACGGAGATCGCGTCTCTCCCACGCTAAAGTCGGTCAGCTGCAACATACAGCTTGCTTTCGGGGTTCAAAAAATGGAGTAGACAGTCCCGATGTCGTTTTCTTGAATGTTACCTGCAAAGTTTAAAGTTTTTTTTAAACCTTAAATTCAAAAATGTAAAGATTTTTTTCAGTCCATTACGAATATTTTAATTGGTCGATTATTTTATTCTATTATCGCAAAATTTACTTTTTTTCATATTTGCGAACAAGTATAAAAGTCGAGTAGTGCATGATTCATTGATCATTAGATTTATTAGTTACGCGTATCAACCCAAGTCATGCATGCTGAGATTGTTGCAATTTGGTACAAAATATACTGGTGAAAAATGGATACCCTCTTTATGCGTATATTCGAGAGAAAAGATAAAGAGGGAAGGCCTGGGAAGACGTGTCCATTTACCTTCAAATTTTAACGATTGAAGTTCAATTTATTTTTAAGTTTTAACGAATGTTGTATGTACAAGGTAAATAATACCAAACGACGGAAAATATCTAATTATCATGGGCGTCGGAAGCAAATTAAAGTGGGGGCTAATGGTAAGAAATTTTTTTTTAGACCTCCCAAAAAAACTTTATAAGCAAAACACACACACACACACACACACACACACACACACACACACACACACACACACACAAAAACAAGGGATGTGTATTTTCCAAACACAAAACTCCTATTTCGTGGGTATACCTATGCAGCAATGTTCAATGTCTACACTAAGTCTAACTTTGACCCCCCCCCCCCCCCCCCCCCCCCCACCTCTCCGCTCGCCCGGTTTCGACGCCTATGTCAAAAAGCCTAAATTTAATTCCTAGAGATGGACCTGGCAGATTTTGAAAAATAAATAGACTGTTCTCGAAAAAAATTAAAAATAAATGCACAATAATTTTCACGAATTGATATTTTCAGTATATACATGTACTAAAATAACATGAAACTGTTTACTTAAGCGGTTGTAAAGTATCTTAATTAAAACGTAAAGCCTTTCAATTAACCTTTAATTCGAACAATATGTTTGAAACGAAAAAAAAAGTAGGGTGGGTCGAGGGCTGGCCCTTATGTTATGTGCCCGTCAGATCTAACGTATTTGAAGGGAAAAACGAATCGGATTTAACGAGAGCATACCCCCTCCCCCTTACACTTTTGTCGCCAATTACTTGTCTGTGCTGAAAGCTCAAGTGACCTTTTCTGATCACATTTTGTCCGACGTCTGTTTATCCGTCTTTAAACTTTTCACATTTTCGAGTTCTTCTCTAGAACCACTGGGCCAATGTTAACCAAACTTGCCACAAGGCATTTTTTGGTAAACGGTATTCAAGTCTATTCAAATGAAGGGCGACTTCTAAGAGGAGATAATTCAGAAAATGTGAAAATTTGCAATTGATGACATGTTTTAAAAATCATCTCAAGAAACACAGTGCCAAGAATGTTGAATCTTATGGGAGAAAATTTCAAGAAGTGTAGATTCAAGTTTGTTCACATATACCCCCATCCCCTTTAAAGGTAGATTGGGACCACTTATGGATTTAATGGATTTAAACTTTCAATATTGAGCTGATTTCTGCTATTTTCTTAGCCACGGTGCTCAGGTAAGCGATGTACCCCATGGGCCTCTTGTAGTTCCACTGCGTTAGTACAATATAAATATATATTCATTGAATCGCATAATTATTAAAAGTTGTCTTAGCATTCGATAAAGTTGTCCCACAGTTGCTGAAATCGCACCTGTTTTTTCCATTCTAACCCCCCCCCCATATATGGAGGATATGTTGCTGTTTGCAAAAACTTTGCGTACGTAGTGCTCAGTATGGGTTCCCTGTTATGGGTATTCACATGTTCTTACAGAAATCTCAGTTTTATAAAGGATTGCGAAAATGTACTTTTGAGTACTTTTCTACATAATGCACAGTATTTAAAAATTCTGCAGCAGTGCATGTATGTCGTATATGATCAATCAGAATGGATTTAATGTGTGCTTACTGATAATTAAAAAATCAGAGACTGGGTGATAAACAAACGAAAATACCTGATCATATTTTAAAGATCACCGATGCAATAGAGAGAGAGAGAGAGAGAGAGAGAGAGAGAGAGCAAAACTATGCACCCGTTCTAATTTAGTATTTTGACATAATCATTGACAATTGTGAATAGGCATACTTCTCTTCTTGACAGAAATGTTCTTTTATATACGGATACTTAAAGTACAAGTACATATTATACTGGTATAATACGGCTGTTTGGGGTATACATGTAAAAAAAAAATCTATGTATATTAAGTTCTCAAGTCTCAAGTTCATTGTTTGATACATAAACGGAATATTTTTCTTTTCCACAGAAAAATCATTTCACATCAACAGTACTAGTGATTTGAAACAATTAAATTAAATTGATCATGTACATCATTTTATATCGCATGTATACCGTGCCATAAACACAAATGGTAAATGCTATAAAATTAAATTTTCACGGCTTTAATTTATTATGGACTCTAAAAAATGCATATAATATAAATAATGCTCTTTTCAAACTGTTTAAAAAGATTTGTGTTTTCTGTCCCCTTTTGTAAACCCGTTTAACGTCGGCGATGTGTATTGCAGCTGACCGACTTTAGCGTGGGAGAGACGCGATCTCGGTTACGTCCTTTGATGTGGCGAGAATGTGACGTAGAATTTAAAGTTCTCGACAAGCAAAGCGTCAGCTCGTCACAAACAATGTAATCCCTTAGGTATTTTGCGATTTGCTCTATCATCAATATGTACACCAAGAATTTTTTCAGTTTCAACCATTTCAATTGTTTTCTATGAGGCATAAAGTTGTAAATTTGGATTATCTAATTTTGATTTTCTTTGCTGTGTTCCCATTAACATACATTTTGTTTTATCTACATTCAAAACCATTTGATTTTGAGCACACCATTTCTCAATCTCACTAAGATCTGAATTTAGTGTATTTTCTAAACATCTTGCATTATTATTATTAGAATACAGAGTTACATCATCAGCAAACATATCAATATTTGAATTGTTTACATGTAATGGAAGGTCATTTATGTACAATAAGAATAAAAGTGGGCCCAAAATTGACCCTTGTGGCACTCCTGCTGTGACGGGTAGAATATTGGAGACACATGATCCAAATTTAACACACTGGGTCCGATCGTAAAGCTATGATTTAAACCACTTTATAGCTGTTTGGTCAAATTTGATATGCACTCAATTGAACACACTCAAATTGAAGAAGGTTAGTTCATTTCATTCTCAAATATCAGGAATTTTATTCCTTTATGATCTTTCATTTCATAGGTACAAGTGTATGACTACAAACTTGACTACATGCCCATGATCCTTAGTCCTCTGTAACAACAAAAATATCCTGAAAGGAAAAATATTTTAGATAAACTAAATTATTATTTTTAAAGGAGAATATAAGGGTCATGGACATGTAGTCAAGTGTGCATTCATTTGCATTCAAGTCACATTCTTAATGCATAGTGGAAGTAGTACCAGTTTATAAAACCAATGTCCCTGGTTTTGTCTATGCTATAGACAAACCCAATGGATTAAAAAAAAACTATTTTGAGCCACTCACTCATAAAACTTCAGAATGCGACTTGTTGATGGTCTTGGTTGTGATAAAATCCAAGGAAACAGCAGTGCTTGATGTCCACTTGTTGCAGAACAAATACATTGAAGAAGGTAATTTTTTATTTTCAAATATTCAGGTGTTTCATTCTTAATAACTTTTTTTTTTCTTAGCTACAACTTTGTTTTATTGTTTTCTCAGGAGAATATGAGAAGCATTGGCATGGAGTCAAGTGTGCATTCAGTTTCACTCAAGTCTAATTCTGAATGAGTAGTGTAAGTGGTATCAGTTGCCAATGTCCCTGGCTTTGTCTGTTTAATAGATGAACCCAGTGGATTAAAAAAAACTGTTTTGAGCCACTCAGTCATAAATCTTCAGAATGCGACTTGTACATAGTCTTGGTTGTGATAAAAGCTAAAGAAACAACAGTGCTTGATGTCCACTTGTAACAGCACAGACACAATACACTGAAAAAGGTATTTTTAATCTCTCATTCATATGTTTTTATTGTTAATTTCATCTATGCCGTAGCTGTGAATCACAGTAAATTTCTATTTACCAGAGGAACATAAAAAGCATATGCATGGAGACAAGAACTAAAGTGCTGTTGCTCAGCTGATACAATCAAATCACATTCTGAATGAGTAGTTTAAGTGGTACCAGTTGCCAATATTCCTGGTTTTGTCTATGCTTTAGACAATTCCAGGGGATGAAAAACTGTTTTGAGCTAGGGCTGTATCAATATATCGATATATCGATACGTATCGATATTCAAGAAAAATATTGTATCGAAAAATTACTTCCAATACGTATCGGACAAGAAGTTTTTGTAGTAATTCTGCTAAAAAGATGGGAATTTTAATCAGCAAAGATTATATTTCACTTTTTTGCATTAAAACTGATCAATTATTATAGATTAATAAAAGAAATAACACAGTTTTTATAGTCATTATAAAATACATAACAATTTTATTTGAACATGTTGATTTTACAGTCATTAAAAGTTTCGATTGGAAGTGTTTTATTTACTGACTATGGGATAAGAACTTTGAAATGGGTAATAAAACACTAATTTTTTTTATGAAATCCATAATTTAAATGATTAATAAGCCTTTTTTGATGGACTTGTTTTAGAATCCAATATATCGCCTATCGCTTTAAAAAATATTGTATCGTATCGTATCGAAATTTTTTGCTCAATACACAGCCCTATTTTGAGCCCCTCATAAAACTTCAGAATGTGAGATGTACATAGTCTTGGTTGTGATAAAATCCCAGAAACAACAGTGCTTGGTGTGCACTTGCTTGCAGCATAAACACATTGAAGAAGGTAAGTTCATTTCATTTTTAAATATTCATGCATTTTCATTCTTACTAACCATCTTTTCTTAGCTACAAGTCGATGTATTATTGTTTTTTCAAGAGAATATGAGGAGCATTAAGTGGCATGGAGTCAAGAGTTCATTCAGTTGCACTCAGATCACATTCTGAATGAATACTGCATAGTGTAAGTGGATCCAGTTGTTGCCAGTGTCCCTGGTTTTATCTTTCTATAGACAAACCCAGTGAATTAAAAACTGTTTTAAGCCACTCACTCATAAAACTTCAGAATGTGAGATGTACATAGTCTTGGTTGTGATAAAATCCAAGAAACAACAGTGCTTGATGTCCACTTGTTGCAGCACAAAGATACATTGAAGAAGGTAAGTTTGTTTCATTTTCAAATATTCGGGTGTTCTGTTGTCATTCTTACTAACCCTCTTTTCTTAGCTACAAGTCGATGTATTATTGTTTTCTCAGGAGAATATGAGAAGCATTGGTATGGAGTCAAATGTGCATTCAGTTTCACTCAAATCACATTCTGAATGAATACTGGGTAGTGTAAGTGGTACTAGTTGCCAATGTCCCTGGTTTTGTCTATGCTTTAGACAAACGCAGTGGATTAAAAAACTATTTTGAGCCACTCACTCATAAAACTTCAGAATGTTACTTGCAGATAGTCTTGGTTGTGATAAAAGCCAAGGAAACAGCAGTGCTTGATTTCCACTTGTTGCAGCACAGACACAATACACTGGAAAAGTATTATTTTTAATCTCTCATACATAGTTGTATTGTTAATTTCATCTATGCCGTAGCTGTAAATCACAGTAAATTTCTATTTACAGAAGAACAAGAACATAAGAAGCATATGCATGGTGACAAAAACTGAAGTGCCATTGCTGATGCAATCAAATCACATTCTGAATGAGTAGTTTAAGTGGTACCAGTTGCCAATGTTCCTGGTTTTGTCTATACTATAGACAAACCCAGGGGATTAAAAAAACTGTTTTGAGCCACTCATAAAACTTCAGAATGTGACTTGTTCATAGTTTTGGTTGTGATAGAATCCCAGAAACAACAGTGCTTGATGTGCTTTAGCTTGCAGCACAAACACATTGAAAAAGGTAAGTTCGTTTTATTTTCAAATATTCAGGTTTTGTCATTCTTAATAACCTTTTATTTTTAGCTACACGTCGATGTATTATTGTTTTCCCAGGAGAATATGAGGAGCATTGGCATGGAGTAAAGTGTTCATGCAGTTGCACTTAAGTCACATTCTGAAAAAGTAGTGTACATGGTACCAGTTGCCAATGTCCCTGGTTTTGTCTATGCTATAGACAAACCCAGTGAATTAAAAACTGCATGTTTTGAGCCAATCACTCATAAAATTTCAGAATGTGACTTGTTGTTAGTATTGATTGTGATAAAGCCAAGGAAACAACAGTGCTTGATGTCCACTTGTTGCAGCAGACACAATGAAGAAGGTAAGTTCATTTCATTTTCAAATATTCAGATGTTTTCATTCTTAATGACCTTTTTTTTCTTAGCTACAGGTCATTGTTTGAATTTGGCCATCAAATCTTAAAGGAAGTTTGCTGTGTTATAGTTTCTCTAAACAACTGTGTAATACAAGTAGTGATCCATACACTTGTTATGTGTACTTTGATAATCAAAATCTACCCAAATTCTTGAACATGGACTACTTAGTAATTGGCATATTTGTTGAACATTGTATAATCGGTTTTAAAGCTTTATAACAGTAAAGTTGTAAGTTTGTAATTAGATTAGATGCAAAAATATGTTGCTTGCATTGAAAGTTACCAAAATCAAGATCCTGTTACTTTTTCAAAAGAATGGGCATAAAAAAGTGTGTAAAATTAGAGCGTAAATGTATTTTTATTTGTTTAAAAAGCTTTAAGAACTCAAAAATGTTGCAAAAATGCAGCAAAATTACAACAAGCAGTGCTTAAGTCACCTAGGTGACCTATGACTATCTGTTTTTGTCTGTTGTCGTTTGTCATGCATCAGCTTTTGAACATATTTAGCTTCTTTTCTGGTCCGAAAGTCAGGGGTCCTGGTGTTAGGGTAAGGCTCAATTGATTATATAGTGAAAATTCTTTGAAATCTTCTCCTCTGCTCCTGGGTATTAAGCTAATGAATATTGTACATAGTTATTATAAAGAAGGTTGCCTTCATACCATAACTCCCTATGACCACCCGCCCTTCTAAAAGAGTCCTTTCGACCCCCTCCTTCTAGATCTGTTTCCTTTTTACACTCGAAAAAAAATGGTACAAGGACCCAGGGTGCTTCTGGAAGGACCCCCAATCTCCGAATTTACACCCCAGGTCCAAGAATATTTTGTGTTGTCTCCTTTCATAAATTATTCTTTTAACACACATTTACAATGTATTCCACAGGCCTATTTAAATTAAAAAAAATAAATAAAATAAAATAAAGTAGAATAAACGTACCCGAGTTTTTATAACATAATGACTCCATATGAGACAAAATAATTTTAATCTACATCTGACATGAACTAAGCATTAATAATGAAGCTATTTTAGAAGAAAAATCCCTTTTAAGCTCCTGTATCATATTTGGTTGCTTATTTTATTATAGCATAGATGTGAACAAGGGCATACTTTTTCTAATTTCACTCGTTCTAGAAATTTAAGAACAAAAGTTGTAAGGGATATTAGCTACAGTTGGAAACATGAGGTAAATTTTGCACAACAGATGAAGCCCGTTATGCAAATTATTCGCGTTTCAAACTGTCGTAGATGAACTGGCATATCCAATAAAAAAAAACAAAAACGAGACAATGATTCCTTAAGGTAGGATTCTTCTCACTTTTCTTGTATTTAAAAATTAATGAAATTTTCACAGAATCAAGAGGACAATGTCACTAAATGATGGTATCAGTGAGATTAAATTTGACCATTTGATATTTGAGGCAAGGTCAGGTAAAGGTCATTACCTTTTTCCTGGACATTAAGAATAAAAAAATACTGTTTCCAAACATGCGATCTCTACTTGTAATTCAATAGATTGAATGTTTTTCTTTTTGCATAAAAAGATACTACCATATAGGGCCTATAAGATGATATTACCAAATTGACATGGATAATTTAAATAAAATGGATATTAGCTAATCCGAATTTCCTCTACTTTTCTTAAATTTTTAGGATTTATTAGTTATTTTTTATGCTTCCTATATTAAACTTTTTCCACTTTACACATATACAAGGGCTGTTCAATAAATAATGTCCTCGGTGCTCAGAAAGAAGCAAACGACGCTTATCAATGATTTAGTCTTCATGATTTTATTTATTAATCTCTTTTAATTCAAACACATGTCCGTAACATTTTTTATCCAATTTCTGATTGTTTTTAGAACTCATTTTTGGGTATGACCCTTAGTATACTGGAAAATGGCAGATCCAATGATTTCCTGGACTTGTTTTTTCCTTCTGAAAGGTGTTTTTTTTCAAGTTTAGAAATAGAAACAAGTCAAAAGATCAAAGATCTGGCAAATATTGTTAATGTGAAAAAACATTAACTTTCTGTTTATCCCGAAAACCCATTTACTCTTCAGGGCATGCGGGTTTGGCCGCTGTCGTGAAGAAATTCAATGTAGTTGATTCCTGATTCTGGATCCTTCCACTAATTAACATTTTGATTTTTTTTTTTTGAAAAAAAAAATGCTTTGTAGACTCCTCCAGATTTTAAACTGTCTCTCCGAATACGAATTTGAACAACAATACCACCAATATTTAAGAAAATTACATATTAATCTGTCTTTGTGCTCTTGCATACCTTTGCTCTTGTCCGACCTTCGCCGTTTTTATCAAGTACATCTTATGGTAAATTTTGTTTTGATGGTTTTAAGCAATAGATTCATGTTCCAATATCTGTTTGAATATAAAACAAACGTGGATAACTACAATTACTGATATTTTAAAATAATTGTTAAGACTTTCGTACACGCTGTCGTTTTCACTCATTTTTTAAAATATAGGGTGACCTTTGAGTACCAAGCTTTTTTACTGTCAAACGTTTCCTAATAACAGTGTAAACTACTCCCGATTTGATGTCTATCAAATTTGCTATGTGTCTTAAAGCCAATCATACACCATCAAATATTATTTGTTGAAATTTGGCCATCAGTACATAAGATGTTATATTTTTTGTTGGCAAGGAGGGTACCTATCTTTGATGCCCATTATATAATTTTTTTTTATCTGGCATTGAAATCCACCTGCTCATTTGTCTATAAAACATGCATCGGTTGCTGTAAATGTCACATATTTCAGTGAATATTTCTTTGGGATTTTTAACAAGTTTTACAGCAGCTTTAATGTAGCTTTTATTTTCACTCTAGTTTACCGATTCTTTACCATTCATTTATAATGCAGTGTCTCGAACAGCCCTTGTTTCCCAGCTTCTCACGATGAAACTATGTGATGAAAAGAGGTCACATAAACTGTTATAAATTCAGTAAAGATTCAATAATGAGAGAAAGTCAAGATTTATGTTATATGATATCTGTATTGTATATCATACAGTTCAGGACATTATTTATTGAACAGCCCTTAAGTAAAGTTGTCATATAAAGGTACAAAATGATACAAAAACTAAAAGTTTTGATCGTTTACTAAGAGAAAAATAATATTTTTAATGGAATTTTGGCTCAAATTTGTACTTCGATTTGAAACATTTAAAAGCCAACATAGTTCTAGTATGTGTGAAAAATCTTATTTATTTGATATATTTTGAAACTTTAGTCCCTTATTATTATTTTAACTTACATTTGAAAATTTCGTCTAGTCTTTGATTGCGTAAAAATTATAGCTAAATTTAATGCTGTATAATAATTTTGAGAGGCAGAAAAGAAGATATTTTCATATGCCACCATTCCGCCAAAAATACAGTCCCTGCTAGTTTTCAAACGCAGTTTACCATTTCTATTTAAAATTGTATAATTGTGATGAGGAAAGAAAAATATGATCTTTTAAATCTCTAACATCTAAATATATAAGACATATCAACAAATGTACTTTGAATATTCCATCTAGCCAGAAACCAGAGAAGAATCCTACCTTAATTATCTTGCAATGGTTTCTATCAATTGATGTAAATTTTTTTCTGTACATACACTGCAGATTCAACTCGGCCAATTCTGTAACAGTTCTGTTGAATGCCAACGAATGCAAATAACATATGTATGGTTATATGCGCGGGCCAATAAATCCGTTACATTAAAAATTTAAATCTAAAGTTTAAATTATCTATAACTAGATAGTTACAGAAAAGTTTTAATTTTAGATTTAAACTTTTAATATAACAAATCTAACCAAATTCACCCACATTTCCTGAGACCCTCTACAGCGCATTAAATTTAACTGTACATTAAATCTGTTTGTTACGTCCATGTACATGTGCAACATCTTCTGAATAATGGATTTGTGTAATGATGATCTTTCTAATCTTTAATGTTAATAGAATTCAAGGACAGGTCAAGCCATTTCTACACTGCAGACATGGCAAAACTTAATTTAATGATGCTGAGAGTATGCAACAAAGGACTGATTTATGAAGATATCAGTATACATTTAGTCCATATATCAAGTAACAGAGGAAAACATTACTTCTTACTTTTCATTAAGTGCATTTATTAATTTTAAAATTGACACATATTCCTGAGATTATGGAAAAAATGATGAGGAATGTCAACTAATAGTGCACTGAGGTAACTGTGCTAATATAGCAAAATGGATTTTAAGAAGTCCGAAGATTCACTGAATAATATGCAGCATGTTTCTCTCTGATCCACCGCACAAGACTTTTGACATTGGCATACACCCCTGGGGAATTTGGACGCCCACAGCCGTATCCCCACGAAGTTACACCCAATACAGTGTATTTACCTGGGGAAAAAGGTATATAAAGCATTAGAAATTAAAAAGGGAAGTTCTGGCTATTAATTTGGAACAGAATATCGCGTTAAATGTCACTCTCTTATTAAGATTAAAAGAAATGCTTACCATTGACTTTACAGACCAGAGGACCACCACTGTCCCCTTGACAGGTATCAGAGCCTCCATTAATGTAACCTGCACAAAACGTGCTGTCCGTTATGTTGTAGCCTTTCATTTCCATAAGTCTTTTGCAGGTTGTCTGGTTTACAATAGGAATTTGTGCATATTTCAGAAGATGTGGAAATATTTCTGAAATGTCATTGAAAATTTGCTTCTACATTTGCATTTTATACATATTACTGCAGTGTTTTTATGACACATGTACATTTTAATCATGCATTCTAAAACAAAAGGCACGGGGGTCTAGACATGCTCTTCTGACAAATCACTGCCCAGAAAAACACATACATGTAAGGTTCATGACGTACATGTACCAAGCATTTTTAGTGTTAAGTGGATAGATGGCCGTTGAGGTAGGTACGTTATTTAATGAATATATAGATTACATGATTGTACATGTATGAGTTACTTAATGCTTCACATAAATGCAATGATAGTATTATCGGTATCAATATAAAGACCACTTTGAATCATTATTATTTTAAATGAATTAAGTGTACGAGTGATACTCCAGTTAATCAATATCATTTCTTTTGGTTAAAGGTGCATTTTGCATTAGTTTGTTATATTGTTAACGAGTGTATCTCACTGTTTTTTTTTTTTATATTTCAATATTGTGAACTTCATACAAATGTTGATTAATTGGTATATTTTCTCGACACCTGAAATTAAAGTTAAAATGTTCAAAGGAAAATTGTAATAATGTTTACATCGCTTATTTTTTTTTCAGTGTTAAATATAAACTGGAGAAATTATTGCAGGGGGCCTCCGAGTATATTTAACTATTACCGGTACATTAATTACTTACAATTTAATTTACTGTTCTAGGATATAGAAAAGAAGATAATACTGAGTGTCCCTTTAAAGATTACTTTAAATTGTACAAATATAGATTTTAAATGATTGATACATAGTTTACGCAAGTCATATTGTGATATTTATAAGCGATTCAGATATGAAATATAAAGTAATTTTTCTTTCAAATCGATTGACTCATATTATATTTTAAATATCAAATAAATACATAATTAAATGCAAATTATCACAAACCATATTTAGTTCTGCCCCATCCAGATATGTAACAATCAAGGTTTTCACTGTACACTGTATCTTCTGGTGGCAGACAGGCAGGCTGAACATGTGAACCCATTGTTATGCCATGGTCACGCTTAGGTTTTACTTTTAGTAAAGCTATGTCATTGTGAAGACTTCCATCTGCAGAAATGTATTGTTTTTAACAATGAAGGTTCGATCATTTTCCATTTCACACACACATATACATACATATCTATATAACATCTTACCATCGTATCTTATGTATTCAGGATGGTTGTAAATTTCTTCGATTTCAAATTCCTCCTCGTTTGAATCTGTTACTTCATTGTTCCAGTCACCAACTCTTATCAACAGCTCTGATTTCAAAGCTCTTCTTAAAAAAAGATGTTTGAAGATGGTTAGGTTTGGTTATACTCGTTATGATTTGAATTTCTTTTTTTACGTAATAGTAAAGGTAAAAAGAAACACATCTTGACATACTTGTAATTTGGAAAAAGGAAAACATTTTCAAAACTCTTCTTCTCAAGAAGAGCAAGGGTATTATTGGTCATATTTATATGAAAGCATCTGCAGGTGGTGTATATTTAAGTTTGATAAAATCATGACACTGGGGGTGGTAGGGAGGGGCCACAATGGACAATCAAAGTTTTACATAGAAATATATGTAAAAAGTCTTATACAATTTTCCAACTATACAAGGTAAATATTATTCAGGTTACCAGTTTAATGTAGAACTATAAGACATTTTGCTGATTTTTGAAGAAAACAAGATGTGTTTGTGAAACACTATGCGCCCGGCGGCAACAAAGTTAAAAAATATATTTTTAGCATATAGGTCACAGTCAAAGTCACAATGTCATTGATCTTGGTGTCATTTGAAAGAACTTTATTAGGGAAGTATGCATACAAAATATGAATTCTATATCTCTCATGATTCAAAAGTTATGGTGAATGTTCAAAAAATCTATTTTTAGCATACACGACGCAGTCAAGGTCACAAGGTCATTGACCTTGGTGTCATTTGAAAGAATTTAATTAGTGAAGTATGCATACTAAATATGAAGTCTCTATCTTTTATGGTTCAAAAGTTATAACGAAGGTTAAAGTTTGCCGAAAAAAATATTTTTAGCATATAGGTCACAGTCAAGGTCACAAGGTAATTAACCTTGATGTCATTTGAAAGAACTTAATTGGTGGAATATGCATACCAAATATGAAGTTTCAACCATTCATGGTTCAAAAGTTATGGCGAAGGTTAAAGTTTGCAGACAAAAGACAGACAGGACAAAAACAATATACGCCTCGGATCTTTTGATCCGGGCGCATAAAAAGGATTGTGTTATTTATTCCTAAGACGTCATAATGTCCCAGCTACTCACGACCAACTAATGGGTTGCCTTTTCCGAAGGGTTGAATATATTCCCTATGCAGAGGAAAATCAAGGTTGTGATAGATGCACCAGAAAGGCATAATAGATAATGAGGTTTTGTGATTTTTACTTTCGGGGAATAACTTCAAATGAGTTTCAACAGCACATGAATTCAAAGTATATATTTGTAAAGCAATAACTTTCTAAGTAATATAGTATAGCACGTGCTTGTTGATGTACATTGGGAAAATTTACATTATGAATATTTAAAAACTTACGTTTCAAAACAATGTGCAGCACTAAGAATCCAGAATGAACTGAGAATAGTTCCTCCACAGTGTGGTCTAGTATTTGTTTCATTACGAATTTTCCTAATGCCCACTTGCCAGGGGAACATTCCTTGGGTCGCAGAGTGTCCTGAAACTATTGGCAAAAATACGGGTGTTCTTTCTGCCGTGTCTCTTCTTCGTCTGGATCTGATCAGTGATTCGTTTGGATGCTGGCCGCAATCTTGAATAAATAAAAAAAAATATCCTTATTCGACATGTTATTTTATTTATCTTGTTAGATACAAACTGCCTGTGCAAAACGAAATGACCAAAATTTTGGATTTATTAAGGTCAAGATCTAGTAAATGTCTTTTTCCTGTACTTTACGACTCTTATAGAATTATGTAGAAAGAAAAGTATTCTCATGAAGTTCAATTTGAAATCACATGAAAGGTTGTCCCGATACCTATATTAAGGAGGCTCTAAACACTGCACACTAAAGAGCTCTATTTATTGGGTAGTTTTATGCAGTTAGAGAGATTTGGTTTTAGCATAGGAAGGACATGGAGATAACGAACAGTATTTAATCTCAAAGTCCATAAAACAATATAAAACTAGTGCTAATTGTAACGGGAACCGTTACAGATGTTCCCCAAACGCTCCCCAACTCCCTTTTGGTGCCTTATTCCCTGTAAGCTTGATTAAATAAGACAAACGCCATACATTTAAGACTTTAACAAAGTTTTACCAGAAGTATTCAATT